ATTTGATAAGAATGTTATTTATTTCTTTAACCAAAATAATGATAAAAATGTTAAGCAGCACAGGGCCATGCAGATTCCTAGGGAATGCCACTGGTAACCTCCTTCAAAGTAGACAGTAAACAAAACATTTGACTCCATAGAGATTCTCCAGATGCTTCTGACTGTGGATGACATTGTACAGACACCATAGGGCTTCTTCAGTGAGATCCATGAAAACTTGAAAGCAATTGTCCTATCAATCCATACAGTAAAAAGAAAAAATGATGTACAAACACATGATGTATAGCAGGATGGAACACTCAATGAGACAGACCATCAAGATATAACTTCTGGAGTCATACGACAGAGGGAAAATGGTGCTAGGCTCAAAATTGAATGGAAAGAGAATTTTCAACTCTGCAAGTTAAGTTCTCTAAACAATTCAAATTGTGGGTAACCCAAGAGGCAAAGTAGATATGCTGCCCAGAGCCAAAAGATGAAATGTCTTGTTTGAGAAACAAGTAAGATGGCCAGTGGCACTGGGCTGCTGAGTATGTGAGGGGAATAAGGTGTAAGAAGACTGGGAAGGTGGGGGTGGAGCTGTATTACAAAGGGCTTTGAACACCAATCAAAGGATTTTATATTTGATCCTGGAGGTGATAAGCACCCTCTGAGTTTACTGAATAGGGGAATGACAGTCAGACCTTCACTACAGGAAACATCATTTTGGCAACCATACAGAAGACAGATTGGAGTGGGAAAAGACTTGTGGCAGGCAGACCCACCAGCAGGCTTATTGCAGTGGTCCAGGGGTAAGGAGATGATGAGGGCCTGCACTAGGCTGTTGGCAATACCAGAGGAGAGAATGGGGGCATATTCAAGAGATGTTGCAGAGGGGAAATTGGACTTTGGCATCAGATTGGATATGGGGGCTAAGAGAAAGCAAGGAATTCAGGTTAACACCTGGGTTGGGACCCCGGGGGTACTCTTGACAGTAATAGGGAAGTTTGGAAGAAAAGGTTTTTGGGGAAAGATAACGAGTTTTGTTTTGGACATGTCTGAGATGCTTAAACTAAAATCTAGTTTGAAATGTCCCAGTTGATGATGTGAGACTGAAGCCCAAGACAGAGGTTAGGGCTGGATAAACAGATCTGGGAATTATCTGTATAGAGATGATAACTCTACCCACACAAGCTGATGTGAGATAGTATAAAGTTAAACTTCTCCTTAACTCTTTGCTACAACCCATTCCATGCTGGAAATATAAAGTATTCTCTGAGATGATGATATAAGCTCTTCCTTTTCTGGAACATAGGATATTGCATGTGTCCAAAGAACTTCTCTGAATCTTAAATCTTTCCAGAGACATGAAAAATAGTAAAGTGTGTGTGTGTGTGTGTGTGTGTGTGTGTTCAAAAACATTAAAGGAAAGTATAAGAAGTTGCAGTGTTAACAAATGTATTTGATTGTGAATAGGTGTAGTCAAAATTGAAAAATGGATTTGTCAAAGATAACCTACCCACATATAAAGAGTTGACCTTTTAAAAAGTTTTAATATTTAGGAGAACAAATAATCTTTATATTATAGAACTAAAAAATTTATCTTTATTAAATAAACTGTATTTCACTTTTTTTTTTGGTATATTTTACTTTCTATTTGGCAGGACTAAAGCTGAGATCATATATAAAGGTAAAACTTTCATGGGTAATCTATTCAACTTACAAAATGTATATTAAGCTGTCTATTCATACATTTTCTGTCTGGAAAAATTCCATACTTAGCATAGAATGCTATAAGCATATTCTATTTCTGTTACTTGAGAAACACAAAGTAAATTGTCTACTTTCTTAGATACTAGTCATATTGTATACACACCAAAATCAGTAAAGGAATAACTTTAAATATGGGCAGAGGATCTTTCTCAGACTTCACAATTTATGGATTATGAATTATTACATATGATAGGTATGTTTTTAATGGAAAATGGCTAATAAAATAAGTTTTTTAGACTCAGAACTATCCTGTACGGAAATAATCACGGAACTCATACTCTAAAAAATACTATTTTCCTTTTTTTTTTTAAATTTTTTAAGCAATTGGGGTTAAGTGACTTGCTCAGGATCACACAGCTAGTGTCAAGTGTTTGGTCTGAGGCCAGTTTTGAACTCAGGTCCTCTTGACTTCAGGGCAGGTGCTCTATCCACTGCGTCACCTAGCGGCCCCTAAAAAGTACTGCTTTCAATGGAGAATATATAAGTATTCAAACAAATTTTCTATCAATCTATCATCATAATTCAGCAAATATTTATTGAATACCTTCTATGTACTAGATACTCTGCTAGATGTTCAGAGGACACAGAGATGAGTTGCTTCCCAAGACAAAAATGACAAAAAAAGATAATGGGACTTCAACAATAAAAGGCAATTAAAAGATCAAGATCTTATTCTGATTTTCAATATCCCAAGTAGACCAACTTCAAAAATCATGCAACTCATTTTGAAGACTGAAAATTAAAAATTAAAAAATAACAATTAAAACTCAGAAGAAAACTATAATGAAATATACATCCTTTATGTAACCTGTGCATTGACAACAAAAGGTTTATAGTTTACCTCTAGATTTAATCTTCTTAATTAGAAAAATAAGTTCAAATAGCGTACTTATCAAATATAAGTTATCAAATTAAATAGAGAAACTTTTCTTACTGTTAAAACAATGCCTACACAAGGCCAAATAAAAACCTTTTTATACATGAAATGTTTTATTCATTTAGTGGCAAGAGTCAATTCTACCTTTTAAGTAAGGTATTTAAAAGATGTTCTTAAATAAACTTCATGTGAATATAATCCAGATTTGCCAAATCTTCCAAGATTTTATAACAGGCAAATAAATGGTTTTTTCATCAAATTATTATACTCTGAAAATGAAGTCTCCTTCAAAGGAAAAACAGTCAATGTTATCAAAATTTAAACATGAAATACTTATGCTAATATAAGTAGAAAATCTTTTAAAAAACTGCTTAGTATGTCTTTCATTATTATGTTGTGACAAGGAGTAAACTTGGTCTTTCATATATAACCATTTTCTAGACTGGTTATGATATAAACTCCTTGAATCCAGTATCATACAATACATGACAAAAAGACCTCCAGCAAGTCAAGTGAGGCAAAATAAGGCTCAAAGAAAATGCATTTTACTTACACATTCTGAATAATACAAACTAAAATAGTTTAAGATGGTGTTAACAGAGCTCTAGTTTGCTGAAAAAGGTGTAAACTTTTTTGTTCAGATGCTAAGGGGCTTTATTTGTCTCTACACTAAAGAATAAAGCTCTTTTTTGAGATTTGGAAGTAAAATGCTTATTGCCTTTAAAAAACTGCTTTGAATTTTTTCCTTTAAAAAAGCCTTTAAAAAGAACAGAACACAACAAACTTGCAATTTCAAAACTAAAGTAAAATTGATTTCATTAAGTATTTGAGTGGAAAGTTGCCATAAAAATATATATACCAATCTCCATTTTTTTTGAAAAAGGAGGACACTTTGGTGAATATGCTGCCAACTACAAACTAGAACAGTATTTAACTGAGAGGAATAAGTTTGAAGACAATCTTAGCTACTCACTTTCCCTTCAATACAAAAAAACAGAGAACCAGGACTTGAATACACAATTTTTGATTTTTCATGCCTTTATTTTAAATTTATTACAAGTTGGTAGTAGGTAGACTACGAAAAAGACTTTTAAATACATGTTTCCTGCATCTTGTTATGGGCCCAGTATCATGGTAACACTGTTATAATTTCAATACTATTTAGTGTTGTTAATAAAAGTATATGGAGTTAAAATTTATGTGTAACTTTTTAATGACACTTTTCAATTTTTTCTAAGTTTTTCCTTTGAACTTTATTAAGTAAAGCTTTTTAATGTATTTTTTCCCTAAGACTTCCAATTATTCTTGGTTAAATATACACAATATACACATTTATTTTTTTTTTAACTCCCTGCTACTCTAATAATAGGAAATAAATTTCATTTCCAATTGATTTCATTTCCAATGTTGGTCCTGAATTTCCTTCTATTATTTTTTCGGTCCTGATTTCTAAAGGTTTCCATCTACTTGTCTATATGTAAATGCTAATAACTTCTAATCTGAAAAGAACACATTAATACATCTTAACTTATAATTCCTTTTCCTCTTTCACAACTGAGCTCTTTTGTGATACAAATGATTCAAAAAGTATTTTTGAATCTATCTGGTAAGCAACTTTAAGTCTTTCTCTATACACCTACTTCTGTAAAGCGTTCAACTAAATATTCTCTATGAATAGCAGGTATCTTATAGGGTTATAATTAAAAATGTAAAAATAGCTGTTAGTCATATTTCCCAATCCATTAAGTTTCATCAAAAAAAAAAACCTTTCACTAGATTTTATATTGTAATTTAAAGGAGTAATATTCCTGAAAAGATCAGAAAATATCAGTATATTATTTCTCTGATATACTTCATATATATAAAACTTCTTTGACCTCCGAGATCAAATATATGCTATTATACTTTCATTTCTACCTACAATAATATTTGGAAACTAATGAAAATACACACTCTAGTGCTTGCCATTAAGGCTTCTTATTTTTATAGGAAATTTCAAATTTTAAGTTTGTTTTTTAAAGTAATATTTAAAATGACTAATTTCTTTACAAAGATATAAGCTATCTCTTAATTGTGCTAGAATCAGAATGCAACGTGTAATGTTGAACTTGAAAAAACTAAATTGAATAAAATACAGGAAAATTCAGTAATCTCTTAACATAGAGGGTAAAAAAACAAAAAATTCTAGCATAAGAACGTATTATGGGAATAATTTCTATGCTTAAAAATGGGAAAAACCCCTTTAACTTGAAACATAACCAATATAATGAACCAAAGGACAATCAGTAGCTGATAAACAACTCAGACTGTTATAGCAATGGCAAAGCTTCAGAAATGGACTTATGAGGCAGGTTAATGCTGACAGACTTACTCTGAAGCTGAGGTTGCTGGAAGGAAAGGGGCTGTCCGAACACAAATGGACTGTGGACTAGGGAAGAGGGAGGTTTTGCAGCTTGATCAAAGATGGAAGGAGCTGGGAGACTGGGCCGTGACTGAATGGAATTCAGTATGGCACTCAGTTGGTCACCTGCAGTGGGTAAAACAGTCAAAACTACAACCTGTTATTAATCAACATCCAAAATGGCAGAATAAATGGTGTTGCATTATGCTCGGATCAAGTTAATTATGGATTAAAACTTTGCCAATGTGGATATCTATGATAATTGGCAACAATCAATATCAAGATATAGGGACCAACTTTTACAGTATGAAAAATAAAACCGAACCAAATTTCAAATAAGAACTCACTTTTGGCATTAATTGTATTTAAATACTCAAACCTAAAGCAGATATATGTTAACAATAGAGAAGAGTAAATAGTTTATGAAAAATCTCGGATCATCCATTCAATTATTTATAAACACAGAACAAATAACCTAGGTGAATGCTGTCTTTTATTTGGTGTCCACATACATCTACACTACCCAATATGAAATACAACTCAAACAGAATATGAATAAAAATGTGTACCACTTTTCAATAATTTTATACGTGTGTTGCTTATTCAAGATAGGTATTTATTCTACAGAGGTGTACAATTTTCAGTTTCTGTTAAGAAGTTACTTTTAAGGTACTGGACTTACTGGGATTGAAAAGAAATGTCTCCTTTTTCATCTTTTACGACATTTACAAACTACGGGTTTTTTTTCTATTTTGTAGACAATTTAATTGTTACTGAAATCTTAAAAGAACATAATCATGTTTTTCTGGCTGGTTAAAAACCAAGATGATTCATCATTCATGAATTCTGCAAACGTTTAAGAAGGGAAAGTGAGCAATTTAATTTGAACAGTGTTCCTTAAGAATGGTTTATGAGTGTCTTTTAAAAAAAAACAGTATTTCTTTTTCCTAGAGGTTCCAGCATTTAATCATGAATGAAAAAGGATAAGTGAAAATTCATATTACATATCCAAAGTGGATCCTAAAGACTTTCTCCCATATTTCTAACTATAATTCAATTTTTAAAATTAAAATCTCAACATTACCAATAAAAGATGGATTAGCAAGGATATGAACACATTTCTAGGCTATTTACTTTATTGAGTTATATAACAAAAGATTAGATTATATAAAGAATTCTTAAGAATTAAAGCCTCATATTAAGGAAATAGATTGGGAAAAAACTATGAGTTTCATTAGATTTTTATAATATCAGTAGTTTAAAAGACGGAACTGTTACTGAATGATTCAATAAATACAAATAGATAATATAATTAAATGTACTCATCATGATACTAAAAACATGCATAATAAAGGTTATATTAAGCTTCATCAATTTCTTTGCCCAATTTAAAAATGCTATCAAACATTATGTGCCATTTGGGAACAAAAGTATTATTAACAATGCCACATCGATTTCCTACCTTTCTTAATAGTATTTAATGCATTGAAGTTGTGAATAATAGTTAATTTTCCTTTTTCACTTACTCATGTTATTTGGTATTTTGAAATAATAATACTTGTTTTGAGAACAATAATTGAGTGTACTTTGAATGATCTATTATTAGTTTTATCATTGAAAAATTTCTAAAAACATATATAATTTGAAATAAAACAGTTATTTAAAATCAAATGAATACATACTTGGTAGGAGTTAGTAAGCACTGAAATTTTTAATTACAGAAGGGTGGCAGAAAGATAATAAAAGGAAAATAAGACCTAAATATATCCTTGTATAAATGTAAAATGGGACAGCTAAAGCCAGTTTGTTGTGGATGACTATTCCCTAAAGCATCAGAAATGGTCAAAAGGAAATCCTTTGGTTAGACTTCTACCACAAAATCATAAAAGGAACTAATTAAGAAAGAACCGGTAAATTGGCTTTATTATTTACTGAATGTTTAGCTGGTCTTAATTGGCTAAGAAAGCCAAGCATGCTATCACAGTGTTATGCATATATGCATTGAACAAGAAAGTCAAGTTTTTTCCCTCTTACCATCTAGTCCTATGGATTAGTTTACTATCATTTTACAAGTTTATTATTAAACTTAACATGTTATAGTCAGCTCTGCTCTTTCTATCCATTACCCAGTTGGTTTCAGGCTATTAAAACAAGTGAGGGCCAAAAGCATGTCAGAAAAGATATTTATGTATATTTCTAAGTCAAATGGACACATGAATTATGAAACTTATTTTGGATTATTTGTGTTTATGCTACTCAATTAACCTGAATTGCAATTTTATATTTTTTTACTTAACCCTTTAAAGAAATCTAATTTTCTTCTAAACAGCACCAGAAAAATCATGACACAATGTAAAGAGAACTGGGATCTGGAATCGAAGGGCCTTGGTTCATGTCTCAGCTCTGTCACTTACTTCCTGCATAACTTTGGGCAACTCATTTGACCTCTCTGGGCCTCAGTTTCCTCAAGTATAAAATGAGAAGGCTGGATTAAGATCACCTTGAAGGTTTTTTCCATCTCTAAATCTATGTCCCTATAACTATAATGTAATCATACTATGCAGTAACAATAACATTAATAGCTGACACTTATATAGCATTTAAAGTTTTCATGTGTTTTATTTCAACCTAAATGAACTAAATGAACTGCTAACATGTAAGAACCTCCTCTATTACTCAACAGAACCAACAAATGAATCTAATTTATAATAATTTCCCTGTTAGTGAATGGTTTGTAACTTTAATTTTTAATTGATAATTTTAGGAATGTCTTTATGCTTCTAACTCTAGAAAACTATTATCCTACATTTCTTAAGTAAACAGATAACCAAAATTATGATTCCTTCTCTAGGTCCTATTAAACCTCACACTTCTTATGTACAGAAAAAAACATGCAAACAGCAAAAATGCAAGAACCAAATTCTTTCAATTAATTTGCCTACCAACATAAAAAAGGGCACGTTAAAATGTGGCCATTTAGATCACCATCCAACTGGTAGTTTTAAATAGAAATGAGCAACTTAACGGTCGTCAGGGATTGGGTATTTTGAGAGGTGAGGTACAATATCAAAATAGTGAAGCTAGGCATGAACATAAAAATCTGCTTTAAAATCCCTTAATACTTACCTTTGTTATTCCCAAGTCCATAATCAAATCCTTGGGCATTGTTACCTGCCCCTTTATTGAAAGCTTGTACTGAGAAGGGGCTTGGAGGAGGAGTTTGAGAATTCTGATCCAGAAGAACTTGTTCTAGAAGACAAGGCATAGCTACAGAATTAGACTCTCATTTGCTATCTGTTATTTACTTTAACAAGAAGGAAAAAAACACCAAATTTTATGAAGTTCAGATTTGAAATAACACAAGTATTTACATTTGATAACTCCTACTTTTTCACTCGGCAGCCTTTACTGCTTATAAAAAGAATTCCATTATTCTCATTTCTAAAGTGCAAAATAAAATCCAATAGTATACTAGCTTTATATAGCATTTACAATGGTAATATGTATGGAGGTGATACACTCAATTACAATTTTTCATTTTATGAAATATAGCTATGCTATGTCTAATCACCTAATAGAAATTAGATAACAAGAATATAATATGGCCTTTATGTTTTAATGCACTAAACAAAATAAATCCAGTAATAAAACTAATCCAATATCATTTCTTCACATGTCTATCAAATATTGTTTGCATGATCACATGAAAAGCAATAGACATAAATAGTAATACTGACTCCAGCTAAACCTTATTTTTTTTTTACAAGTTGACAAATAAAAAGGAACAATTTTTAGAGGAAAAGAGATGTGTTTATTCCATCTAGCATATTATAAACAATTGAAATGTTTAAAATCTATTTTTAAAAAGCAATGCCCTTTCAAATAGGAAATGGAACTTGGAGAGTGGCATAATATTTTTTTCCTACCTGTAAATTGGAATTCTGCTGTACCAGTGGTACTGCACGGTCTACCCCTTTTACCAGCATGTGTAGACTTTTTTCAAAAAACCAATCCTAGTACTTCCCTTAGGCAATATTCTTCAGTCTGAGATATTTCAGCAGTAGAAAGTTTCCTCTGGAAAACACCCATGAATAGTATCCTGAACGGAAAAGAAAGCATCGCCCTCACCCTTCAACCTCAGAATGGTCTAGTAGCAAGCAGTGTAGATAAAGGGCTTGGCTCTTGGATTGGTATTGAAGTATTTATGTTTATAGGTAGCTAAAATTTGCCTATCAACTTTATCTGTAGAAATCCAGCATCCAATGAAAAGAGATTTTTCTATTTATATAAATGTTAATCTCCTAACTGTTTCACATGAAAGAATTAACATTGTGGTGGAGCAGACAGAGGGCACCCTTTGGAGTCAGTAAGACCCAATTTTAAGATTCACCTCTGACATAGGGTGGGTAAGTGAACCACTTAAACTCTCAGTGGCCATACCTATCTCTCCAAGGCTTTAAGTTACAGAATAGTGGGTTTGCATCAGTTGAGGGAATTTTCTACACTAAGTTACAAGAGTGTGTACACACATGTAATATATATGTGTAATATGTGTGTGTGTGTATCTATCATATTATTATTGTTGCAGCAGAAATAGTATCTGGCACATTAGTATTTCATATAGATGTACACATATACAAAAATGTAGTAAAACTTTAATTTATGTGTACACACACACACACACACACACACACACACACACACACACACGTATGAAATAATGATGGCAGCCAAGTAGTGCAGTGGATAAAGTGCTGGGCCTGGAGTTAGGAAGACCTGAGTTCAAAACTGGCCTCAGTTATTATGTGACCCTGAGCAAGTTGCATAACTTGGCGGCTTCAATTTCCCCAACTGTAAAATAGGAATAATAATAGCACCTACTTCTTAGGATTTTTGTGAGGATTGAAAGAAATAATATTTGTAAAGTACTTAGCATATAGTAGTTAGTTAATAAATACTTATTCCCTTGCCCTTCCCCTAGAGATGTACCAAATTCCATTCTGCAATAAGAACAGTATTTTCTCTACCTAACCAACAATGCCAATAGAGATGCTATTTTATAATACTTCCCTGGAAGAACTTTTAGACAGGACCACTTTTTAGAATACAGCACGCGCGCACGCACACACACACACACACACACACACACACACACACACACATCTGTATATGTGTGTGATTCTTATATTTGTATTTATTAACTTTTACAGAATGTCCAGTTTTATACTTAAGAATATAGAGTTCAAAGGTTAAAAAGCACAAACTGAGTTTTAACTTCTTACTGGTTTGTATTATTTTTGTTACAATTCTCTGCTTTCAATTAAAGAGCCCCATTTCAATTTATGAGGTAGCCATTTATTAGTGCAAGAAAAAAAATGAAAAGTTATGTTCTTTAAAAGTCTAGTTTTGAATAAACTTTTATGTTCAGTCTATGCCATCTCAAAACTAAAATTAAAACAAAAAAAATTTTGGTAGAAACATCTAAACATTACATAGTGATAATTTTCCCAAGAAAAACTTAATGGTTTTCAACTTGCCATTATGGAGAGCATTCAGCATTTTATAAAATTTTTATCTGGTCATATCATGAACCTAAAAAGCATTCTCTTGTCTTCAGGACCATATTCAACTAATTATAAAGTTCTGCTTATATAATCAAGTTTACTTTAGCTGTTTTCACCTATATTGAATATTTCTATTGAGAACGAGTTGGAAGGTTTCATTCTTAATATCTGAAAGTATGTTTCACTTGTATTCATGACTAGTTTTGCTGTTATATCTTTTATACAAGTAAACATAGTACTACCTGGGACACCTGAAGTTTTCAGAGACTTTTACTTAAAGATTTCTCTATCCGTGACTGTATCCTTGACTCTCATTTACCCACTTAAAAAAGGTCATCATTTGGGCATATTACATTGAATGAAATCTTTTAAAAAAAAATAAGCTACCTTTAGTTACCTACTCTAAGAATACTGTTTTCTGAATAAAACATCTCTGATCAAAGAAAATAATGTTTTAAAGGAAAGTTCTTTAGCAGTGTTTTCTAAGTTCACAAGGTCTATGGGGTCTAGAATTTGTTAGGAAACTACTTGAAACCATTAATGTCTACAACAATGTCTACACTCTCATTTTTAACATGCATTAATGAACTATATCTGTGGTATCTCATCAATAGCAATGCCTTCTTCTACATCAGTGGTGGTAAACCTTTTTGGTGAAGTGGCAAGCAGAAATATGCAGGGTAAAAGGACTCGGGTGTTTTTTGCCTCAAAAATGCTTTGCAAAATGGAGAAAAATAGAGAAGCCAGTGATTTACAAATTTAAAATAGCTTTAGTTTCTGAAAATACAAAAATGACCAAATGGATAATTACAGCAAAACCTCCTGGCCAAAACTATCTGTGAACAAGTGATAGTTCAATTCTTAAGCCTCTGCCCCATTTTCTAGGCCCACTAATTATTGCAAATTTCAAAAAGGTGAGGTATCACAGTAGAAACAGTCCTCATTCCAGTCAGAGGACTTGAATATGATTCTAGTTTTGCTAATAATTACCTATTTGACCCTGGGGCATTCAACTTCTCCCAGCTTGAACTTTCTCATCTGTAAAGTAGGAGAGTTGGACTTAATGGCCTTTGAGAGCTCTTCTAGCTTTAAATGTATGAACCTATGATTGTATGAACTCTTACTGTTATGATAGGAACACAGAAAACAGTAGGTTCCCAACCTGGTAGCAGTGATGGTAGACCCCTTGGGTGATTGTGGAGTCACTACAGGGGATCCAAGTAGCCAAATGCAGAAATGTTGACTGAATAAACCATGTGTTAAATATGTACGTGTGTGTATGTGTGTGTGGGGGCATATGCATATATACACATATATAACATGTATTATATATGTATACATATAATATATATGTTACTAGTTTTCAAAAGCACGTAGATGTTGTTAACATAAAAGTATTACTGAATTCATTTTTGTTCAATTGTGGGATATGAAAAAATACAGCAGCTATAATACAACCTATAAAATTTTCTTACATTAAAAAACCCTCTTATTTGCTTAAAAGCTTTCCTTTTTTTTACCAGAGGGACTCTTCTTGCATATCTAGTGGTGGTGGTGGTGGACTATATCAGGAAATGCTGTCGTGTTAAAACAAAAGACAACATTAAAAAAAGTTCTCACTTGAAGGCTCTTCAGGACGTGCTATGTTAGCAAAGGGTTACCTTTCCCAAAGTCAGGCTTAAAGACGAGGTGTTGCTCAGCAGCACTTGATAACCTTTATGGGGGCCAGTCATTCGTAAGTTTGTTCAAATCTGTTTTTGAAGCATTTATGTTTCTGTCTATACCACCTCTTGGAATGAAAAGTTCCACAAATTTATTATTCAACGGAAAAAAGCATTATTTCCTTGTATTTACTCTGTATTCATTTCACTCAATTTAAAAGAACGTAGCTTTATCTCAGTATTTGGGAGTTTTGTGAAGCAGATCAGATTTGGTTGACTTCATTGATTTTGATCATTTGATCAAAATGCTTTTATAAGCATTTATTTTTCCAATCTGGAAATCTCTTTGTTTTTCTTTATAAGGCTGCTTCCCTATATCTCTGGCCATTTTTTTTTTGTTCTTCTCTGAATCTCCAAATATACCTGTGGTTAGATACAGCAACCAGAATGACATTACATAGTAGTCACTATGACACTACATAGTAGTCTTGATTCTGGTATACTTTTGCCTATCTCCCCAGTTGAAAGTTATTTCCTTCCTCTCAAAGTTTAGAAAAATACTTTGGATCTTTGCTTTCTCCTTATCACAGTTTACTCTGCATCATATCTATTTGTGTCCATGACCTTTAGTATGAAACCTTTTCAAAAACTTTTAGAAGACCAAGCAGAACATATTTACTTTTACCTCATTTTAGAGAGGTACATGACAGAACACTGGACTTGGAGAGAGGAGGTCTGTGTTCAAAGCCTGCTTCAGACACCTATTAGTTAGGTATCCTTGGGTAAACCTCAATTTCTTCATCCATAAAAAGGGGATAATAATATTTTTACTATTTATGTCACTATTTATGTCATAAAGAAAAACCTTTGCAAACCTTAAAGTACGAAGCATTAGTTAATATTACATGCCTCATTTAAATCCTCAAGGAACGTCAATAAATTACCGAGGCATGATTTCATCTTCTAGAAATAATGTTCCCTCATATTCACTTATTATATTATGGAACATTAAACACAAGTATATAAAAAAATGTGATTTTTGTCACTGTGGAGACCTTCCAGTATGAGAACCCTTTCCAATGACAAAGATTATAATCTGTCCTTGACTTCTTTGATAACTTCTAGGTCATTACTGGAGGAACACCGAGGTCAAGTGACTTGCTCAGAGTTACATGTCTCTTAAGCAGCAGAAACTTTGAATCCAGGTCTTTCTAATTTTAAGCCCAGTACTCTCATCCATCAGGCACATTGTTTAAATTGACTTTTATATATTTTTATAGGCATACTAATCTGTGATATTTTTGTTAACTTATCTCAACAATTGTAGCATTTAGTAAAAATTTACAGCAGTGTATAATAATTATTACCTTTGAAAACAAAAACTGACCTGTTTTTAAAATCAGAGAATTTCCCTTTACCATTATCACAAATTAGTGAAGTTTTTACTAAATTCAAATGACTTTTTCTTAGTTCCACTAGTGATATGGATGAAAGTATAATTTTTCACTAAAATAATTCATGTTAAAAATTCACTACAGGTAAAATTTTGTTAAATGTTCTTTTTTCTAAGACAGGATATAAGTGAACAGTTGGCACTTGGCAACAGCAATGCAAGAAAGAGACACATTTTAAAAAATATAGCATGAGCAAACTGATCTAATTTGATCTACATGATACCTTTGGTTGCATTTCTTATATGTTGTCTTCATTCATTTTTCTTGCTTTATTATTGTGAAAAGGCAGTCATTAAATATCATCAGATCACTGATTTCAAGAAACATTTAAAATATCCTTGTAATTCTAAAATAGGTTATGTTTATTCAAAATTTATTCTCTAAGAGAAAATTAAATCAAATGAAGTTGCCTGGGAGAAGTACTGCGATTGGTGGTTTGAAAATTGAACTTCCATCTAGTAGTAGAAAGGGTATAACCTACAGCCCTGGATTGGTATGAAAGAATAAATCAGATAAAATTAATATTTACAAAATAAACATTAAGTTAGAAATTAACAATTTAAAATCTTTTCACATTTTTCTTTTTTCTTTCATTCTTTTGGTTTAATATTTTCTGTTTCATTCTCCAATTACTTAAAAGCCAACTATTATAATCTCCTCATTTTGATTATACTTGAAAAAAAAAACTTAAAACATATAACACCATATACAAAAAACTTATATTTCTACAATTATTTTGAATCAAATTTAAAATGACTTGCCATCTTCATGTCGGAGGTACTGATTTCCGCCTCTGTCTCTAGCTAAGGACCATGCCTCTCCTTCATCACTCTCACAGAACTCTACCATGCTGTTCTTATCCAGCTGAACCCATGTACCTTCAGAATTGGTTACCTGGTGTACATACACAAAAAGCATGGTTGACTGTCTTTATCCTTTGAGAAAACTGAGTGCTGATAGCCAGTAAAATGCTATTGCAGTGTAATAATTCCAATTAATTTCTGTCACATAATAACAAGTTTCTGAAATTAAGGCCACAGCCTGAGGTAACACAAAATCATCTATATTAAACATTTCTTAAAACATTATATTAATTGATGACTTTAGATAAAAAAAAGCCAAAAAACCAAATAACCAAATCTATCTTGAACTGTGAAGATAATTCCGAATTTAAGACTTTAGCACGTAATGTGTGCTTTCTTTGGCATATGATATGTCACGACACAATGTCTATTGTTTAGTGTGTATGTTTTCAGGACTTTTATCTTTAGCAAACATTCCTGACGCTTTTTAAGAAATAGCATGACACACTACATCTTCAAGCCCATTTGAAGAGACAAATGCCAGCTTAGAAAAACTAGTTATTGTATTCACTCAGGGACTTCAAATAGACAGATGAATGGGTACAAAGAAACAGGCCCCCTTCTGCACTGGTCATAACACAGGAAACTTGAAAAGTATTACTTCATCAAGTTGAGTTTAACACTGATTCACAACGAAATAATTATTTGAAGCTGTTAATTTATTGCAGTACATTTGTAATACTGAAAAAAAAACAGGTGAATATTGATGATTTTTACATAAAATAGCCGCTTTATTAGTATAAGCATTGATCTCACTAGGGCAATTATGAGGAGAAAATAAAGATTACAAAAAGAAAACATAAAGAAAGTTATATTAGCATTTCCAATACAAGTCAAGATCAAAATATAAACATTGACATTTAAAAACCTGGGATGAAAATGCTAACCTTTTGAAGGAGGTGAAGCTTTTGTTGAATTATGTTATAACGGATATCTAAGAAGTCATGAAGCTACAAGAAATCATACCTCTCCCACTGCCTTGACTTTGTTTCCCAGTACTAACATTCCAATTGGGATACCTCTAAGGTTGGGGCAGCTTCTGATGTTGTGACCTGATGGTCCCGTCTTCACTACCTTATACACTCCTGGCCCACCTCGGAGGAATGGTATATCTGGGTCTTGCATTACTGCTTCTTGTGGGCAGCGGGAATTCAGGTCTTTGAAAAAGTCCTCCGTATTAGACTTAGTTTCCTAAACATTTGAAAACAAGAACAAAACAAAATCCATGACCACTTTTATATAATTTCAAATGAGAACTTTAGCAAGCCTACAAAAGAAGAACATTTATATCAAAATGACAATATTCACTTAGATGTCATAGTAACTTTTGATGGATATCACAATTAAATTACTTTTCTCCTCTCTTGGAGAGGCTTTAAAAATGGAGTTGAAGACAAAAGGAAAGGCCCAGCAACAGGCACAGACAGAGCTATTAAGAGAAGGGAATTGTGAAGGACTTGGAATCAGTGACAATGATGGGGCAGTTTGTTTTTCCAGTAATGTTAAAATGATTACCCTAACAAAAGGAAATTGCAAAAAGAAAATGACACAGCTATAGAGTTTTGTTTCTTAAAAAGTAACATTCAACACTTTCCCAGAGGAAGAGAAAGATCTAAGAAGTGTTTCTTTAAGGGTTTACAAATGAGAAAAGTAAAGAAAAATACAGCTTCTGGGAACTGGTACAATATATATTTCAAGGAGGAAAAAAAACACTTAACATGAAAGGTTTAAGAACTTTAACAAGATAAGTTCTTGCAAACAAATCACAAGAGAAGATACTAGTTGTACTTTCACTATGAAACATACTATTATTTGCAGTAGAAATAGTAATGCTGTACCTGCAAGTATTCTTTGGAACTCTTAAATCACTGACTTGTGGCAATGTATTTTCTTTTTCTTTTTTTTCAAGGCAATTGGGGGTAAGTGACTTGCCCAGTCACACAGGTAGCGTCAAGTATGAGGCTGGATTTTAATTCAGGTCCTCCTGGCTCCAGGGCCAGTGTTCTATCCACTACGCCACCTAACTGCTCCAACGTATTTTCATAACAGCAATGTTGGGAAAGCCCAGAACATTATCCTCCATTTCCCAATCGAAAATTACGTATCAAGAAAAGCCAGGAAGCATCCAAAGACATTTTTCCACTGAGAGATATAAGAAAAAAGGCCTAAATTTTGGCAGTATATATATACATATACATATACATACATACATATATATATACACACACACATATATACATATATAATTGCATGTGTTGTTATACATAACACATGCATTCATATATGTATGTATATACTGCTGGAATTGTACCTTGAAGGTTTATATAATTTAACAACTCATACTTTCTCCACCAAAGGAAAAAATGATACGATACTTGTGTTTGAAGGGTCATGGCCACAGTCTTTAAATGTATATGAATGTTAAAACGTCTTGTACTTTTATCATAAGTAAAATAGGTACAAGGTACAAGGATTCTTTTTTCTTTCGAAAGAAAACAAAAAACATATTGTACATAAGAAAGTAACTGTTTATGCTATTGTTCCAAAAGGAACCAAGGAATCTGAGGCCCAGACTCAAAGTTTTCTGCTGACTTTTGAATAATGTTTTTCAGTTAGTCTGCTAGAAGACTGATAGGTGGCAGAGCAGATGGAGAGCTAGTCCTGGGGTCAAAAGACCTGAGTACAAATTCTGCTTCTAACATTTACTGGTATGTGCCTCTAGGCAAGGCACTTTACCTTTTCCTGCTTCAATCTCTTCATTAGCCAATGTGGATAAGAAACAGAATCTATTTCACCCTTCATAAGGGTGGCTATAAACATCAATTGAGATAACATGTGGAGTGCTTTGTATACTTCAGAATGCCAGCTATCATTAGCATTAGCATTATGATTCCATGCCCATTTTTTATGAGCAAGAAAACTGCTATAGATTTTCAGTCCAGATTTGACCATTTCTGCCACACCAACATGTAGGTTCGACATTTACACCCCTCTGATACCCAAATTGCATTAGCTTAATATTTTTCACTCTTACTGCATTATCTGTAAAGTGTTACAGAGTAACACAGAGATCAATATGACAGGTCTTCTGTACACTAGTGTAATCTTACAATCTTTTGCTGCACAGTAAATTATGGCTTTGTCAGCAAAAAAAAGATACATTGAAAGGAAAAGTCAACCTATGCTTTATGCGTGATTAAAAAAAATAAAGTGGCTACATGCTAATTATTATATAGTGAAAGCTCTCTTCATTTAATGCAATCTGTGGATTTGGGAATTTTTGTTGAGTTTAGATATTTGAGTCACTCAGATGAGGTCTGAAATATATTATAGCCTGAAAAAGTATTTCGTAAAGCTAATTAAGGTTCTAAATGCCAACTGTATTAAAATAGGGAAAATATATACTGTAAAATTTTAATTTATAAATTTGTATTTACTGTACTCACTATACCATATTTATACACCATTTTCTTTTTTATATTCCTCAAAAGTGCTACATAGGCTAAATTAGAAGATATAAGTTACATGGAAGTACATATTTACAACATTTGCCTTAGTTCATATTGTTTGTGTGTGCATTTTTAAAGACCAGATCTGTGATTTCATCAGTGTGGGCAGGTCCTGTAATTTCTAATAAGGAAATTCCTTTACTGATGCAGACTGGCACCTTTTTCACCATTTAGACTCTTAGAGTTTCATGAGTGCACTAAAAGGTTAAGTAGCTTATCCGGAATCACACAACCAGTATATATCAGAGGAAGGATTTGAACCCCAAGTCTTTTGAACTCCAAAGGTTAGCTCTCTATCCACTATAACACAATACCAATGTAAGATACAAAATACAACACATCCACACATTTAGACATCTAAGTAGCACTACCACACAAATAATATTTACTGGTAAATATTTTCAAATGGGCATTTATATAAAAATCCATTGTAGTAAATTCAAAAATATACCGAAGATTCAAACTAGTTTTCTTTGTTTCCTATTATTTTATGCTGAATCCTGCCTGAGAAGCTTATTAGCTATTTGACCCAGAGCAAGATACTTCACTTCTCTTAAGCTTCTATTCCCTCATCTGTAAAACAGGGTTCATAATAGTGCCTACCTCAAAAGGATTATTGAAAGGATAAAATGAGATAACATATGTCAAGAATTTTGCAAATCTGTAAAGGCACATGAAAGGAAAAGTAAATACATGTATATTTAAGATGGATGTGATAAAAAACAAAAAACCAAAAAAAATTTTCTGATGTTAAATAAAAACTATTTCTGAATCAGTTATAATGGTCTAGCCAATGTACATTTTGGGTTAGTAGGGGAAGGGAAAGTCTATAGTACAAAGTATTTAAAATGGAAATTGCAAAATGTATACCAAAAAAACCCATTTCCAGACATTTATCAAAATATTATTTTTAATATTTATTAGGTGAAGAAACCAATTTCTGTGTATGTTTTCTACTATTCAAGATCGGAGAAAAGTGTTTTGATTATACATTTTATGATGTACTTGTATTCTCAAGAAGGCCAAAGAAAGCGTTCTGCTTAACAGGGCAAAACCTAAATCTGAGTTTCTCTTTTTTTTTCCTGACCTGGTATTCAAGTGGAAGAGCAAATGAGCAATGAAAATGATCAAAATGACAATCAATACAAGGAGGTGGAGGAGACATACATATCTGAGAGCTACCAATCATGTAATCAATTCCTGAACATTCAAAACTTGGCTAAAACTACTGAAGTTATACAACTTCATAAAATATAAAATAAAATTTGAATTATTACATTCTTTTGCAAAGGTAGAGCATAAAAGTTTAAAGAAAATGCAAACTATTTTTCTTAACTGTGGTTTTTATATTAAAATGTATTTTCTATCAAAATATTAAGTACAAGCTTCAAAAACTAGATTGTAATGTAAGTTATACATGCTTAAAGCTGGAGATAAAGCATGACTGCACCTGACAGTTAACTCACCTGGGGAAAAAAAGCTTTAGAAGTCCATGAAAAAACGTCCAAATCCCTGACTCCTTGGCTAGCATTAAAGATATTCTGAGCAATAAAGTTTAAGAAAGACATATCAACAAAGAAAGGGAACAGGATATCATCTCCAGAAGATGCTAGACATAGTACAACATTTTCTCCATGCTAGCACTCATACACAAAGAGTATTTTACTAAAGGGGAAGTGCTTTGTCTCTAAATGAAGACACCTGAGTCCAACAATCAATGAAGAGTATTTGTTAAATAAAATATTATGTCAAAAGCTCTCTATAGATGTAGTGTGCCATGCCATTTACAGAAATTAAGAGCCAGACATTACTATATAGCTTAAGTCATTTAGTGCATGAAGAACATATTCAAATTTCTTTACAGAAGAAGCATCTTTTCTAGTGCAAGCCAGATTTGTTTTATGACAGAAAAGTCTGTTATTTTGTAAAAACAAAATAAAACCAATTTGAGTAATTTGTAGATAGTATAAATAATAATATAACCATTATTATGGATAACAACAGAATGTAGCAAATGGGGATTTTGGGACATTATTTAATTGTAAAGATGGGAAAAAAGTGAGAAAAAAGTCAAAGGCAAATAAAGTAAAAACTGAGTCACACCCCTTTTCCCCAAAATAGAAAAATAATTACAAGTGATTTTTTAAAGGTTTTACAGAAAGTCATCACCAAATTAATCAATAAAACTCCAAGAAAAATAGGCAGTTCCTTTTTTTCTTGAAGGATAAGCCTACCTCGAAGGGTAGAAAATAGACCAAGTGTTGAAGCCTCCTTAAAATTATTTACTTTCAACAACTTCATGCTTTTTTTTTAAAAAAAAAGCAACAGTTTCATAAAATTAATCTAGATTAATTAACTTTTAAAATATTTTTTATATCTGGACCATACTTGAACTCTGTATGAATTTGCCCGGAAACACACATATTTTTTCCCCATAAAAAGCAAGTGTATATAACTTCACAGTTTAAATAGGAAATGAAGTTTTTTTAGCAAAAAGATGTAACATACAAAATATGAAAAAAAATCCATCTTTAAACCATTTTCACCCAAAGTTTCAACCAGTAATGACAACTCAAATTCCAAATCAGTTAAAATCATTTAAGTCATTTACAACTAACACGTAATGAGAAACAGAAGATGCAAATAAGCTAGAAAATTAAAAAAAATTTTGGAATGCACTCTTTAAAGACACAGGGCATATAAAATGGCACCAATACATAATTAAATAAGTGGTAAATGGATGCCATTTTAGCTAGAGAAAAGAGGAAAAATTGTGCAATGCAAAGTCATCTGAAATAATACTTAAAAAAACTTTAAGTCTATACTGGTTAACTTCATTTTTGTCCTTATTATGTGTGATAATAATCATAACATATTAATAACTGGTACAATGCATATTTGTTTCTTGGCCTATGCTTTTACTCCCAACATATAACAGTTATTCAGGCATTTCATGCACAAAACAATTTCCAGCAGTTCTCTTGCAAGCAATACTTTTTTTTCGTTATTGTTAAAAACTATTTGTAAAAAGCAGTGCAGATGGAGTTAGCAGGAAAAAAGCAATGTGATGATAGTGTTACATTAACATATAAAGCTTGTACCTCTCTTTTACCTTATTTTTACAAACTCATCCTTTTTATGTTGTACAAAATGTACAAATAACAGTTTAAGATAATACAACATTATACATTTGTGATTATAAACTCGGTGTCAAAACTGTTAATTTAAAAGGTAAAAAAAAGTAAGCAAAAATGAATTTTGCTAATATGAAAATTATTTTAACCTTTGTAATAAAATTGATAGGTATATCTATTCTATATGCATTTACCAAATGAAAATTATTGGAAAAAAGCAGTTTCCAAACTGAAAGACATTTTATAAAGTAATGAAAGAAGCCAAGTGTTAAGGACCTAGAGTTTAAAAATAACAGATTACAGTATTCTTGAATGTTTAATAAAAGAAAGCCTTGGTTTTAGGGATATGGAATATTAATGCAAAGTTTTGACCTTTAAAAAAAACAACCCTGAATTCTTAGTATAACACATTCGCAAATTGTTTTTTAATGCTATGCAACTGATTAAATTGATTGGCAACAGCATTACACATACTCCATACAATGACATAGTTCTCCTTGAAAACCTGTTGTAATAGGACAAAAATCCCTGACAAACAAATAAAATGAACCAAAAGTACATTAGAAATAACATCCAATGATATTATCACTACATAACAATTCATTAATCTACAGACTAAACTACTCCTTGCTCAAGGTAAAACTAAGCCAAACAAACCAATGAAAAAAGGAAGGCCAGAGAAATTTTATTTTAGTGTTTGACTACAGAAATAAAGGCACAACAATGTGCCAAATTTTACATTTATTAAGAATATTCCCAAAGAGCTACATAACCACAGAACTATAAAGATAATCAAATACAATATATATTCACAATCCATAGAATACTTAAACGTTTTAAGCTACATCTTAATCTCAGTCCTTAAAGGATATATAGAAATGTGGTACAGTGAAAAAAGGGCTGAAAGACATGGATTTGAATGCTGACTTTTCTACTTACTACCTGTGTGACCTTGGGAAAAATCAATTTAGCCTCTCTGGGCCTCAGTTTCTTTACATGTAAGAGGAAGTTGGGACAAATGATCTCATAAGGCCCCTACAAATCCAAATCACATGTTAAATAAGTTCCTCCCTTAAAATTTTATCCACCCTTGTGTGCTTTGGAAGTGATCCAAAGTTTTTAAAACTTAAACTGCTCTATGGAAGCATAATCACTTGCAAGTTATACCAGGCTGGAAAAGCGGACTATATGTCTGTTATTTGAGGACCTGCTTAACAAGGTTCACCAGGGTGTGTGGTGGTAAAATTACAAATAGCTTGGAGTACTGAAGAAGGAAAAATGCCTTTTAAGTGATATTTTGAGTGATAAAGTATATATGGGATATTTTAAAAGCCGTGTTTATATTTCCTCTTATTTGTTCATGCTTTTAATGCAATCATTTTTTTTTAAAGGCAGCAATTGCCAGGTATTACTAGGTATCTGAATAAACCAGTTCTCTCCTAAACCGTAACTGATTTTGTGCCAACTACTTTGTCACTGTAATTATCAGACCTGTTATAATCACTCTTGGAAGAGGGCCCCTTATAAAGCAAAGTACAAGGAGAACACAAACCTTTCCTCATTGTTAAGCACACTGCCTGGCACGTTGTGGGTCTTAATAAATGCTAGCTGTCTGACTTAACTCCCACATTTCTTAGAGTACCAAAACATAGAGTAAGTCATAGAATTTGCCTTTTATGCAGGCCCAAAGTGCTAAGAAACCATTTACTCCAAATACACAGAGATAATAAAAAATCCAATTTGTTGCTGTAGGACTTATGACAATGTAGAAATTACTAGAATGTATAATAGTACAATTCTATTGATAATTTTTCTTGTTTCCTACACTGAGGAGTATGGTTCAGTGGAAAGAAAACAAATTAGAAATGGAAAGCCCAAACTGTTTTGACCTCGCCTTTCCCTAGCTATGTGACTTTGGACAATTAAGGGATTATTCATTCTTGCCCTAACTACTTCCTAAGGATGTGGTGAGATGTAAGTGTGAATGTGAAAGTGATTTAAAAACTGTAATTTACAGTGGTGAAATATTGTTATCTTCTACTGTATATCTTAATCTTCTCCAAAACACAAGTATGTATGCACACTGTTTAATGACTTCATTTTTGAGAAAGAAGTCAAACTTCTGAAAATAGGTTTCAAGGTATTCTACTGCTTCCTTGTAGACTTCTTTGGACATTCTATTTCTTTCTAATCCCCTACATTATTATACTGATTTCCCAATAAACCTATAACCCAGCCACTGAGTCCTAGTTAGGCAAATACACAGTGCTCTGATACATGCTCTGTATACAATTTACTCTCTTCTTCAAGCTACCTATAATGCCTGAAATAGCTAACCACCCACACACCACCTTCCACAAACCTATATTTAGGTGAAAAATCAATCTTTTCAAACAATGTCTTCCTTGGTTAATCCATATGAAACCACTACTTCGCATAGTGCTTTGCACATAGTAGATACGTGCTGAATTTAATATCTCATGGCAATCAAGCAACCAACAAGTCTGCAGATATTTATTTTTAGTCACTGTTATATTATATTATATTATACAACTTTTCCATGTGCACACACATGCATGTTTGTGTATATCATTCTTGTCCTTTCAATTCTGGGAAGAAAGAGGTTTCGGAGTATGGTTGCTCAAATATTTGTATATAGTGATAATTAAGTGTATGATAGATTTACCAGTTTGGTTTTGTATTTTAAAAATATTAACTGAATCTCTCATTGAACGAACTGGATAGAGTCAATTCTGAAATCAGAAGAGTAACTAACTTATTAATTCAACACATATATTTAGTTCTAGCTATGTGTAAAGCACTGGGCTGGGTGCTATGAAAGGGTATGTAACACACATTCCTCTCAACAATGAAAGGAGTTAATGATCTGGTAAGGATGACAAGGCATGTTTATTTCATTCTAAAAATATAGTACTGTTAGTTATATGTGTATGTGTATATGTAGTTTAAATTTGAAAAAAAACTATTTTACTGAATTGCAATTTTTCTTTAATTTTTTTCTAAATGTAAACTGCTAATATATCTACTAACAATCTATTAAAAATGGTACAGATTAAATCAGTCAAAAAGTATTTGTTAAGCACTTAATACGGGGCAAGCACTGTGAAATTAGCAAAGTGGGAGAATGGGGCCTAAAGAGTACACAGAAATATATGTAATAAAGGAATTTCATGACAGGTAGAATTAACTGAGATATCAAACCTAGGAAACTTGGCTTCTGTCTAATAGATCAGGTGCACTCTCTCCATGATACTCAACTACTGACTTAATTCCTGTTCCAAACTCCTCCACTCTGCATCTGGCTGGGTCCTTGCCCTTTATTCTATGCACTTCCTTCACAGGATCATTTTTCACCCTTCCTCCATTCTGACCATACTCACAGCTGTTAATCTGCCCACTCTTTTTTTTTCCCCTTTCTTTTTTACATACAATGGAAACCTGGCATACACAGTTAAAACAAGAAGGACAAACACTGAACCAAAATACATCATCATGAAATTTCAGGACTGGATGGTACTTTAGTGACTATTAATCCAAGCAACCAGGTGGCATAACAGATGTAGTACTAGAGTTAGAGTAAGGAGAATCCAAGTTCAAATCCTGCTTCTGATATTTACTTGCTGTGTGATCCTGGTCAAATCACTTAACCTTATTTAGCCACAGTTACCCCTTCTGCAAAGTGGAGACAATAAGAGTACATAACTCAAAGGGTCTGTTATGAGGAGCAAATAAAATAACACATGTAAAATACTTTGCAAACCTCAAAGTGCCATACAAATGCTAGCTATTGCTATTTAACAGATGAGGAAAAAAGGCCCCAGATAAATTTATTGATTACTTAATCCTACAAGTAAAGGATCAGAATTTAGGTTTGTTTGGAGAATCCTAAACTACTACCCTTTCTCCCACATTACTATCATTAAATAGATTCATTGTTAAGAATTTAGGAAAACACACAATCAGAATTTTTATTTTAATATAATTTACTGCAACTTGATTAGCAAAGTATGATTACTATGGTGCCTTTTAAGAAGGGATTCTATTATATTCAGAAAAGACTTTAATGACAGTATCAAGGAAAAGAACCCAAATACTGTAAATTCTCAGTTATACACGGAAATGGAGGAAGAAATACTAAGCATATATATATATATCTACACACACACACATATGTATGTATGAATTTACAAAACAGTTAATCCAAAAATTATTTATGGGGTATTTGGTTTTGGAATGCAGTATGTCATGCCTTTTCCAGTAGATTAATCAAGCTAATTATAGTCTTGCTTATTTTCTTCTCACTAAATTCAAAACTTCTGATTTCAAAAGTGATAAATGGCCCTTCAGAAAATTTTATACTTCTTCAATGTCAGAAGGAAATAACCCACTATGGACGCTTCTTGTGCTTATGCAAGGGCCCTTCCTGTGTAAATGATAATCTAGATATGCCACAGCACTGAGGTTAAGTGAAATGCCTATGGTCAGTGGCAGGCCTTGAACCTAGACCATCTTGCCTCCCAGGCCAGTCCCCTACTAAATACACTATCCTGCTTTTGTAATTTTCAAATTACTGTCCACATTAGCAAATGTGTTTTTTTTTTTCCACAGAGATTTTGTAAGTTTTGTCCTTAATTTAAAGGCAGCTAGGAAACAATGTTTATTTGCTATTAAAACCAATATTCATTTTACTATTAATACTCAAAACCCTGTCATTTAGATTCTAGTTGTCATTAGAATTTTTCCAATAAATCAGCAATAATCATCTTATCCAAAGTTCTAAGGATAACGGAAAAAAAAAAGTTAAAACTGGCTAACATCTTTAAAAAATGTCTACAATGGGTTTTTAAAAAAATAATCACACATCCAAATTTTAATATTCTGTGCCTCTGCCACAGTGAAGCAGGTTTCAAATTTTGAAATCAAATTTTCACCACAATAACCTGGTATTACCCTCAACCGCTCTGCCCTCTATTTCCACAGTTCCTAGTTTTCCTTTCTTTTTCAATTTTAAAGTGTGGGCATACATCAGAGAGTGATAAAAAGAGATGATTTATTAGTGTAAATTTTCTTATTTCTTAATTGTTTTCCATATCAATTCTAATTCTAGTATTAGATTCCTATTAAGAATCTCACCACTAACTTTTAATATAATTTTTTTAGCATAGTCCATACAAACCACATTAGAAACCCTATAACTCAGTAGTCAAACTTAAAAACCTAATGTATTTTAGTTCTATATGTTACTATGAATATTGTACAAATGGTAAGTAGAAAAAAGGATTAATCTGAATCTTATCTAAATGCCCACTTAAAATGGCTTTGTTTAGCATAGATTCACTTTCTTAAACTATATATTAACGTGTAGATCAAGAAAAGTTTGTGCTGGTTTTCATACATAAGTAGTAACCATATTAATGTCCCTCAGTTTTTCACTGAACTGAAATGGTTTTCACTGAATTTATACAAAGGCCACAAGTGTGGTATCCAAGTATCCTGGTATTCAGGTACCCAGGTATCCAGGGAAGGTGATTTTACCAAAGGCTATTTAAATTATTCCAAGGATCTAGGATTTAGGTAAAAAAAAAATGTATCACTGCCTAAAACTAAAGCCAGTCTTGTGTTCTTACTTCCTACAGTAGCAAGGTAATTCATTGTAAGACAATGATACAAATTTACACAAAACACAAAGATGAATTACAAACCACCAACATAAAAAATAAAAATGCGATTTAGTGAGAAAACTTCTCTAGGAAGTATAAATAATTTGCTTTTATAAATTTTAATTTGAAGTTCAGTTCAAATAATGGTACAAATGAAAAAGAAAAAACAAATATTTAATCAGTTTTTCTACCTCCTACTGCAGAATTTAATGGTTCTGATTTTTCCTTTTCTTTTTTCCCTACAGATAAGTGATATGAAGTTTAAATGATCTTAAACTTTCTACATTTCATCATCCTTAGGGAGAAGCTCTCAAGAATTCAAGCATCTTAAAAGTTATTAGTTATCAAGTTAAGTTGTGATTTACCTCAGAACTGTAAAATCGTAGCCTTAATTAAAGAAAGCCTGTAATGGGGACAGAGTGTACCTCTAATATTTTTCAAAGGCACCTTTTACTTACGTCAACAGGGACCAGAAGGCTCTTGCCAAGATGCTGGTTAAAAGAGAGGCACCAGGCTTCAGTGTAACCATTCATGTTAGGCACATACTTCTTTATTGTCTCATCATTCAGTCTCAGCCACACACCATCATCATTGTGGATCTATGGGAAACAAGCAACAAAAACGAGCCATGCCCTCCTGTAACTGCAATGAGAGTAGCAAGGACTTAAAAAAGACTGGAAAGCAGGCAGACAATGACAGACATGGAAATTAAGCAACTAGCTAATGGAAAAAAAAAAGACTGTAAGAATTCATGGCCATGGTGGGGTTGGGGAAGAAGCAACAAAGGATGCCCAAGCATGATGATAATTTTACAATGGAGTTATGAAAATAATTTCTACCAGCTAGTAAAAGCATTAAGATGATAGGTCATTTTAGAATGAGGAATCAGGTCTTTTCCCAAAGATGTTTATAAGCAAGTGTCTCATTGTTTTGCTAAAAAATGTTGTATGGAATTAATAAAATAACCTTGGAATAAAATAAAGCATGACTTGGAAGAAATGCAACATTTCAAAGACTGAAGAAAAACGGCACACCTTTTTAATGATTTCACATTTTAAATTTATGCCAATTATTTCATCTAAATATAGTCTCAGATATTTTCATAATGATAAAGAAAAATTACATTTGTGAGACTGGATAAACAAATATTACCCTCCCAAAGTCCCTAAATTTTTATTTACAATAGCTTTAACTCTATTACTCAAATAGAAAAATAAGAGAACTTTTTTTACGGAAATTATGAGCAATTAAAGTTGAAATCCAAATTCACATCCAAAAATTTCCTTATAAATTACCTCGTCAATAAAAGTGATGGTTCCATTGACTTTTACTATGCCTATCTGTTCACTCTGAAGGGAAGGGTGGCTACGGATACGAAGCCCTGCACTGTCCTTGGCCACAAATTTTCGAACCTAAGAGAAGCAAAGATAGTAAGGGAGGAAGAACTTATAACAGAGCTGTTGCAAGTAAGAAGAAACAAACTCAATGGACGTTGAAAATGCTCCATTGTGGAGAAAATATCTCAAAAACATTTGTTGCTGGTTTCTCATTGTAATCCACACCTAGTTTCTGGTTTGCTTTGGAATCATAAAAAAGTACTTTTTGAAAATATTAGAATATACTCTACTACACCAATAAGATTGGAAAACGATTCACACAAAGTTTGTTATAATTTATCATTTTATTTTCAGCTTTAAATACACATAATAAAGGAAGAAAAAATTTATACCTTACTTCTTTATGTTAGTAGAGGCTAGACCATATAGCTGATATGGCTCCTTAAATATAAGCAAACAGATACAGTTTTTCTATATCTAACATGGAGATATAAGGAAACTCATACGTTTCCTTGAAAACATACTTCTTGAAATTTGTCAGTTTTATAATGATACAAATATGGTACGATATTCTATTGGGTATTACTTAACCTTCAAATAAGAAATAGAGAAACAGAGTAGAAACTACTTTAGACTATGCTGGAAGGCTTAGCACTTAACAAAATTTGGTAGTATTGTTCCTTTGCTCAGAGATCTCCTTGGTTCCTAACTGCTTTCTTGTACAAGTACAAACCCCTTGGCTTGCCACTGAGGCCTCCAAATTTTGGCACTACTTTCTTTTTTACAGTCGTAACCATTCTCTTTACTTTCCAGGCAAACTGGATTAGTCTGTCATTGATACACCCAGTGTGTTTCTTGCCTTTATCACGATGCTTCCTAGACCCAGAAGGTATAACCTCCCCCTTCACACAGCCAACAAACATGAATAGGTTGTAACCTATTCTATAAAACTCAACTCATGAGTTGAGTACCTGCCTAAGACACTTATGCATAATTTCATATTATAGTTATCTGGTATTCACCTATTTTATCTCCCTTTTAGATTGTAAGCTCTATGTGGACAGAGATTACTTGGTATCTAAACCTTTCTCCCAATAGCTAGCAAAGTACTCTGGAAAGAACAGAGGTTTAAGAAATGTTTGCTGAATTACATTAAATAATAACAAAAAGTCCTAATATCTGTAAATTAGGACAGAGTTACTAAAGACTAGGTATTTGTAATTTATGTCCTGCAGCTATTATTTTAAAAGAAGCATTTTCTTTTATAATAGCTATGAAGTCATTCTGATTCTTATTTAACTCTATTCTAACCTTATTTGGCTGAGGTTCAGCCTTCGGTCTGATCAACTGAGTTCCAGGTGGGATCATTCCTTTTGGTGGATCTTTCACTTTCACTTCTAAGCCTGCATCTTTAACAAAAAGAAACAATAACAACAAAAATTGTAACATTAAAGAAAAATATATTAAAATGCATTTTGAATATTTGATAGATAATGATGTACAATGAACAAATATTACAGATCTACACACAATGGTTGATATCTATACTGTGTTTCTGCATCTGATTCGGCAAGAGAATGATAAAGAGATAGAAAATGACATCAATGGTACTTTGAAAATGTTATTCACTGAAAAATTTCTATTACTACGATATAAAATAAAATGACAATAATAAAATGTTGAATTAAAAACTTATTTCATAGACTCACAGAATAAGAAAGTTGGAAGGGACACTATATTGTCTAGCCTGTACCTAAGAGTCCCTTTGACAACATCACTGACAAGTGGAAATGTTGCCTCTGTTTGAAAGCATTCAGTGGGGTCTGGATATGCTGGAGTTTGCTGATATCCTTTATCAAATGTGGCACCCAGAATACAGTACCCAAGATAAGATATGATCAGGAGAGTTTACAAGTTAACTATCACCTCCCTTGTCTGGGCTATCAGTCAATCAACAGGAATTTTTAGTAAGTGTCTACTATGTGTGAGGTAGTGTTACATGCTGTGGATACAAAGAAAAATGAAACAGATTCTGTACTCTAGTTTACATTCTATCAGAGAAAACAATATATATACATACAGATACAAAGTAGATATAAAGAAAATACGAGGTAATTTTGGTGGTGAGATACTAGCAACTAAAAGGAAGATCAGGAAAAGCCTCATCAAGGAGATGACATTTAAGCTGACTTCTATTAAGTGGTTCTAAAAGGTGAAGGTGAAGAGGGAATGCATTCCAGGCATAGGGTACAGACTGTGTTAAGCATTGAGGTAAGGGCTGGGACGTCTTTCTATGGGAAGTGTGTAAAGAAAAGCAAGAAAGCTAGTTTGTCCAGATTGTGGAGTGCATGAACGGGAGTGATGTGTGGTAAGCCTAGAAAGGTAGGCTGAAGCTAGGATGTGAAAGCCTTCCATTGACCAAGAGTGGAGTTTGTATTTTACCCCAAAGATAATGGGGAGATCTCTTGAGTTTACTGAGCAAAGTTGTAACTAAATTATATCTGTGCTTTAGTCACTTGCTTTGGTAGTGGTGTGGAGTATGGATTGGAGAGGGGAGAGATTTAAAGCAGGGAGACTAATTAGGAGGACACTTCAATGGCCCAGGTAAAAAGTGATAAAGATCTGAACAAGGGTGGGTCATATGGAGTGAGAGAAGGTAACATATTCAAGAGACGTTGCAAAGGTAGAATGCACAAGATACAACGACTAACTGGATATGTGGCGTGAGGGACAGTGAAGAGCCAAAGATTACTTCAAGATTGTGAACCTGGGTAACTATAAGGATAATGGTAACCTCTACAGGAATAAGAAGCAATGAAAGAAGGATGGGTTTCGTGCAAAGAATAATGAATTTTTTTTGGGGGGGGTGAGGCAATTGAGGTTAAGTGACTTGCCCACAGTCACACAGCTAGTGAGTGTTATGTGTCTGAGGCCAAATCTGAACTCAGGTCCTCCTGAATCCAGGGCCAGTGCTCTATCCTCTGTGCCACAAAGCTGCCCTAAGAATAATGAATTTTGTTCTTATTTAGTTTGAGATGCCTACAGAACATCCAATTCAAAATGTGCAAAAGGCAGTTGATGTGGGACTAGAGTTCACATGAGAGACTAGAACTGGATTTCTATATTTGGGAGTCATCTGTAGAAATGCTAATTGAATCCAGGGGAGTTGATGAGGTCACCAACAGGGAGGGTATAAAAGGAAATCAGAAGATGGCTTGAGACAGAACCATGGAGTACATCCACAATTAGAGGGAGACATATGGATGATGATCCAACAAAGGAAGACTGACAGTCAGGTGGGTTTCAGAGCAGCAACAGTATCTAGGACAGAGATGGTGGTCAACAATGTCAAATACTGCAAAGAGATTAAGAAAGATGAGCAGTGAGAAAAGGCCAATAGATTTAGCAATAAAGAGATACCTGGTAACAATGGAAGGAGCCATTTCAGTTTAGTGATGAGGCTGGAGTGCACACTGTATGAATCTTCTAAGTGAGTGAAAAGATGAGAGGAAGTGGAGGGGATGTATAGATAAGCTGTTTCTAAGAGTTTCACTGTGAAAGAGAGGAGAGATGATGCATAAAAGAGCACTTATGAAATGCTCTACTATGGCCAAACCTGTGATAAGCACTGGGGACACAAATAGAAAAATCAAGACAACTTTTGAACTCAAGGAGCTCACATCATAACTGGGGGAGTCAACACGTAAAAGAAAGTTGAGCTGCAAGGCAGATGACAGGTTAGACAGTCATAGGGTCAAGAGACAGCAAAGCACAGAGGCAGGAAAATGGTAAGTTTTGGAGGATCTGAAGAGGGAGTAGCATGCACAGAAAGATCTGGTGGCCTTCTGTCTCACACCAAAGAATGGAATTGGTGACTCCCAATCATTTTAAAGTTATTTTAGATGGATTTGATATTACTATAAGCTGTAATTAGTTCTCTATATGGTACATCAAATTGCCTTTTAAATTCACATTGACAGACATTCCCTAATTGATAAATAGTCAAAGGATATAAATAGGCAGCTTTCAAGAGAAGAAATCAAAGCTATCAATTGTCATGTAAAAAACACTCCAAATCACTACTCATTAGAGAAATTCAAATTAAAACAACTCTGAGGTACTATCTCCTAGCTATCAGATTGGCTAACATGATAAAGTAAATAACAAATGCTAGAGGAGATGTGGAGAAATTGAGACACTAATACATTGCTGGTAAAGTTGTGAACTTGATTCAATTATTCTGAGAACAATTCAGAATACACCCAAAGAGCTATAAAACGTCCATACTCTTTGACCCAGCAATATAATATTAGGTCTATACTGCAAGGAGACCAAGAGAAAGCAAAAAGGACCTATTTATATGAAAAAATATTTATAAAAGATATTTTTCTGGTGGCAAAGAATCAGAAATTGAAAGGATACTCATCAACTGAACAAGTTGTGGTATATGATTGTGACAGAATACTATTGTGCTATAAAAAATGATGAACAGAATGATTTCAGAAAAACCTAGGAAGACTTCTATGAATTCATACAAAGTGAAGTGAGCTGAACTAAGAAAACGTTGTACACAGTAACAGCAATATTTAAAGATGATCAATTGTGAAAAACTTAGCTATTCGGATCAAGACAATGATCCAAGACAATTCCAAAAGGACTCATGATAAAAAATGCTATCCATCTCCAGAGAAAGAAGTGATGAACACTGAGTGTAGACTGAAGCATACCTTTTTCACTTTATCATGTTTTGTGTGTGTGTGTGTTTCTTTTTCTACAAGGCTAATATGGAAATATGTTTTGCAAGAACTTCACATGTATAATTGGTATCATATAGCTTTCCTTCTCAGGTGGTGGGGGAGGGGCTGTGGGGAGGGAGAGAATTTGGAACTCAAAATCTTAAAAAAAAAGAATGTTAAAATTTTTGAAAAATGTAATTGGTAAATATTTAATGAAGTGAATAAAAATATTTAAAGTAAATTTACTTTGAAAAAACGAACTATTCAGAGTTTTCTTCATTCCACTACTGGCTATTTGTGCTTATGCACTAAATATACAGCATAATGCCTAAAGCAATATCTTTTCAAAATCTGTATATGTATAAAATCATTATATACCCTTACCCTGACTTGAAGTTACATGACACACTCAAAATAGTCTCCCCACTTAGAAAAAAGAAGGGGGGGGCAAATACCTATTTCAATACTGTCAATAGTAACATGGATAGTATAGAGTCCAATGGCCCCTGGAGTCCAGTTTGCACAGTAAGTGCCATCATTGTTGACTCTGATCAACATATTTTCACTTGGTCTGAAAAGAAACAAAAGAAACAATGTAATATCTAACTTAATTAATATCTTACTAATTAACAGTTAATATATCACATATATAGTTTGGCAAATATTTAGAATGCCCCTTTTGGCTCATGTTTATAAATTCAGCTAGCCTTCAATTTAGTCTTCCTGCTTCCAGTGCTGCCTTTATTTCCAATTCATCTTCTTAACATCAACTAAAATAATCTCTTCTCACTTCTTACAATTTAACTGCATATTGGGTACATTAGCCACAAATGGTAGATTGTCCCTATCTCATACTACTAGTTATGTAACCACCTGAAGTTGTAATATCCTATTTACCTTTTGTGTATTTAAAAATTAGTCCTTCAATCCATTATGATTTGGGAGGATTTTAAGATATTAAAAAAACTTTTTGAACCACTATAATACACCTCCTCAATTTCCAATCACTTTTCAAACCACTGTATTGTGAATCTCAAATCCACCAGTCAATGATTCTATTCTCTTCAAGGTTACTAATGATCTCTTAATAGCTAAATCTTCTGGTCTTTTCACATCCCTAATCGTCTTGACCTCTCTGCTGGTTTTGATAGAGACGATCATCCTTACCACCTATGTATTTCTCCTTTGTTTTCCCCTCACCTTCTCTGATACTGCTCTCTTCTAGTTTTCTTTTCCTACCTGTCTGATACTAAGTCTTCTTTACTGGATCATCATCTGTAATCTGCTCCTTGACCATAGTCATACCTCAAAGTTCTATCATGAGTCTTCATCTCTTTTCTCTCTATAACCTCTCTCAGCATTTTAAACTCAACATGATCAAAATGGAACTTCATCTGTTTCTCTCTAAGCCTACTTCTCTTCTAAACTTCTCTATTTCTGTTGAAGATGATCATTGTTCTGATCATTCAGGTTCACACCAGTCATCCTTAGTTTTTCTCTTTTATCACTGCTAGTATTCAATCAGTTGCCAAATCTCATTGATTATACATCCATACCCTTCTGTCAACACACAAAATTTCCCACAGATTCTCATTATCTTTCACCTAGAATATTAAAGTAGACTCTAAATTGGTTTTCCTGCTTCAGTCTCTCTCCTCTCTAATATACCTTCTACATGAATACCAAAATAATCTTTCTAGAGCATGTTTAACTGCCCATGACACAGCTGTGCTCAGAAATCTTGAGCAGATCTCTATTAACTCTAGAATTAAACACAAACTTCTTCCACAAGGCATTTAACAGCCTCCATATTATGGCTCAAATTTACCTTACCAGAGATATTTCATAATATGCCCCTTCCCATACGTTCCAGCCATACTTAACTACCTTTTTTCCAAAATCAGCATTATCTTTCTCATTCATATGTTGTAACCAAAACCTGGAATGCACTCCTTCCTCATCTTGACCTCTTAGAATCTCTACTTTCTTTTAAGACTAAGATCAGGTACCATACTTCTTATGCAATGCCCTTCATGATCTTTTGCATTTCATCCTTAACGCCTTCTCTCGTGCTCAAATACTCTCTCTTTCTCTCTCTCTCTCTCTCTCTTTTTTTTTTTTTGCTTTTTTGATGAGGCAGTTGGGGTCAAGTGACTTGCTCTGGGTCACAGAGCTAGTAAGTGTCAGTGTCTGAGGCCAGATTTGAACTTAGGTCCTCCTGACTCCAAGGCTGGAGCTCTATTCACTGCATCACCTAGCTACCCTCAAATATTTTTGTACTTACTTAATTTGAACATGTTTTATCCCTAGTAGAAACCAAGTTGCTTAAGAAGAGTTGCCTTTTTATCTTTATATCTGCAGAGCCTAGCACAGTGTTTGTTCATAGTATATGCTTAATAAATACTTGCTGAATTCAACTTAAAGTCACTAAAACACATATCTGCAACAGGAAGGGAACAAATTTAGACAACTTAGAATACATTTACGGTCATTGAAAACAAAATGCAGATATAAAGTTTTTCATGTTTTTCACATGATCAAAGCAGAACTTTGTTATGATTATTATTATTTTTTGATGAGACATAATGTCTATAGGTGGAACGATATGCACATAGGAAGGTATCTTACTACACAGGAGGGTTTTGGCTTTATTATGGAAGTTTCACAAATGCATATCCTGAATCTGATTGCTTCTACACTTATAGACAATATTCCCCTAACCTAACTGCTGTCCTTTAAGTCTAGATTAGGGACTAAAAAAGTTGCTTCTTCCATCTTTATGTCATAACCGTCCACTGGGAATGACAATTGGACTATCCCTTAGGACAATTCAAACCCCACATCATCTATCTCTTTCCTTGGTTATCAATTAACTATGGTAATGTAATGATAATATTAAGTATCAATTTTATCTAGGATATGTTACTATTCTCTTTTTCTTACTAGGTCACTTCTCCAGGAGCAAAATGCACCTAAATATTGCATTTTGATTGTCTCAAACACCACTTTAGCACTCACTCGTGGCTCTCCTCCCTTTCTTCCTATGCCTTAAAATTAGCTATCTTCACTTTTAACATAGTTGATGCCATATAGGTTCAACTGTAAGCTCCTAGAGGCTGGGATTCTTATATCTCTTTCCTTTATCCTCCAGAGCATCCAGCACAGTGTCTTATATTTGTATTTTCAAAAAGGAATTTGTTAACAGAAATTAAACTAATTGGTGAAGTTGGGAAAATATTTTTGATCATGCTAGCCTTACCTTTTAGGTGTTGGTGAAGCAAAACGCAACTCTTCAAAAGAATAGTTTTCATAAACCTATAAAAACATAAAAAAAAAACCCTTTTAAAATCATTACAAATTTCCCTTAATAATTATCATCTTTCAAGGACCAGTACAATTCCCATGGGAAACATTCTCCTACCTCTTCTGTCATGAAATATTTCTTTTCTTTTTGTCTGAAGTTCTAATTATCTAACAGTCAATTCTCTTATAAGTCACTCAAGTAACAGCTTGAACACTCACTTGATTCATCAGACTTGCCTGAATGATCTTTATTTAGGATAAAAATCAAATCACACAATGAAGATTTTCAAAACAATGTCACAGGTTCTGGGATAACTCCAAATTCCAAAAATACTATGAGTGATGGAAACATCATTGGAATAAGAAATAGCTACAGACTTCTGGGTGAACAGGTTATGAGGATGATGAATTTTTTCAGCCATGTTAATTTGTAACAAACAAAAGGTTCTGATACTTTTGTTTAATAAAACAAACAAGCAAACCTGTCAAATTACTTCATAGTCCCACTTCATATGGAACAAACAAAAGAACTTGAAAACTTGGGGCTAAGTCACTGGGCAAATGTCACAAATAACCAATGAGAACTGTATATTCCTTAAAATTTTTTTTTCTGAAAATCTATACAAATGTGACACTACCATCATAAAAAAAATACTTTGTCTTCATCCTGTACTCCTAATAACAGTAGTATAATCTTTTTTTTCCTTCCTTGTTATTTTAGTATTTTGTTTAAATACATCCAAATATCTGTAACACAGACAATATTTCCATTCCCTAAAAGGCAGTTATCATGAGCTACTATAGTCAAAAAATTCATTAGCTGGATTCTAACTTTCTAGTAATGTTGAATCTCTCCGAATTTGACTAGGCTGGGCTTCAGATGACAATCTGTCCATATATGAGGCATTTCCAGCTGTATAGGGGCTGTCAGAATTTGTACACTCAAGGCACAGTATTTAAAAACCTAGGATCATCTCCCCACCATGATATGAAATAGAATAGGACCTCTGTAGAGGACATATAATCTTGTAGAAGATTAAAATTATATCAGACAATTGCCAAGAATTTTTTAAGTGCTAACTATGTGTGAAGTTCTGTGAATAAAAAGGCAAAAATGAATCCCTACCTAAAAGGAGCTTTCCTTTTAACAGGGAAGACCATTGCACATATATATATATAAATCTCTTAAGTATTTACAGACTATATACAAAATGTTACTAAGTAGTTTTGGGAGGTAAGGCACTAGCCAAGGGCAGGGGAAAGGGTGAAAGGCTTCATATAGAAAGTAGTACACGAGTTGGGTTTTGAAGGAAACCAGTGATTCCAAGAGATAGAGCTGAGGAGATGGTACATTTCATGGAGATGGAGGATGGGCTTTGTGTGTGAGGAACAGCAATAGGGCCAGGATGGCTGATTGTGAGGAGAAAAATGTGTAATAAGACTGGAAAGGTAGGGCTAGTTTGTGACGAGTTACAGAGGAGTTTTTATTCTATTCTAGAGTAAAAAGGAAGCCACTACAGTTTAATGAATAGTGGAATGACATGCTCAGATGGGGAGACAGGTTAAGTTTGAAGGCAGCAGTGGCAGAACTAGACAGGCAGAAATAGAAGACAAGAGAGAAGAGGAATGATAATGGAGATAATCTGTCGGGGAAAATGCAAAAGGATAAGGGATTGAAGAGAAAAGGGTGTGAGGAAATATTTAATAAGAACTTACTATGTGTTAGGCACTGTGTTATATTAACTTATCCTCACGACAACCCTGTGAGGTAGATAACAATGTAAGACAGAGAGATTAGACTTGGCAAGAAGGTCCACCTCTTTATCAGACTGGAGTAAATTAGGAAACAGTGGGGAATGATGTCATAGGTTGTGAAATGAGGATAGGGAAAAAAAAGAAACTCCTGGCAAATAGCAATGTTGCTTGGTCTTCAGCAGAAAGGGTTTCATGGGAGGCACTGAGGGGAAAAGTATCATGGGAGGTGCTGAGAAGAAAAGGTTTGGAAGAGTCTTTGGGGAGAGTAGAATACAGAACCAATTAGGGAGGAGTAAAACGATTGCATTGCTATAGCAAGGGCCCAGTTGAGATTAAATAATTTAAATTTGTAGCAGATCTAGTCAACAGAGATGACCTCTCCAGCTCTGCTCAGTAGCATGAAGTGATAGGAGGCAAATGCTTGGCATAATCTAGGACTTTGGTCTTGTAAATCACAGTGAGGGTGAAAAATAGGTTTAGAAGAAGTAAGGGATAGGGAAAGATGGCGTAACAGGGGACTGTGATTGGATGAAGGAGTTTCAGATTTCTTGATCACGGAAGTGGAACACTTGTGAGTGATGGTAAAATCTAGGATGTAACCATACCTCTATGCAGTTGAGATGGAGTGGAGGAGAAGGTCATGCGAGCTCAGTGGATTGAGGAACTTGAAGGTAAGGGTATTTGAAGAAATAGTATTACGTACATTGACATCTCCTTTGAGGGCAGGAGGCAAAGTGGAGAGGGAGAGTACAAATCAAGCAATGAACTCATCGAGAAAGGAGGGAAAATATTCTGGAGTTTGATAAACTAGTCACTAGCATTTGGAATAGCTGATGAATTTGGATAGGCTGAACCTCAAAGAAGTTATCAGAGTGATAATGGTATAGGAAGGGTCTAGAAGTGGCAATGGAGAGCAAGGAGTGTTCCAATTCTCCCTCTGAGACTAATGACAGAAGGTGCTAGAAAGGATGGACAAGGATTTTGTCATTCAAGGAGATACAGGTATAGCAAGAGGCAAAACGTGGAAGGAACATGAAGGAAAGAGTTCTAAAATGAATGGAAACTTGTTAATTTCAGAGATCCCTGGCAGATAGGGTAGAAGAGGAGGGTAGGGTTAAAGTGGTTGTGTATGACAAAGTAGTATTGGGGGTTAGGGAAGGAAGACTGTTCTTAGGTAGCCATGGATTCAACATCATAGAAATGAGACGAGAAAAAGGGGGTGGGAGTTTGTCAAATTAAAATCAATTACCTTCATCATAGTAATGGCAATATAACGAGCTTCCTTTACAATCATTGGTTCATACGAAGCATCAAGTTTTGGTGATGCAAGTCCCCCAAAAGTCATATCAGGGCTCATGGAAGTAGCTGGTGCGGAAGGACTGCCTGGAATCCTTTGAAGCTTCTTCACTTGTTCTTGTTGCAAAGATGTTTTTTTCTGAGAAACAGGAACAGCCTTCACTTCCACCTACCGCAATAAAGTATAATTAATCTCATAAATAAAAATGTGAAATGGCTATTCTGCAATCATATATGAAGTAACAAAGTATATAGCAATCTTGCAATAACAGGACCTATAATACAACTAACGCATCTTAGACCCCTTCCAAGAGAAATCAGTCACAAGAACTATCAGTTATTATTTCACCTATAACATGGTTCTACTACTTGAACCATGAGTGTGGTCAAATACTGAGATTCCCACATACTTAGAAAAATTAATTGATCATTTAATGTGATATATAAAGCCAAAATCAAATAAAGGCAAGTAATTTATAATAAATACTAAGGAAAAACATTGAGTATCATATGAACAAAAGGATGTGTTATGGTGGAAAGAGCACTGGATTTGGAATCTGAAGACCTGAGTTTGAGGCCTACCATGGTCATTTACATGGTTGAGATCCTTAGACCTTGAGAAAGTCACCAATTTCTCTGAACTTCAGTTTTCCAATCTTTATGATACAGATAATATCCCACAAAGTTGTTTTGAGGAAAGTGTTCTGTATATTTCCAGTGTTATCTAATTGTGAGAGATCTATAAAATGTAGGAGTTGAACATGATAATGTCTTTAAAATCTGTTGTTTTTTTCCCCCTGAACTTAAATGTGAAATAAAATGAGCAATTTCCTAAATGTAGAACAGAAAAAGAGGATTGTGCATGTGACCAAGAATCTTTCTCTATATGGAACTTGCTTTTTCTTTTATGTATGTGATCAATTCAACATTTAATTTTCAAAGCTGTCCTGCTAGTCTGTATGTTTTTCTGGACTACTTTTTGTTTTCTTCTGTGCATTTGTTGAATGGGGGGGTAGACCAGCAAATTGGCTATTGCCATAAGGAATGAAATGATTCTATTCCTCAAGGGGTCAGAGGGAATACTCAGTGATATATGACTCCTGGAAGGAAAACAAATGACTAATGGTTTGTGGAGAAACAGAGAAAATTTCATTTTGCAAAGAAATATATTTATGTACACCGAACTTCCAGAAATCATATATACTTTATTTATGCTTAAAGATGCAGTGTTTCTTAAAGTTTTATTTTGTATAGTAAATAAAAATTCTTCCATTGTACAAAGTTTGTACAAAAGAAGAGATTCTTATAGTAATGAAACTTTTAACGTGTTTACTCATATCTGAACAGTGGAATACTTCAATGGAGACTTTTTGCATTCTCATGATTAATTCCTATAACTAACTTCAAATTCAGAGTTTGTTACTATTTTCATACATCATTATAAAGTGAGCATTTTGCTTATGGTAAGTGACAGTTCACTCTTTTCCACAAATAATGGCCATTGGCAGTTCATATCTAAAAACAGTATAATGTTACTTGCCAAGTACATGAAACACATCTAAAGGCTCAAATGACCCAAATTGAGCTTATAAATAATGTTACTTCATTTTACTGAAATTTTTCTTTTATAACTGCCAGCAATGATATTCATTAATGAAAAGTCTTGTGGATTTACAATTTTTTAGTAAGTTGTCTTAGGGTTTCTTCTTTAGAAAGTAGCATTTTAGTTTTCCACAAATTAGTGACTTGCAACTACCAAGAGCTTTGATTATTAGTTATATCATTTTGGATGGTTTGAAGCCTATGTTTAGCGCTATTTTGTTTATAAGTTGAGTATTTCCTCATGTCATGAGTGTTAGTTCTTTTAAACCTGTTCATATTGATCCTTTAATTTGTTAGCTTTAAAATTATCTTCAGTTTTATGTTAACAGTATTCCAGACATGATAAAATTAATGTTTTTGTAAAGATGTCTAATCCTATCAAAATGCAATTTATAATTAAATCTATGTCATCTTAGGAAAAAATGCCTTATTGATCTTTCTTCTCCTCTTCTCTTCTCCCTACCTCCCTCTCCTTCTCTCTCTTTGAGACCCTACTGCTATTCCTCTTCTTATTACCACCCCCATATCCAATTTAAAAATAAAACCTGTGAAAGATATAATTATTCAAAAAGAATTCTGACATTTGCTAAGCCCAAAAACTTATGTTTCATTTTGTGCCTTGAATCCATCACCCTTCTTGTCCAGATTTGTCATCAGTCCTCTGGAACTGTGATTGGTCGGTAAACTGATCAGGATTTTTAAGTCTTTTGAAGTTCTTTTCCTTTATAATTTAGTTGTTATTGTATAATTTTTTGCCTGGATCTATGAATAAACTCATATACATTTTCTCAGGTTTCTCTGCAACTATTCCTTTTCTCAATTTTTATGGTAAAATGATATTCTATTCTATTAATATGACATAATTTATTTGCACTCCCCAATTAATGGATACTCAGTTTCCATTTCTTTACTATGACAAAAAGATGCTATAAACATTTGTGTACATACAAGTCCTTCTTGATTATTTCCATGTGATGCTACCTCAACTGTGGACATATTCTTAAGTCTCCTTCCACTGGAATTACCCGACTTTGCTCTAAGTCCACTGAAAAATGAGTTTTTGCCTTAGCTTGCCAGGAAACACATCACTTCACATGCTCCCCCCAATTCCCTTCCTATATAGCTCCTTTTTATACGTAGTCTTCCCTCCAAAGAAGTAACCTCTGTCTTCACTTATTTGTATTTATAACCCTAGTGCTTAGCTCAGTGCCTGAAACAAAGGAAGCAGTTGATGAATGCTAATCATATATTAATTCATTTTCTTCTTTCTTTGATCTTTTTGGAGCTTAGTAATTGTATTATTGGGTCAAAAGGCATATATAGTTTGTGACTTTAGGGACATAGTTCCAAATTATTTCATTAGTGTACCTATTTTCCCATGGACCCTCTTATTAATTGTCATTTACCATTTTTGTCACGTTTGCCAATCTGAGAGACGTGATGTGGAACCTTAGTATTGTTTTAATTTGCATTTCTCTAATGATTATTGTTTTGAAGTATTTTTTCATAAAGTCATTGATGTATTGGATTTATTTCTTTGAAAATTGCCTATTCATATCCTTTGACCAAATATTTATATGATGAGGAATGGATGGCTCTGATTTTCATAAAATTAAATCAGGTCCTTATATATTTTGGATATAAGACCTTTATCAGAAAAACTCTGCCAAGTTTTTTCCCCCCTCAATTATTTCCTTTCTAAACTTAATTGCAGTGGTCTTATTTGTACAGCAAAAAAATTTAATTTTATGTAATCAAAACTGTTCATGTTGTCCTCTGTGATTTTCTTTATGCCAAATTTGGTCTAGAGCGCTTTCTCTATTAAATGGGAAAGAGATTTCCTTCCTTGCTTCTCTAATTAGTTTATTTTAAATTTAATCCCTATATCCATTTGACACTCATTGGGATATATGATGTGAGGTGTTGGTCTAAACTTGATTTTCAGTTTTTCCAAAAGTTGTTTTTTTTTTCCCCAAATAGTGAGACTTAATTACAGTAGCTGAGGTCTTTGGGTTTATAAAAAAATAAAACAAAATGAACAACAATAGCAAAAAAAAACCAAAAAACAAAATGAAAAAAACAAAACTCAAACTACATTATAATGTTCATTTGCTTCTATATGTTGTGCACCTCAACAATGATTATAGGTACTCTGTACCTTATGATTTTGATGATTTTTGGTTCTTAGTATGAGATACGGTATTACTAGCCTCTCTTCCTTTCTCTTTTGAAAATTATTTCCTTTGAGATTCTTGATATTTTGTTCCTCCAGATGAATTCTGTTATTATTTTTCTGGCTCTCCAAAGTAATTCTTTAGTAGTTTAAATAGTATGTGTTTGAATAAATAAATTAATTTGGTAGTATGGTCATTATATTAGTATGGACTATCCATGAGCAATGTATATCTTTTTCAATTTCTTAGGTTTATATTTCTCTATATGGAGTGTTCTGTAGTCGTATTCAGGTAGTTGCTGTATGTCATAACAGACAGATTCCCAAATATTTTATAATTCTACAGTTATTTTAAATATACCTTCTTTTTCTATTGCATTCTGCTGGTTTTTGCAGTCTATCTTCGGGATAGACTCCTGCAACTTTGTTATAGTCATTGTTTTGATTAATATTATAGTTAACTCTTGTGATTTTCTTGATAGATATGTTTAATATTTCTGCTTTTCTGCATTTGCTTGTGACCCCTTTTATGCCTCAATACAAGGTTGATTTTAGTAAAGATGTTATGCAAAGGTAAGAAATATGTAAATTCTTTTCTGTTCCCTTTTTAAAATTACTGCCATTTTCATGTTTATATTTTTGTTAGATTTGTCTAAATCTAAAAGTGAAATATTTAATTCTTCTCCCTCCACTCTTTACAAAGGAGCTGGTGATGAGAGAAGAGTATACTCAACACCAGTGATAAATAATTGAAGCTATCTATTTGTTTCACTATACCTCTCCTTTTCTTCTTGTCCCATCCCAGACCACAGGTTTTTACTCATTTTTTTCCTTTCCTTTTAACTGATCCATCATGTTCTACCTTATATAACCAAAGTTTGTTTATTTATTCACCCATCCATCCATCTATCTATCTATCTATCTATCTATCTATCTATCTATCTATCTATCTATCTATCTATCTATCTATCACTGTAACTGCTCCCTTTGAAACCCAGCCCTCCTTCTTAATATCCCCTCTCTTCTCACATTGTCTTTATGGATTTTCCTATTGAGTGAAGTGCATTTCTATACCAAACTCTGTGTGTGTGTGTTTTCAATTTTTTTTTTGTCTAGTTCAGGTTACAGTGAACTTCATGGGGAAATGATTTCCCCACTCTTCCCTGTATGCTTGTATACTCTTCACTGCACGCAGCTCTTATGTAGTAAGTTCTAACTCCTTTCTTCTTTCCTCCCCAGTATATTTCCTTTCCTCATTTATTGCTGTTTTCTGTTAAGACCATAAAAATGGAGTAAAACTATCCTCAGGCCCTAAGTTTTTCTTATATAATTCCTTCTATGATCCTTGAAGACATGAGGGTTCTGAAAGTATACTTATTTCTCCTTCCTGTATTAGAATGTAAATAAACCATCATCATATAGTACCTCCTATTTAATCAAATGCATTTATTTTTCTATTTATATTCACTTCTGCATTTTTATTTCAAAGTTTCTATTCAGCTCTTGTCTTTTCATTGGGAATGCTTATAAATGCATCATTTTTTATCAAAGCTTTTGCTGGATAAGTTATGTCTAGTTATAAGCCTTTATCTCTGCCTTTTGAAATACTATAATCCAGGATTTTCTCTCCTTTTTATTGGTCCAGTTACCAAGGCTTATAGATCTTCGGAATTGAAATCTTTCTGTTTGGTTGCCTATGGAATTTTTTTCTTCGATCTGGAACTCTGTTGTTCCAGGGAGTTTCCATTTAGGGTTTCTTTCAGCAGCTGACAGAAGAATTCATTCTATGTTCACTTTTCCCTGGGATTTTAGTAGATTTCTGAAATTTTCATTTATGATTCCTTGAAATATGGTATCCAGGATTTTTTTTTCACTATGATTTTCAGATAATTCAATGATTCTTATATGATATCTCCTTGACCTGTTTTCCAGGTCAATTGTTTCTGATATCTTATATTTTCATATATTTTTTCTGTTCCTCCCCACAGACCCCATACACATTGAAGTTAGATGGTACAACTTGTAAGAATGCTGAATTTGGGAGTCAGGAACACTTGAGTTCAAATCTCACCTATGACACTTACTAGCTATCTGATCCTGGGCAAAACACCTAACTTCTTTCAGAATTAGTTTCCTAAGTGTAAAATGGGGATAATAAAGCACCTACTTCACAGAGCTGTTTTGAGGATCAAATGAGATGACATATATATATATATATATATATAGCACTTTGCACACCTTAAAGCATTATATAAAGTTATGATATTATACTTTTCTATCATATTATATGTATTTCCTATTTCATGGAATCATTACTTTCTGTTTGGTCCATTTTAATTTCCATGGAATCTTATTACTGGATAAGATTTACAACCTACTATACTCTGTGGGATTAGAAAACATGGTAGGGTAGGAGAAAGAAGTATAGCTGAGTTCTTTTCCAAGAAACATCAAGAAAAGGCATCAGAATAAACAGTGACCAAGAAATCCGACTAAATACTAGAGTATATCATTTTTCCAGCCCAAGATTATGAATTCAGCCCAGATAATTCAATCTGTAGACCCGTCTTTAGAATAGGTCTACAGGGACAGGGTTGTGTCTACAGCTCTGTAATGCTTTAGATTCAGCCTGCTGACTGGTAACAGATATGGGGTACATGCAGGCAGTTTCTCTAACTCCAAGGCTGGATCATGAATTCTGTCCACAAGGTATGACAAAGGCAGGGACTGTGGACCAGTAGGAAGCCTATATAGCTTTGTTGCTTTGAAGCTATAATGGCCTGCCAGCCATCTGACAGGGGTTTGGGCCAGCAACTGTTTCCTGGAATATCAATCAAGGGTCAGGTTATATAGCTGTATTATCCAGATCTAAGCTCAGAATAAGTGAGCAGTATCAGTACATATTCCAATCATATTATTTGGGATTGTTGAAAGTCTGTAGCTACCTGGCTTAAGCTGCCCCTGAAATCTTTGAAGAACATAGCACTCAATACTCAGAGAACACAAGAGCAGAGTCCCAGATAATAGAGACCCAGGGATGTATATGGCCTTAGCATTCCTTCTAGAAGTGAGAAAAGCCTGGCCCTAATACAAAGTCCTAATTCAGGAAATAAGCTTGGATATTCTGATGATAAAGATATTATAGAGACAAAGATTCCTAAGATACAGACCCAGAAAAAAGGAAAAATGCTAAGACATTTACAAGCAAATGCTCAAAAAAAAATAAAAGTCTAGACACAAGATCAACTAGAAATCTGGAAAGAAATGAAACAAGAGAAATAATAAAAGAAAAGTAGGAAGGCAATACCAAATCTGAAACTAGATAAGCCAGTAATCATCAATTAATTACTTGTTGAGAGAGAAAGAGAAAGAGAGAGAGAGAGATTGGTTAGTAGAACAGACTGGATACACAACATACAGATGCAAATAAACTTAGAAGCCTAGCATTTGATAAATCTAAGCACCCCAGTTACTGGGGTATAGTCTCATTTGATTCAACTAATACTATTGGGAAACTTAGAAAGCAATCTGGCAAACATTAGGTTGAGACCAGCACCTTATAATGTATGTCATAATAATCTCCAAATGGATAAATGACAAATATAAAAGGTCATATCACAAAAAGATTAGATAACAAGGAAGAAATTTCCTTTTGGATCTATGGAGGGGGAAAAGTTCTTGATGAAGTAAAAGAGATATAACATAGAAAATAAAATGAACAATTTTGATTACACATAATTAAAAAGTTTTTTTTGCTCAAACAAAATCAATGCAACTAAAATTAGAAAGAAAAGGGATCACAGAAAAAAATACCTTTGCAGGAAGTTTCTATAACAAAGGTCTCATTTCCAAGATATATAGGAATTGATTCATATTTCAAGGAATAACAGCCATGGTCAAATGATATGAACAAGTAGTTTCAAAAGAGAACATCCAAGCTATCAACAGTCATTTGAAAAAATGCTCCAAATCACTAATTAATAGACAAATACAAATTAAAGTCTTAAGTTCCATTTCACACCCATCAAATTGGCAAAGATGCTTAAAAAAAGAAGGGGCTGTGGGAAGACAGATTATATAATATGGAGCTCTGAATTGGATTAGCAATACCTTTTAGTCACTAAACTGCAATCTATCCTTTGACCTAGTGATACTACTTACAATGCCTATATGCTAAGGAGAGTGAAGAAAAAGTATAAGGACACACATATATAAAAATATTTATATAGTTATTTTGGTAGTGGTAGAGCACTGAAAACTAAGGGAATGCCCATGAATTAGAGTGGTTGAAGAAATTATGGTATATGACTAAGAGAATACAACTGTGCCATAAAAAAATGAAGAAAAAGATGGTTTTAGAGAAGCCTAGGAAGACATATATAAACTGATATAATTTGAAGTGATCAGAACCAGAAGAAGAACAACATTGTAAAGAAATAACAACCTTGAAAGACTTAAGCCTGACCAATGCAATGACCTACCATGATTGCAGAGATCCTATCATAAAGCATGATACCTACCTCCAGATAGAGAGGTGATAGACTCAAGATGCATACTGAAATGCATTTCTGGACATGGACAATGTAGGAATTTGTTTTGTTTGACTATGTGTATTTATTACAAGGATTTGTTTTTCTTTTCTAATGCCAGGAGGGGAGAAGGACAGAAAATAAATTCTTGTTGAATTAAAAAGAATGAAATAAAATAAAAAAATAAAATGGGGGTAGTAGTAGTAGATGTATTGTCTACTTTATAGAGTTTTTAGAGGAATAAACAAGGAAATATTTATAAGAAGTGCTTTATAAATGGCCACAACTATTATCAGACCAAAAAAAAAAAAAACTCCTTGGATTCTTTTTTTCCTATATATTATTTAAAATTAATTTTGTGTCTCTGCTTCATTTCTTCCAGGTACTCTTGTAGTCCTTATAGCCAGGCTATTTTTTCTCTCTAAGGTTCCATATGCATCTGTAGCAGTTTCTCTCTTCGTGTTTTTCTCTTGGGTTTTCCTCTATCCATATTATCTCTTAATTGTCCTTATTATTTTCTTCTGTTGACACCTATCTCCAACCTCAGTTTCTGGCCTTGGGCTTTGTCTTTAGGTCAGACTCTGTTTTCTTTCAAACTCTTGGATAGTGTTGGTGGGCCCTGTTTGGTCCCACATATTGTGACTAAGACAGCCCAACTTTCTACAGAAATTATTGGGTGCTGGCTACATAAAGATGGACCCTTTCCGTGTTGTGGCCCCAACCAGACACTGTTGATTTTGTTGGTAGAAAGCCTCTCACAAGATTCCAGGGGCTCTTCTGGCTCTTTTTCCTTCTGTGGCTTAGGTGCGGGTTGCCTAGGTGCTGACTTATTTAAGCAGTGGTCTGCCCTGTCCCAGGCTGTACTTCAGGTGCAAGCTGCCTGGGTTCTGGGTTTGGCATGGGCTGCCTGATTAGATGCTGGTCTGACCCTGCCTTCTGTTATGGCTCAAAGAGGGGCTGCTTGGGCATTGGTCTAATCCTGTCTCCTGTTATGAGTCCAGGATCCTTGACCATGGTTTGTGCAGGTTTTTGGAAAATTTTTTGAGCAGTCCTAGACTTGCTGGAGGAGCTTATGTATTGGTTTTATTTATCATTGTTCCTTCTGGTGTATTTTTAGGACTTCACTGAGGATGTTTGTGGGGGATCTGGGCTCTTCGGGTTCTAAATATGTCAACTGTCTTTCCAAATCCCTCCCCACTGATGATTTTGAAGGTCGTTTGAACTTAAAATTTTGATGACCTACAGTAGGCACTTAATAAGTACTAATTAATTTACTTTAATTAAAAATAATTACCTTCATATTAGGAACATGAACCACATCACCATACTGATCCTTTGTTTGAACAGTAATTGTAGTAGGCCAACCACAACGGATATCATCTTTATTGAGAATCAATGATGTTTTCTGAGGATCAGCATAAGAATCTGGCTGAAGCCACCTATAGTATTAAAATTGTATACATTTAATGACTTACACTGCAATTTAAATTAGGTATATTAAATATGCAAAAACTGAAGCAACATAAATATTGTAAATCAATTTAAGTCACAACTAGGATTCACTAAATTTTCTTGCCATGTCTAATACCTGAAAAAAAATCCACAGACAGTCCCAAAGTATAGGAATATAGTTTAAAAAAGTTTTTAAAAAAATAAAGATGATAATTATAAAGGTCAAGAAAGATTTTTTTTTTAAATGACTACTATATTACAGCATTGGCTCAATTTTTTGGGGTAGTCTGAGGACTTGATTTCTGAGACAATTTAAAATCACCAAGTTCAACTCTGCTTTGTCAGCTGGAAGACCATGGCAAAAAAAAAAAAAAAAAGCCTTAATCAATACTTTATTTCCCACTCAGTTTTTAATTCTTGGCAGTCAGTCTTCCAAGCCAGCCAAACAAAGGAAATCGCTCTCTTAAAGCTTGCTCCTCTACTTCTAGCCTGGATTTCCTTCTCTCCCACATCCTTTAGGAGACTGTCCCCACAATCAGTTTCACTTCAGTATTCAATCTCTCCTTATTTACTGGTTCATTCTCTTCCATCTACAAGTAGGGCCAAATCTCTTCCACTGTAAAAAAATAAAAAACCCTCACTTGGCTCTATGATCCCCTGAAGATATCAATTCTATATTTCCCCTCCTTTTCCCAGCCAAATTCCCAGAAGAAAGTTGTCTATGCTGAGTGTAACATTTCACTCACTTTTCAAGTTTTTTCAATCTAGTTTTTCACTTCAATAATTAACTCTTAACTACAATCTTCAAAGTTATAACGATCTCTTAATTGTGAGACCTGTAGCCTTTTCTCAATGTTTATCCTTCTTCAGTTCTCTGTAGCATTTGACACTGTTAACCACTGCCTCCATCCTAAATACTGTATCTTTTACTGCTCAGTCTTAGTTCTACTTATCTCCATCTCCTTCTCAATCTCCCTCTCCACTTCTCCCAATTGTGTGTGTACCCCAGAGTTCTATCCTGAGCCCTTTACTCTTCTTTCTTTACATGCTCCCTCTTGGCAACCTCATCAGCTCATGTATACTCATATTATCATTGCTAATGATGATAGGTGATTCCCAGATCCACACATTCTGCCCTAGTATCTCTCCTGAACTTTAATCCTATATCACATTAAATAGGATGCTCCATAGGTATCTCAAACTCAATATAACCAAAACAAAATTCACTACCTTTTTCTCCAAATGCATTTCCTTTCAGAAGTTTCTTTCTTCCTTCCTTTCTTTCCTTTCTCATTCCAATCCTTCCAGTCACCCAGGTTTAGAACCTCAGAGTAATCTTTCACCCTTTGTTCTCCATATATAATTAGTTAACAAATTTATCTCTTGTATTTGTATCCTCATTTTGACTTACAAGAATACCACCTTATCTCAGGCCCTAATCAATCAATCAATCAATCAACAAGCATTTATTAAGTATCCATTATATGCTAGGTTCCAGAAACACAAAGACAAAAAATAAAACAATCCACACACACAGGAGCTTACGTTCTAATGGGGAAAACAAGTAAGATATAAGCAGATATAGGATACAGAGAAATAAATAAAAATACACAGTAGATAAATAGGAACTAGGGAGGGGAGGTACTAACAGTTTGGAGAATCACAACAGGTTTCTTGTAGAAGGCTGAGTTTCCTCTTGAGGGAAGCAGAGAATTCTATGATGTGGAGATAAGGAGGGGATCCATCCCCAGCATGGAGGATAGCAAGTACAAAGGCATGGAGATTGGAGATGGGATACTACATGTGAGGAACTGAGATACTGCCAGTTTGCTTTGATTGCTGAGTGTGAGAGGGGAAGTGACATGCAACAAAGCTGGAAAGTGAGTTGGGCCGAGGTTGTGAAGGGCTTAAAAAGCTAAGCAGAGGAGTTTTTATTTTATCATAGGGACAATAAGGAAACAACAAGAGTTTTTTGAGTAGGGGAGCCACTTGGTCAAATCTGTACTTAAGGAAAATAAGTTTAACAGTTGATTTCAGGATGGACTGAAGAATGGAGAGACTTGAATCAGGGAGACCAATACAATAGGCTAGATGAGTGCCTGAACAAAGCTGTGAGTGGGGAGAAGAGGTCAAATGGAAGAGATGCTGTGGGGGTAGAAACAGCAAGATGTGATAATGGTTAGATACAATGTAGAAGGAAAAACATGGCCTCCTCTACCTTTCTCCCCCTTCTGTATTCCATCCCTCACACAGGGGTTGAAGGCAATATTCCTAAAATAGAGGGCAAACCATGTCATTCTTCTTCTTCTCCTCAATAAGCTGTGGGGGCTTCCTAGTATCTATGGCTAAATCCTTCATTTGGCATTTAAAACCCTTCATAATCTATCTCTAACCAATTTCTTTCTCTCTCCTTCCTTCCTTCCTTCCTTCCTTCCTTCCTTCCTTCCTTCCTTCCTCCCTCCCTCCCTCAGGTCCTCCTGACTCCAGGGCCCCTGTTCTATCCACTGCACCACCTAGCTGCCCCTCTAACTTACTTTTTTTACCCTTATAAAACATTACTTCCCTTCATGTACTACTCAACAATCTAGCTAAGGCTAAGCCTTCTTGCTGTTCTTCACATGTGATGTTGTATCTCCTATTTCCCTGCTGTTGTACTTCCTCCACTTCTTTAAATTCCTATTTTCCTTCAAAATATGCTTGAGTGGCACCTACTACGTGAGGCCTTTCTCAATACCGTTAGATGCCAGCCTTCCCCCTGAAATTACTTTACATTTATTTTGTAAAAGACAATCTTATTTTTCTATTTGAATTCCTTAGTACTTAGCATAGTGCTTAGCACATAGTAAATGCTTAATAAATTGCTTTTCATTCAATTTGTGAAAACTTATATGTATGCATATTGTCACTCCTAAGAGGGTGCAAGCTCCTAGTGTCATGCCAAACCATAAAGGTATTCTTTATAGAGCTTGACAAAATAATAACAATTATCAAAAATAAGAGGGAAGAGGAAATAATACTTATAGACTTCAAATTATACTATAATTCAAAATTCTTCAAAACTACTTAGCATTAATTAAAAACTAAAAGAATATTAGTGGAACAGATTAGAGAAGGAAGAATAAAAAACAGTTTAACTCAATATCCTAGTGCTTGATAAAACCAAGACAAATTAACTGGGGAAAAACTATTTGGGAAGAACTTCTGGAAAACTGGCAAGCAGTTGAGTAGAATGAGATTCAGATGATTAACTTACAGCACATAGTATAAGTTCAAAATGGATATTCAACCTCAATAGGAAAGGTCACATCATTTAAAAAAAAAAAGAGAAACAGGTCAACAAATCAATGAGCAAGCATTTATTACCATGGTTAGGGGAAGAGTTCTCCCTCATACTAGGGATAGAGGTGAACACAAAGGATAAAATAGGTAATTGTAATTACATGAAATTGAAAAATTTAGCACTAACTAAATCAATGCAATTAGGTAAGAAAAAAATCTTTTCATCAAGTATTTCTGAAAAGAGCTTAATATCCAAGATATATATGGGACATTCCCCAATAGATAAGTGGACAAAAGATAAGGATAAACCGTTCTTTTTTTTAAAAAAAAAAAAAAGGGAAGACTTGTAAACTATTAGTAACTATATGAAAGAGCGCTCCAAATACTAACAATAAGAGAAATGCAAATCAAAACGATTCTGAAGTTTCACCTGACACCAAATAAATTGGCAAGGATAACAAAAGGTGGGTATAATCAATACCGGAGAGAATATGGAAACAAAGGCACATAATTACCCTATTGGTGAAGCTATGACTTAGTGCAAATATTCTAAAAAACAATTTGGTATTATGCTACAAAAAGAACTAAATCGTCTATGTTCATAGACCTATAGATCTCACTGCTGCCCATAAACCTCAAGAAGGTCAAAAGCAGAAAAGTCCCATATGCACCAAAGTGGCATTTTTTTTGTAGAAGGAAATTACTAGTAATAAACTAGATATCTACTCATTGGAGAATGGTTAATCAAATGGTGGGAATGAGAATAATAAATAGCTTTTATAAATAACATTAAGATTTTCAAAACTATGTATGTAATACAGTATTACTGTGTGTTAAGAAATAATGAACATGTAGAACTGAGACAAGGATGGAAAGACATTCTAAAGCAAGCAGAACCAGGATAACAACACTTTTACATACAACTACTACAGTAATGTCAATGAACTGAACAAAAAAAAGAAAATTGAATTATGTATAATTATAATAACCAAGCTTATTCCAGAAGAAATGAGAAAATGTACCTTCCTTCCTTCTTTGGAGAATTAAGGTTATATAAAAACAAAAGATGTAAAAAAAAACTTTTTTTAAAGTAAGCATCTTCAGGAAAGGGACCATCTCATTAACCCAAGTGTCTAGCACAGTGCCCAGGGCATGGAATGCATTTAATAAATGCTTGTTGAATGATGGTCACCAAAGGTCTTTTAATCACTAAATCTGATAGTCTTTTCATAGCCCTCATCTTTCCTGACCTCTTTGTAGTTTCTGACTCTGTTGTACAGTGTATTCTTTTGTACACTTGTTCCTCCTCTGCTTTTGTGACACTGATCTCTCCTTTCTCTCTTCCCATAGTACTGATAATGTTCCATATGGGTTTCCTTTACTAGATCATCAGCCGTGACCCACTCCTAACTGCTTGGGTCCCCTAAAGGTCTTTCCTGGATCCTCTTCTTTCTCAACCCTCTTTCTGTGAACCCAAAAAGGGTTTACCTTTTCTATACAGATGATTCCCAAAGCTATATATCCAGCCCAAATACTTATGCTGAGCTTCAAGTATCTCAAGCTCAATATGTCAAGAACAGAATTTATTTTCTACCTTCCCATTCCCCCTTTCTCCTTCCCTTCCCTATTCTGAAACTATACCTATTCTAAATTTTCCTATTTCTATTGAGGACACCATCATTCTTTGAGGACATCATCATTATTCCAGCTACTTGGGTTTACAACTTCAGTCATATTTTACTCTTTACTACCCTAAACCACCCCTGTCTTCTTGATTCTACTTCTGCAATGTCTTTTATATTATTTTCCTTATTAATAATAACAATAATTGTAACAGCTAGCACATATATAGCATTTTAAGGTTTGCAAAGCACTTTACATATATTTTATCTCATTTGATAAAGTAACTCTTGTCTCCACTCAAAGCCACAACACTATTTAAAGGTCCTGGATTACTAAAATAACTTCCAAAAAGTCTCCATATTTCCATTCACTCCCCTCTCTAATCCATTTTTCCCATCGCTTCCAAAATAATCTTCCAAAAATGAAATTCCAACCATGGTCACTCCTTTTATCCCTTCATTAGCTCTCTATTGCTTCTGTGGACAAAATGCAAACTTCTAAGCTTAGTAGTTAAAGCCCTTCACAACCAAGCTCTAATCTGCATTTCTGGTCATTTTATATTATGCCTCTTGATGTACTCTACATTCCACACAAACTTGCTTACGTACTTTTCCTACCAGTCCGTCATCTATATCTGTGATTTTCTACAATATTTTTGGAATGTACTCTCTCATCTTTACAATAACACTTAGCTTCCTTCAAAGCTAACTTTGGGGGTTATTTTTTATAGGAAGCGTTTCTTGATTTCCTCAGTCAATTTAACGTGTATTAATCTGTTAAAAAGTTGCAACCTTTCCTTTAACCCCTCCTTGAATATAAGATATATAAGCACTATGACTGCACATTGTATGTGTTTAATAAATGTGTGCTAAATGGTTTTTAAAAGAATAGGCATTGTAATCTTCTCAGAAGTCAAAAAGTAGGTCCAGGAAAGTTATTTGTAAAGTATATACAAGTTGACAATGTCTCTTTTCCTTCAAACCTGATTTATTTTCATGGGGAGCCCCCATCTTATTTTTTACTTAGGAATAATCTCATTAATTTAGCTGGACTCAGTAAAGAAGCAAATTTAATTTTTATCTCTTTTTTAACAAAAAAGTAAAACCATAAATGAATACATATAATTTTTTTGTTTTCCCCTTGAAAAATAACATATCAAAATCTCATTATACTTGACTCAACAATGTGTATCTGAATTTCAACTATAATAAGATCTATTCTTGAAATGAAGTTCTCTAAACAATAAAAAATTTTAAAACACATTTTGGTGTTTTTGTGCTTCAGAATAAAAGTCACAAATTTCATAGTAGTATGGTGCAGTGACTAGTATTTAGGTTTGGAAAAATCTGGGTTCTGCCTCTAACATATGCTAGCTTTGGGACCATGACTAATGAGGAAACCTCTCAGTGCCCCAGATAAATCTCAGAGGCTTTAAATTAGAGATGAATTGGAGTTGGGGGTGGAGGGTGAGGGTGAGAGATCATTTTATACATTTTGCATTTATTCATAAAGTTCTAAACATTTTAAGTTGGTCATGTTATGCTATATACCAAAACTAATTTTCATACTGTAGTGTTTACAGGGTTTAAAAGCGAAACAAGCAAAAAGAAGAAATGAAACTAAATCACAAAATATATTACCTTGCAAGTCGTCCCCCACTTGATCCTGGAACACAGGCAATGAAATCTTCCAAAAATGACTGTTCATTGCTTTGAATCTGAAGTGGCAAGCTTCCTTCAAGAGCTTCCAGTATAGTTGGTGAATGAGAAAGGGCTAAACCTTTTCCAAGAATACCAGAATGAGTTTTGCACACCTATTTGGCAAAAAAGGAAATTGATACATCATCTCATGGACAAATTATCACATACAATACATTCACAAAGAGAATTTTTTTAAATGAACATGTTATATTATAAAAAGTCTGACCCACAAGGTTCCTTTGAAAGCTCATACAAGTTTATATTGACATAAGTGCATAAATATAAACTACTTATATTTAAAATGACACTTGTAGTTATTATGCCTTAGGAAAAACCACATTTAATACTGACTCTTTGGCTCCTTTTCATTCAGTATAAATTATAATTCAGTAAAAAATATGGTTAAATGCTCTACTTCTAAGTCCTCTCCACAATCTAGCACCATTCTACCTTTCCAGCCTTCTCTGTAACTATTTCTTTCCATATATTCCAGTTAATTTGTACTACTATTTATGCACGTCCACTATACAGATGGTGCTTCCCTAGTTCTGCCTATGCTTTATTCAAACTGTTTTCCTATGCCCTAAATGTGCACCCTCCCAACCCCACTGAATGCATATAATTTCAACCCACTCCAGTTCCTCCATGAAGGCTTTCTGTTTATAGCACAGTCAATAAAGACTCTTCCTCTCCCCCTTAGACCTCAGTCATTTAGGATTATGCATTTCTTTTAAGCACTTAAATACTATTTTATATCATTATTTGTGTGTATATGTAAATATAGAGATGCATATATACACACATATATGTGTATGTGTGAATATTTGTGTATATATATATATATAAGCTGTAAACTCTTTAAAGAAGACTATATATAATCTTCCTAAAATATAAAATATAAACACCTTAGCTTGGCATATGATGCTCTACACAATCTGGCTTGAACGTATTTTTCAACTTTATTGCAAGCTATTCTCTGAGTACATCTTGTATTTTGCTCTCTTCATTTATTCATGAAGGCTATCTCTCTCCCATGCTTCAAATATATTCTCTTCTCATTTCCACTCTTTAAAATTATTCTCTTCCTTGGGTTTCCCAAGTCTTCATACATTGTAGACTCATAATATAGACTTATTAAAGTTGAATTCACATATTATCATATTTACCATATGTTCATATATATAGCAGTGAATATACTATATAATTTTATTATTATGTAACAGACCAGAAAATTGAAGTGTTTTGTGACTTCTGGTGAGACCTGAGGCAGCAGTCAGAGCAGTAATCATTTTATACGTAGATACCAAGAAAGTGCAGTGAAAAGAATGCTGCCCTTGGAGTTCAGATCAGAGATTCAAATCCCACTTTGGACACATTAGCTGTGTGATACTGGACAAATCACTTAATCTCTTTTAGCCTATCCCTCACATGTAAAATGGGGATTAAAACAGCTATCTCACAGGGTTATTCTGAGGATCAAAAGAGATAATATACATAAAGTGCCATGTAAACCTTTAGATGTGATTAAAATGCTAGCTATTGCTATTACTATTCTTACTATTATTATTATTACCATCTGGAGCGTATGTTGTTTTCTAAATCACAATATTCCCTTTAATGATAAATGATGGCATACTTCTCTTGTTTCTTAAGGCAAAAGGACAAGTAACTAGAATGAACAAGGGCATATGTTAAATCTTTCTTGACAGATCAGAACATATTTAGTTCAAGCTACTTGTATGGAAAAAGTTATTATCATTGGTCTTTTTATTTAGAGATAAGTGATCCTTTTGCTAGTGTATTTTTTCCTAAAAGAAATTGAGTAGGGAGGCTCAATGATAGTAAAATTCTGATTTGTAAACAAAGGTAGCAATATATCAGTCTCCTAGAAAGATAAAGCCCAAATGAAATGTTGGAAGATACTATAAAAATATAAAATAACTTTCGGCAAAGTACTCATTCAATTTCATTGTTATCCTAGAGTTAAATTTTCTAGTTTCTAAACATTTTTCAAATTCAAATTTCAATATTAGTAAAAATTAGTGGTCAAATGCAGTTTTGGATTCATGGACTACTTACAATGCAAAATTACTTATGATATAAATGTATTTACAATGTGCAATGTAAATGTACTTAGAACATAAAATATAAAGTACAATATATTTACCTGTAGAGCAGCTTCTTCAAGAATTTCAAGATCTTCCTCCAATTCATTACCTGCTGCACAAATTAAATGGTTCATTGAAGAATGTTAAACTTTCTTGACAATTAAATTCTATATTAAAATTCCAATAGCCTAAGAAACACCTACCTCCCAATTATGTTGTACAGGTGGTGGTTAAAAGTAAAGATGAAACTTGCAACATGAATTTAACATAAAGCTATATACTATATTTATAGCAATCCTCTTTTAATCTAATATTTTCACTCTTATCTTGTAACAGAAAGGAATTAAGCTACCTTAGCCTAACGGAATTTTAGCTAACTTGCATCCTTGATTATTTCTGAGATCCTCACTTCAAAGTATTATTATTACTTAACATTAGACATCAAGTCAATGGCAAAGGAGATTATAATTAAGATCTAATATTTACTTTGCAGCTACTTGAAAGACTTGAAAGATATTTTAAGCTAGAGTGAAAGAGAGAACTGATAGGAAAAATGTTGAGTAAGTGTTTTAAATGTATGTTTTGCATTCAAGCAATTAGAACCCTCTTCCCATAACTAACCAATAAGCATGCATTTATAGTTTAGGAATGCAATGGGGTGACAGAGGAAAGAGGTGAATGAGAAAAAATGCCAATTACAGGCATGTAGTAGTAAGTCTAGATGACATAGCTTTCTCTTCACTCCACTGCCCCTGGAGGTGTTGAATAAATATGTTAATTAGAGAAGACACTTCTGGAAGCAAGGCTGGGACAAGTAGTTGGGAAGAAGGGATTACAAGGGGGAATTGCAGTGGTTTTAATGTGTGTGTGTGTGTGTGTGTGTGAGAGAGAGAGAGAGCGAGAGAGAGAGAAAGGAAGCGATACACATATATTTGGGTGTGTGGGTAGTGCAGGGTAAGAGAATGCCTAAATAAATATAGGATTACTTACCAATAGGAAGTGCTAGATCCTTTTTCATTAAAGCTGCCGCACAAACCCCACCAAGATTAGCTAATTCTTTTTCCAACTGAATAATTCCCTGTAAAATTACAAATTAAATTCTTATTTAAAAGTTTGTGTCTAATGTCAATACTTAGGTTAGTAAAATGTGTTTCTATAAAATCATAATTCACAAGAAGTGGCTCTCAAAAAACATACTTTGAATACCCTCAGGAAAATTGTATTAGGTCACTGTTGAATTAATAAGTCAGGGAGAAAAGCAATTCATCTTGAATGGCAGGTTAATACAAATGCTGAGGGGTGCAAACATGTTTATTAGTCCAAAGAATTCGACATTTTAAAAAAATTTTTTCATTAATTTATTTTGATTTATCAACAATCACTTCCATAAGCTTTTGAGTTTTAAATTTTTCTCCCCCTCTCCTCCCCCTCCTTCCCCAAGACAGCATACAATCTGATATAGGTTATACATATACATTCCTATTATACATTTTCACATTAGTGATGTTGTAAGGAAGAATTAGAACCAAAAAGAGGAACCAGCAGAAAGAGGAAAGAAAACAAAACAGAAGAAAAAATATAGCAAATAGTATGCTTTGATCTGTTTTCAAACTCTATAGTTCTTTCTTTGGACGTAGATAGCATTTTCCATCATGAGACTTTTGGAGATGTCTTAGATCCTTGCGCTGCTGAGAAGGGCTAAGTCCATCCACATTAGTCATTATACAATGTGGCTGCTATTCAACATTTTTTTTTAAACAGTTTAACCTGTTTGTTTTGTTGAATTAAATTCTAGACATTTAGAAGAACTATAGGTCAGGTCATGAAACAAACCAGAAAGATGTCATTAATCCACAGGGAATAACTAAGTGAATTAAGTATAACTGGGAGAATGACAATTTCCTATATATATTTAACATTCTCTTTCAGTTGCAAGTAAGACACTTGGGAGGAGAAAAGTGAAAAGAATAAAGGGTAGTATGAATCTGAGCTGGGATTCAAGTCTAATTTCCACCCCCACTATTCCCCATTCCTTTAAGCAGCAGAGGAGTGTTAGAAAGAGAAATCATACCTATATTATTAGGTTTCTGGGAAATTTGTATTTTTCAGAGAGCTCAGTAGTATGGAAATTATGCCCATATTTTCCTGGCATATTAGGCAGAAATTGATATCAGGATCAGGTGAAGCTTGATGAATGTTACCACAACATTTTTAAAAATTCAAAATGGTTTAAAACTGTATATATACAATGCAGTTTAGTCTTAAGCTACTTTGGGATATGGAGAATTGGCAGAAGCAGGGATGTTTCAATCGATTCACTTACTGTGGCTTTTTACTTATTTGCTTTTTAATCATTTATTTAGGTTACATATTAATAGCTATATGTACGAGATCTGCAAGAAGAACCTGAAAGAAACCTAAGAGTTTGTAACAATCACATCTTAAGAAATGACAGAGATTTTTGTTTAAGACAAAGATGTGCTGGTAAATGTTTAACAACCAGTTCTCCAACCAACAAAACAATGAATCATCTCTGATTTGTAGTGTTTGCCAATTCCCAATGTATAAACACTAACAATAAAAAATTTAACAATCCAGTCTTTCAAGATGGTTTGAGCTGACTCTACCAATTGTAGCCTCCATAAGATATCTCAAATTTCCATTTCTCAAGAATGTTAAAAAAGAGAACCTAACATACAAACAGTGTATCATCCAAGAGTATGTATGTGTGTATATATTTACATTACAAATAGCTTAAAAATGAATTTAAACTTTGAACAAAATGTGTAACTGACATTTAGAAGTCAAATGCTGCTTACCAAAAAAAAAGCTTAGTTTAATATAATTAAGAGAAGACTCACTCTCACCTCATCAGAACCAGGACTAAATTCATATCCAATTGCAAAACACTTGAAACCGTAAAACGAAGCCTTGTCATCTTTTACATAATCTGATGCAGTCTCTAATGAAAAAAGGGCTTCATTTCCTGAGAAAGTAAAAGTCTTGAAATGAAAATATTCCTTTAATTATCTTTCCTTTTAAAGACATCCAGACAAAGAGAAATGCATAAGAAAAACTATTTTATATTTATATAAGGAATCCCTCTTCATCGTAGTGATGATTTCTCAGCATTAAGTCTTGAACAAATTTTCCTGTTTTTGAATTACAAGTGTTATCTCTCAATTACTTAATTATAAGCTATGCGCATAACTCAGGGCTGCCTTATTTCCTACCCAAGATGTTTCTATGTTGGCTTTTTGCTTTATAGCTGCATGAGTCTCAGGACCTTTAGCTCAGTTTGTCTACATTATCCTGCCAGCTACATTTCCTTTTATCTATTATATTAGTGGGAAGGACTATATGATTTTTTAATCACTGTATGCTATTACTCTCTTACATTATTTTAGGTGTTTTGGAGTTGTTAGTATTTAAAAAGCTATTCTTTAGGGACCAGAAAAGAGAACTGATTAGGATCACAGGTTTATAGAGCAGTGAAGATCTCAGAGCTTAGTCTAATCCTCTAATTTTTACAGAGGTTAATGTTGCAATATAGCACTTGGCAAAGCAAGGATTTAAACCCATGCCTACTGACTCCAAATCTGAAGTTCATTCTAGTATAGCCCGTATTCAGAAAGATTCATTTGGCATTCAATGACAGCAAGTCACATGACCGCCAAAGGTTACACAATAACAACCCATACTATAGATTCTTAATTTTTATAACCTTCTATTAATATTTCTAAGAAAAAATACCAAAAAGCCTCTCTAACATATACATAATCCAAAAGGGTACAAAGAGGAGGAAGCAGAGAGTTGGCAGAATAACAGGCTAACTAAAACTGCTTGACTGAATACAAAATTTGATTATTATATAATAATCAATAAGCATTTATTAAGTACCTATGTACCAAATATGATTCTAGGTTCTAAGGATACAAATATAATAAATGAAAGAATTCCTACTTGCAAGTAATTTACACTCGAATCAAGAAGATAACAAGTATGTTATGTACAAAGTTTATGTACAAAGTACTTAAATACTTTGGAAAGGCTTCATGTAGAAGCTGGTGCTGGAGCTGCTTTTCAAAGATAGAAGGATTCTGGCAAGGGGACATGAGGAAAAACTACATTCCAGGCCAGGAGGTGGGGGTGAGAGACAGGAGGGTGACCAGTGCCAAGGCATGGAAATGGGAAATACAGAAAGAGACAGCCATTTTGGCTGGATTGCAGAGTGTGGGAGAAGTGATGGCCAGTGAAGCTAGAAAGACAGGCTGGGGACAGGTTGTGAAGGGCTTTAAAAACTAAAATGAGAAGCTTATCTTTTATACTATGGGCAAGAAGGAGCCACTAGAATTTGTTGAGTGGGAGGGAGGGTGTCATCATATGATTGGGGAAGGAGAGGAGGAGGAGAGGGGAAAAAAAGAAAGAGGGGGAGAAGAGATAGGTGGGAAGTGGGAAAGAAAGGGAAAGAGAAGTAAAAAGAGGAAAGAGGGGAAGGGTGAAGTAGGGGGAAAAGAAGTAAAGAGGGGTGGGGGAGAAAGAGGGAGTAGTAAAAGAGACAGGGAGGGGGAAAAGAGAGAGGGAGAGGGAAAGAGATGGAGGGAGAAAGAGAGAAGTCAGACAGGTAAGAGAAGAATCAGGATAAAGAGTCACAAAAGTCATATAAGCCAAGAGTGAAGATAGTATTCAAAAGAGACTGGTAAATGGTGTCAGATGCAGAAGGTAGGTCAAGAAGATTCTAGGAATTTGGCTGAGAAAGAGAAGGTAGATATTGAATGATAACTTGAGGGATTAAGTCAAAAGTCTGAAATAAAGAAGGAAACATTGAAGATGAAACCTTCTGGGAAAGACAGGGAGAGATGTGATCAGATGCACACGTGGAGAGGGGTTGACTTGGGCAAGGAATAAGCATTCAGTCTCCAAACTTTTTTTAATATCCCTTCCTGGAATGGTCTCTTTTCTCACTTGTTTTTGTTTTAAAGTACAGTGAAAGACATAGTGTATAATACTCAACGTAAATATCATCAAATAAAACACACACAAAAAAACTTACCTGGCAAGACTAAAACCATAGTTGGCCATCCAGAAGATCCTGAAAACTTCTTTAATTCTACCCATGAATTGAGGTTTTCATGAACAGAATTCACCTTTGGTCCGAATCCAGCGTTCTGAGCAGTTCTAATAGGAATCAGCAAACGGAGAACGTCTTCTGATTGTGCAGTACCACACTGAGGATCAAACTCGATTGTCATCCATCTTACGCACTCTGGAAAGGTCACCTAAAGTCAATAAAATAAATTACCTTTCAGATCTAGAGATGGTGGGAGAATTTATGACTAAATAAACAATACGGAAGATTAAACAAAATAAAACGGACAATTTTGATAAATAAAATTTAGAAGTACACAATCAAGTCTAATGTAGCTAAAATGAAAAGGGAAAACGGGTAACTGGGGAAAAATCTTTGCAATAAGTTTCTCTGGTGAAGAGAAAATATGTAAGACATTTAAGGAATGAATTAAAATTTATAAGGCTAAGAGCCTTTCTCTGATAGATAGTCAAAAGATATAAATATGAGCTTTTTAAAGGAAGAAATCCAAACTATCAATAACCATATGAAAAAAAATTTAAACTCCAAATCTTAATAATTAGAGAAATGCTAATTAAAGCCACTATGAGGTTCTACCTTCCACTCATCGGCGTGGCAAAAATGATAAAAAGAGGAAAATGACAAAGGTCAGAAGGGCTGTAGTAAAACAGGTAAACTAGGTGTAGTGCTGGTGGAGCTGTGAAATGATCCAACCATTCTGGAAAGAAATTTGGAATTGTGCTAAGAGTTACAAAACTGTACACATCCTTTGACTCAGCAATACCAATACAAGGTCAATACTCCAAAGGAATCAAAGAAAAAGGAAAAATATCTACCATTTACAAAAATATTTGTAATAGTTCTTTTCATGGCAGCTCCAAATTTGAAATTAGGAAGGATGACCTTCTATTGGAGAACAACTAAACAAACTGTGGCATATGAATGTAATGAAACATTATCGTGCCACAAAAAAATGTTAAAATGCCAAGTTTTAGAGGAAACTGGGAAGACCTCTATGAACTGTTGAGAGTAAAGTGAGCAGAACTAGGAGAACAATGTATATGGTACCATTATTGAAAAAAAATCTTTGAAAAACTTCAGACACTGATAAAGCAATGATAAAACATTAATCCAAAAGAATGAAAAAAGGGCAGCTAGGTGGTGCGGTGGATAGAGCACCGGCCCCGAAGTCAGGAAGACCTGAGTTCAAATCTGGCCTCAGACCAAACACTTAACACTTACTAGCTGTGTGACCCTGGGCAAGTCACTTAACCCCAATTGCCTAAAAAAAAAAAAATAACAAACAAAAGAATGAAAAAGAAACATACTACTCACCTCCTGAGAAAGAGGTGCTGAACTTCAAATTTGGAAAGAGACACATTTTCAGACATGTTCAATGTGGGAATTTGGTTTTTCAAAACTGTGTGTGTGTGTGTGTGTGTGTGTGTGTGTGTGTGTGTGTGTGTGTGTATCAAGGGCTTCATTTACTTTTTGTTTTTTTTAATTTCCTCAATGGGAGGTTGAGGAGAGAGTAATCAGAGGGACAGATTAATTAAAAAAATAGTCAATCACCATCAGGAGAAAATATTAACTTATTAGGAACTATTCAAATTTTGACAGAATAAAACTTACTATAAGATTCATTTAAAAAAAACAAATAGGTTCCTAATATTTTTAAAACAAGAAATAAAAAACAAAACTTATAAATTATTAGAAATCAAAGTCCTAGTTTTTAATTTCTATTACCTTCTTGGAGTTATAAGTAATCCACTCTAATAAACACACTCTAATGAAGAAGTTGTACCTATTAATAAGACTATAAGACACTCATATTTAAATGGAACTGTGATTTCATTGATGTGCATATTTCTTTCAAAGGTGCAAAATGTAATCCATCTATTCCTTATTCTCTTTTAACTCTTGTTGTCTTCTCATAAATCCTTGATTGGGTTCTTTAAGTTTCTTGACATTATGTGGGTACCAGGGCAATATGTGGGTTTCTCATGTTATCCTTTACTACACAGCTGACTACCTCTTTTTGTGGTTATACATTTCTTTGATATCATTTATATTTGTTTGCATAACCCATTCAACTCATTCATATGATTAAATAAAATTTGAATAAATGAAAACATATTTAAGTTATTATGGAGATAATGATGAAAAACTACAATGTATTCCAGTGGGATTAATAGTTTAATAATCACTTTAAATTTATACAGTGCTTTACAGTTATAAAGCATCTCAAGTATATTTTTTCTACTTCAGATTTCTGAAAAGAAAGACAAAGGAAGGAGTAGTAGAAGAGTAAAGGGGAAAGACATCGTGTAGGTGAATTGTTGTGGTTTGAATAATAAAATAAGTTAGAGGTTGGATTTGAGGAGGGGAAACTTGGCAAAATTTGGGAAAATTGACAAAAATTTGAAGGACTAAGGAGAATTAGAAAGCAGAACCTGAAGAGGACAAAGTAGATTCCAGAATAAGGCAAAGTAAATAAGAAAAGAGAAGTGGAACAACTAGAGGGTTAAGCAAGTTGATAAAGAGAATTAGTGGGTGGGAAAAATCATGAAATAGACTGGAGACTTGTACTGTATCACTCATGACAGCTGCTTTTCCAAACATTTTTATTCCTTTTCCAATTTCCTGCAGTACCTGATCCAACCACTCTCTCACTGAGGACCTTGCTTCATAATTCACCAAAATAATTCAGACCACTTGCTAAGAGTTCACTCTTTTCTCCCATCTCATCATTTCACATTACTCTGGTGTCATCCCCTACCATCTCCTCCTCCATCAGTCTCACAAAGAGGGCCTTTTTTTCTTGCCAAAGTCAACTTGTCTACAAGCACTCTTGACGCCATTCCTTCTTGTCTTCTCCAGCAGACTGCCTCCTCTATCATCCTTACTCGTAGCAATTATCAGTTTCTCCCTTTGTATGGTTGTTTCCTTGGTGCCTGCAGACATGTTCATATCTACCTTATCCTTAAAAAGCTTCACCAACCCCACTACCAGCCTACATCTCTCTTCTCTTTTGTGGTTAAACTTGTAAAAGCCTTATAGAACTGGTGTCTTCATTTCCTTTCCATTTACTTTCTTCTCAGCCTTCGAAGCCTGGGTTCTGACCTCAGCTTCAATCATTTCTCACCTGGCTGCACTCCCTTAGGATTTTTCTGACCATTTCTTTCTACCTCCTCCTCCAGTTCCCTACCCCCTTTTCAGATTTTCATGTATTGTCTTTTTCCATTAGGCTGTAAGTTCCTTGAGGGTAAGGACTGTCTTTTTTTGTATTTGTATTCTCAGAGCACAGTACCTGGCACATAGTAAGCACCTAATAAATGTTTATTGAATATTATTGGCCAATTATGTAACACTGAAGTTTTTAAAAATTCAAATTGTGGATTACACAAAAGGAAAGGAGAGGCATGTAAGGGTTATTAGGCTACAATAACATTATCACCAAAGAAGTATCCAAAGGATGCAGTATAAAGGATGCCATCAGAGAAATGGATGGCCACAAAAGGACGTGGACAAATCATGTAATGAGAGCAAGGGAGAATTGATAGACTGCAGGCAAAGATTTCTGTCAATGTAGGAAACATCCATTGAAAAGATCAGGTACCTATTAAAAAGTACTGGAGTTAAGATATTTATTTTAATGTCTAATGTACTCATTCACATAAACTATAAAGTTTGAGCTTTCCTTGGGTTTGTAAAACAGATGTATAGAACTAAATGACAGAAATTTTATATGTTGCCAAAGGCTGTGGATTTCTGATCTATTAAATGGGCAGACATATTTTAGGATCAAACCTATAATGAGTGTTATATCATGTCTGGCTAATAAACAATCTAAATACCTTCATGGTAGGGAGTATGTTTGATACTTCTTTTGTATACCCTTGGGCTGACCTAATAAGTTTATTACATGGGTCAAATTTTTTTTTAAATGGACAATGTAGAAAAAAATTCATAAAAATAACATTATATAACCTACCTTATAGTGCATAATACATGCAGGTTTATAGGGATGTTCACTCTCTATGACAGCATAGTGATTAGAGGTAGTACAAGCTGAAAGTCCTTGTTCAGGCTGGTTTCCTGTGGTGCTATCTGTTGATTGGTTAGGATTGAATGCAGGGGGTGCATATTTCTGATTTAAAATGGCAACAGAAGGAAGCAATTGCTGGACAAGGCCAAAGACTTCTACAGCCACCTAGGATGCAAAAGATTTTGTTCAACTTTTAATCTAGATCTTAGGTTTGGGTAGAGTTTCCCTTATCTAAATCTTGTATTCATACATACATTCAAAAATTTTAATATTACTTTATTCAACAAATATTTATTGAGTGACAACCACATGACACTCCTAAGTAGTTTTTTTTCCCCATTTTGGTTTAATTAGGATAAAGTCAATAGTTCACAACACTGAGCTAAATTATAGACTCCAAATTCCATTTATAAATTTCTAGATTCTCCAAAAATATACACCATATAGATAGGCTATATTTGTCTGCATATGTGTATAGGCATGTATATTTCAAATTGCTTTACATGCTTGTAAGATGATCAAATGGTTAAAGTTTTTGGCAACCAAGTTACTCAAAGATTACGTTGAGCTTTTCAGAATAATTATAGTTGTATATTGTAATTACAAACACTAACCTATGATAAGTTTTCTCCTTCAAAAAGAAATTTATTGAAGAGCAAACATATTAACTAAAATATAAGAAAATACTGAGATAAAATCTGAACAGATAATTTTAGTCTTTTCACAGCATAATCATGCTACTGAACAAAGGTAGAAAAAAAAATCACATATTATTCTGACCGAGTCCAACACAAATTTGTTATATAACCTAAACTCTACCCTCACTGCTGCTAGACAATCCTACACCTTCCTTAATTACACCTCCATTATCAACTCACTATCTACAGTGGTTCTTTCAAATCTTTTCATCCCTCCTCAAACCTTTCATGCCTTCCCTTCCACCAATCCTCCCAGCTGAGAACCTAACCTCATTATTTTACTGAAAAAGTTGAGGCCATTGTCTTGTGAGCTCCCTCTTCTCCCCTGTTCCTCAACTCTTATCACTCATATGCCTTCTGTCACTATTTCTTCTGTCACCCCATCTCACATAAAGAGGTAGACTTACTCCTTACCAAGGCAATCCCTAAACCCCAGACCTGTACAACTGATCTCATTCCATCCTGTCTCATCCAAAAGACTGCCTCCTCTGTCATTATCACATTTTACCATTTTTTTTTTTCCAATCCCTGTCTATCAGCTCCTTCTCTACTGCCTACAAGTATGCCCATGTCTCTCTTACCTTCAAAAACCCTCACTTGATCACTCCAACCCTGCTAACAATTGTTCTATATATATTCTCTACCCTTTGCGGCTAAACTCCTTGAGAAGGCTGTTTCCACCTTCTCTCCTCTTACTCTCTTCTTAACCCTTTACAATTCAGCTTTCTGACTTTATCAGTCTACCAAACTTCTCTCTCCAAAAGTATCAATGATCCACAAATTGTCGAATTCAATGGCTTTTTCTCAATCTTCATTTTCCTTGAACTTTATGCAACCTTTGACACTGTCGATCACCCTCTCCCCAGTACTCTCTTTTCTCTCGGTTTTTGGGACACCACTCCTGGTTTTCCTCTTAACTATCTAACTGCTCCTACTAGATTTCTTTTGCTGGATTGCTTATTTAGGTCACACCTTTTAACTACAGGTGTCCTATAGGGCTCTATCTTGGGTCCTTTCTTCTTTTCTCCCTTTATACTTCTTCACTTGGTGATCTCATCATATCACACGGATTTAATTACAATCTCTATGCTGATGATTCTCTAACCTACCTATTCTGCCCCTACCTCCCTTCCAACCGTCAATCTAGCATCTCCAACAGTCTTTCAGCCATCTTGAACTGTATGTCCAGGGCAGCTAGGTGGCACAGTGAATAGAGTACTTGGCCTATAGTCAGGAAGACTCATCTTCCTGAGTTTAAATCTGAGCTGTGTGACCCTTGGCAAATCACTTCACCCTGCTTGCCTCAGTTTCCTCAACTGTAAAATGAGCTGGAGAAAGAAATAGCAAACAACAGTATCTTTGCCAAGAAAATCCCAAATGGAGTCATGATTGTCAGACAATGACTGAACAACAAAAACATTAAATTCAACACGTCCAAAACTGAACTTACTATCTTTTCCCCTGCAAACTTCCCTATTACTGTAGACAGCACTACCTTTCTTCCAATCGCACAGGCTCACAACCTACATATCAACCTCAACTCCTCACTATCTGTCACCTTCTGTCCCCGCATCTATGTTGCCAAGAACTGTATATTTCCAGTTTTTGAAACATCTTTGAAATATCTCTTGAATATACCTTCTCTCCTTTGATACTGCCACCACCCTGGTATAGGCCCTCATCACTTCACACTTGGACTATTGTAACATCCTGCTAGTGGGTTAGCTTGCTTCAAATCTCTCCTACTCCAATCCATCTTTCATTCAACCACCAAGGGATTTTCCTAGTGCAAGACCAACCATGTCACATCATCTATCTGATAAATTCCAGTGGCTCCCTATCTATCACCTCCAAAATTAAACACAAAATGCTCTATTTGGTGTTCAAAGTCCTTCATAAGCCAGTTCCCCAACCTTTCCAGTCTTCTTATACCTTATTACTTGCCATATACTCTTTGATACAATGACACTAGCCTCCTTGGAGTTCCATGCATAAGACACTCCATCTCTTGGCACTAGTCATTTTCATTGGCTGTCTCCTATGACTAGTATGCTCTCTCTACTTATCTCTACCTCCCAACTTCAAGTACTAAAATCCCATCTTCTACAGGGAGCCTTTCCCAACCTTTCTTAATTTTAATGTCTGGTTCATTATTTCCTATTCATCCTATTTGTTTGTATGTATTTGTTTGCTTGTTGTCTCCCTCATCAATTTGTGGGTTACTTCAGAGCAGGGACTGTCTTTTGTCTTGGTGTTTTGTTTTGTCTTGTTTTTGGTAGTCTACGAATTAGCACAGTGCAGAGCACATAGTAGGCACTTAATAAATGTTTACTGATTGACATTGTGTTCTTGCCACATGGCAAAAAAAGTTATGATTTAGGATATCAATTTCAAGGAATATGACTATATGATGCCAATATATCTAGCTGAACAGTAAAAAATTTAAAATTTTACAATATTACTAGATTGACATTTTTAAGTGAAAAGCTATTTTAAGATAAAAATTATAGTCACAGAATAAAAACATACTCTCTAGTATCTTCGTTGGGGCCACATATACCATTCCACCAGGTGAAAATTTATCCTATTATTGAAAAACCTTCAGAAGACATCTCTGTCAGTAACTTCTTATCCTCATCTCTTCCTTCTACCTTCTTTCTAGTCTCAGAGAATTAAGTGACCTTCCTTTATGTCAAAACTTAACTTCTCCACTTATGCCATTGAACTTGTCTCCAGGATGTTGTCCCACGAATTATTTCAACTTGATTTCTCTTCTTTAAATTCTCCTTCTGTTACCTCTTACCCTACTGTGTACAAGTATGCTTAGGGCTTCCCTCACTTAAAAAACAAAAAGACGAAACAACAATATACTCCCCTTCCTTTAACCCTGCTAAACATGACCTGAATAAGCGATCCAGCAAAAGAGATCTGGAAGGAGCAGTTAGATAGGTAAGAGGAAAACCTATTGCCCTAGGTCCCTTTTCCTTTTCATTATTAAACTTCTACAAAGAGGCACTGTCTCATTCCTAAGCCTTTTGCAATGTAATGTGGCTCTCATTCCAAGTGGTCTTTTGAATCTGTTTTTTCCAAGGTCACAAATGAACTCTTCATCTTAACTAAAGGTTAAATACAAAGGCCAGTGTTTCTATAGCATTTGACACTGCTAGAAATTCTCTATCTTTGTCTTCTGTGACAGGGTTCTTTACATATCCACTCACTTCTAAGTTTCATTTGATAATAAACTGGTCTCCCCCAACTTGGTAAGTGTGGATAGGAACCCCCAAGTTCATTCTCTCTCTTCTTCTTCTTCTTTTTTTTTAAATTTTGGAGGCAAGTAAGTACCTGAGGCAAGATTTGAAGTTAGGCCCTCCTGGCTCTAGGGCCGGTGCTCTATCCACTGTGCCACCTAGCTACCCCCCCACCCCTCCTCTCCTTTCATCCTTAGTGATCTCATCCATCTGCTGGGCAAAGAGGTCTTTGTGGCTGAATCATGTAGTCAGTGCTCCAGCCAAACAGCCTACTTCCTGAGCTCCACACATGACCTTCCACTTCCCATCTCGGTAGGCTTTTACAGAGGATGTCCTGTGTGTCTGGAATTCAAGCTTTTACCTTTACCTCAAAGAATACTTATCCTCTTCATGGTTCAGGTCAGGTGCTTTCTTCTACAAGAGATTCATCCTCATCTCCAGAGTTCGTAGGGTCCTCCATCCTGCTCTCTCCCCCCCAAACCCTTTTTGTGTATATTTTCTACTTCTTCTCCGGTTTCATGTGGATTTTCCTCAATAGGACTTAAAGCTACTTGTGAGCAGGGACTGAGCCTGATGCACACTGACTAGCACAGGGCAGGCATTTATAAATGCCTATTATTATAGAATATTATTCAATGTAGCCAAAACCACAGTTTCTTTACTTCCCTTCTTTACTCTCCTATTTCAAAAAATCTTCTAGTCATTCAGTGTTTGAAATCTGAGCAGTGCTATCTCCATTTTTTGAGTTCTCCACATTCTTCATTATTTGTAAAAAGTACACAGGCACAGAACAATCCAGTAACGATTTTCACTAGTACTTAAAACTTGAAGTAAGGTTTACTTCAAGATTCTTACCTTCTTTTATATTGCAAGCCATTATAATATTTGCTTTCAAAACTCAAGCCTAAGTGTATGTACTTGAAATTGTAACGATTTCTTGTAAACAGAACTGTCTAAAATTTCAGTACTTTAAGTATAAAATTAAACAGAGAACTAAGTTACATACCTTAGGAATAGCTGCAGCTACTGGTCCTATGTAGGCTATTATAAGAGGAAGCAGCATGGAAAATAGACTGGAAGAACTAAGCAATTCTGGAATGTCATCAGCTGAAAGAATATTAAAACAACATTTAGAACATAATTTAATTGTTTTTAAAGCAATATCTATCTCTCTGTAAGTCCTATGTAAATGCTTTCCAAAGGTAATGTTTTGTCTACATATTTTTAAAGTGAGTAATATATAATTTTTTTTGCTATAAATCTTACAATAGAACGTATACATACATACATATATATATATATAGATATATATATATATATATTTGATGATAAAATAACCCCCTACTCATCACTCTTGAAAAATACTTTAGAAAAAAGAAAGAAACAAGAATAGCAATAAGGGCAAGATCTGCCTAGAGTGGACAACAGTTTTGGAGCCAGGTATATAGCTCCAGCTTTTGCTTTACTATTATTAACAGAGATGGGAAAGCAACGGCTCAGGTCATTCAAGATATAGGATTTATTCCCTGCAGACTGAGTGAGAAAGTATCAGTTATGTCAAATGTACAGCAATGACTCCAATTGGTTTTACACAGGTCAAATACACATTGGGGAATCCCTGTTTGCCCCTCAAAAGATAATACCTTCAACAGTCTATTGTTCTGCATAACAAGAAATTAATGAGGCAAGATATTAAAAAAAAGAAAAAGGAATCTTACCATCTACAGCAAGGGCTCTGTGTAGGAGGTCTTTAGCTGCTCTAACCACAGTACTCACAACAGAGAGAGCTCTACTACAGTTTTTATCTTCTTCATTAGCTTTACTCAAAAGCTGGGACTGCAAATCTCCATCATATTCACTCCTATATATTTACAGTAAAAGAAAGACCACTAAATAAGATCTTTTTACCCAGGTAAGAAATGCATGTCCATTACAATTACGGCACTCTAGAAACACATTTTTTTTGTCAGTGGCTCCTCACTGAGCTAGTATGAAACTCAAACCTGAATTGACCTTAGAGATCATCTAGTCTAGTCCTCTCCTATTTTAAAGATGAAAAACTGAGGCTTACAGAGCTTAAGTGACTTCCCAGAATCACGGGGTCAGAACTAAAAGGGCCCCTAGGTTTTATGTAGGTTACAAAGAATAAGTAGCAGAGCTAGGAATAGAACCCATGATCTATGATCACAAATTCAGTGTTCTTACCACTACTCTATACTGACCCCTTGAATGATCATCCAATAATACAGCAAGATTTTGTTACGTTATGAGAGGGTATAATTGAGTATCAAGACCATTAAATGAAATAATATTGTCTAGAGTAATGTTATAAAAGCTACACATGTAAAATGAAGATGATATGAGGTGATTAATAACATCCTGAAGCATTCATATTTAAGGAGAATACTAAAATGGAAAAACAACTCAAAATGAAATCAGGGTAAATACTGGCTTCATATTTAACAACCATTTATTAAGTATTAAGTGCTAGGTACTAAGAATGAGAAAGAAAGCATAATACCTACTCAAGGTGCCTATACAGATAAGGTACCACAAAGTAGCTCCCAATAAATTTCAAAGAGAGGGACAAAGTGCTGACAGGGCTCATGGAAGAAAAACAAAATTAAAATTGAATTATAAATATTCATGGTTTCACCTTGTAGGTTAACGCATTCACTCTTTTTATTAAAAACACATCACCTACCTATAGTAAAGGATTTGTGGAATTTGTCCTCTTGTTTGGTTTGTGCCATTACTACTTAAACTACATGTACTGAATGTAAATGTAACACCATCAGGACATTGGACTGTGGTCATTCCTCCATCTCCATTGGCTGTACGGCTTCCATAATTCCTTAAACGAACAGCATATTTCACATTTTCCTTTAAAATAGAAGACAGAAACAATGTTAACATGCCTTTATAATTTACATGTGATATACACTAAAATAAATTACTTTATACTGTGATTCTTTCTCAAGTCAAAAAGCATTTATGAAGTGACTATGTTTCAGTCACAAAGCTAAATACTGAAGATACAAAGAAAGGCAAAAAGATAGTCCCTGATCTTAAGGATGCCATAGTCTAATGAGGGTGAAACATGCGAATAACTAATTACAAACAAGATATATACAGGAAAAAGTAGAGATATTCAACAGGGGAAAGTGTATAGATAAATTTGCTCTGACTTTTTACTTTGGCTTATAAAATTCATGAGCAATATGATTAAGCATAAATAATTTCACACGGATTATGGGGAATGTGTCTTCACTAATATTCATTTATGTGGTATAAATCCAAGGAAAGATATAAAAATACTTTCCTGTTTAATCAGTGTGATAAGAAGAGGCAATGATCTAAATAGACCAGTCCTTGATGTTATAGATGAAACTTTATTATTAGGATATTTTGGTAGTTCAATAACTAAAGTCACTTTTATAAGGTCTAAAGTTGACTTGCAAAGTATTAATTTCTGCTCTATAGTAAGATTCCAATGCCATTTTTTTATGATTCTTTCAATATAAAAAATAAATTATTAATAGCAAATCAAATTGCATTCAATGATAACAATAAGTTTTTGCATTTTTAACACTTCCTGTTACAGTCTTAACTGATGTTTTTAATTTATAAGTCGTAACAAGATATCTTTTATGGTTATCATATATCTATTTGTATACAAAGTCAAAAATATGATGAGCATTATATACAAAGATACAACTCAATAAATAGGTTATTTTCAGGTAGAGGATGGATTAGGACCAGCTATATCAATGAAAATTTATAAAATATTTTTATTGTCTTTAAGACAATAAAAATGCATTTTTTTTTCTTTAAAGCACTGTTATCCATTACCAAGAAAACATAACATTTTTTCAACTTACTTTTAAAGGAACAACTTTATCAAGTCTGATTTCAGCTATGTCACTAGGAGAATCATCAGTTGTATAGGTTCCTTTGACTAATTCCAAGGATGTCCATCTGTGTGAATGAGTTGAATCTCCTGCATGCTCACTCTAATTAAAAAAAAAATTCCATTTTAAAAGCTCCAAAATGTGCAACCATGAAAAGTTCTATAATGCTTAAATGGCAAAACTTTTAAAAGTCTACAAAAATATTTATTTCATTGATGATCTTCAATACTTCCAAGTAAATTTTCTCATATGCAAAACACATTATGTTAGATCATAGTACACTTTGTTAAAAATCCTTCTTGATTTTACTTTATTATTTGAACACTTGAGTTTTTTACAAATACCACAGCTGTTTCTCCCTTCATGTTATACAACTTTTCCTCCTCTTCATAGAAACACAAGATCATAAAAAATCCTGTGCCAGAAGGGATATCTGAGATCTAGTCCAACCCCATAATTGTGTTTCTAAAATATAAAATTATTTATCTACCAAAATACTAATATACTTAGAATTACATATTATGGGAACATAAGTTATATTCAATAGCAAAAAAGCTTCAGCACTTAATATATGTTAAGGTTATTTTTCATTTATGAGAAATTATACATATTTTATGACTAAAAATAGTACTTCAAAGACTAAATCCATTATGATTAGTTATATCACTATCTCCTAAAAAAAATGAACAATTCAAGTTCAACATTCCCCAAATACACAAGAGAAAATTTCATCCTGTTCTCTTCCAAGTCCTGTCTCTACGCCTAGAATGGATTCCATCCACATTTGTTCCTTCTGAAATCCCTTACTTTTTTTCAAGGTTCAGCTTAGTGTCAGTTCCTTGAAGCTTTCATGAGCCCTGCAGCTATAAGCGATCTTACAATCCCCATTATCTCACCCCTTTTACTCGACCTCTCCTTCAGAATGATCTATATTACTCTGTTCTTCTAATCTTAGATTTATAAGGTTCTTGGGGTTACAGACTATGTCACAAGGACCTAGCACGGTGCATTTGCACATAATAGGTACTTAATAAAAATTCAATCAATATATGAACATTTACTAAGCACCTACTATGTGCCCAGGCACTGTACAAAATGCTGAAGACACAAAGATAAAAGTCAAACAGTCCCCACCTTAAAGGAGTTCTCATTCATTTGAGGAAAGATAACCTGTACATACAAAAGTACATGCAAATATGCAATGTAATAGAGGTAAATGGGAAAGACAGTAAAAGCAAGAAGACAGAAGTGGGGGGTGAGGTGAGGGTACGTGGTAATTAGGAAAACCTCCAGAGAAGTTGGTGTCTGAGCTGAGCTTTGAAAGAAACTAAGGATTTTAAGAGGCAAAAAGGTGAGGTTCATTCCAGGCACGGCAGACAGTCTATGAAAAGACACAAAGCTGGAAGATGGAGTGTTATGTGGGAGGAAAAGCAAGAAGTGCAATTTAAGCATAATGAACAATAAGGGGAGAAAAGTAGGTTGGAGTCAGGTTAGGAAGAACTTGAAGGGCCAAACAGAGAAGCTTGCATTTGATCTTAAAGGTAATTAGAATCCACAAGAATTTACTGAGTTGAGAGGAATAACAGGATCAGGATGCATTTCAGAAAAGTGTTAGCAGCTATGAGGAGGATGGAGTAGGGAGGGGAGAGAATTGAGACAGGGAGACCAATTAGGACCAATTATTCCCACAGTGCAGGCAAGAAGAACTTCAATTAGGGTGGTGGTCAGGAGCAGAGACAAAGGGACTGATTTGAGAGGTACTACAGAGGTAGAATCCACAACACCTGAAAAGGGATCAGCTATAGGGGATAAGGTAAGGAGTTGAAAAGGACTCTAAGATTGCAAAGTTGGGTGACTTGGAAGAATGATGATGTCACTGGGAGAAATGTGGAAGTCTAGAACAGGTCTTCTTAAACTTTTTCCACTTGTAACCTATTTTCGTGTTTTGGCAATGTTTGTTGGCGCTGTGTGGGCATGATGGCACGGGCAGTGCAAAGTACGCATGTTGCGTGTTCAGAACCAAGGCTGCGATAAAGTTGTATGATGCAACACAAGTGTGGCAAGTGCTGCCACACCTCGGATTCATCACGTGTTTGGTTTTGAAGTTTCGGTTGTTGAGCATTCAGAAACCTTTTACTGTTGCCAAAACTTCTGTGACCCAATATGGGGTTGTGACCCACAATTTAAGAGGTCTAGAAGAGGGGTGGGTTTTGTGGAAAGGATAATTTTGGTGTTTTGAATTAGCCCTTCTAATTCTAACTTCAAAAGTCAATAATTCTGTTCATTTTTACTGATATTCCAAAACTCCTCACTACTAATATGCTATTTCTACCTTGTTATCTATGTATTTCCATAATCCAAGATTATCTGTGTGCTATTTATAGATTCTACTTATGCACAAACATAAATCCAATTAAATGTCAGATATGAGGGTCAGCATGGAATACTGTTAAAAACTCCAGACTGAGAATGAGACATGAATTATAGTACTAGTTCAGTCCTTAAGTAGTTATATGACATTTCTTAGATAAACCACTGTAAGCATTTGTTTCTCAGTTTTAAATTTAAGGAGTTTGGTAACCTTAACCTCTAAAATTATATGATTCCTTTCTGAATGACTAGACATATTCCACTGCCTAAAATAGAAATTTGTATCCTTTCTTGGTTTTTGCTCTGCTTTATCACAGCCAACTTCTAAGTAAAGATATCACAAAACTAAAGAATCATGAATTAGAATTCTATTGCAGAATTTCCCAGACATTGGTCCATAGGTTGATTCTAGTCTGCAAGGTAAATCTTCTCTACTACATAATAGCAATACTTATCATGTATCTGCCTCCAGCTCAACACCTATAAAATGGTGCTCAAATATACTTTTTAACTTTTGGTCTACTCTGTTTCTAATGTAGCCCTAAAGAAGCTACTGATACAAAGCGCAGTGGCCTGTTATTTTTCTACTTGCCTTACATGATGGCTTCCTGAAAGATGTGTTAAAGTATTAAAGTCTCAATAAGTTTTTACTAATTCCTAGGACAAAGATAATGTGGATCTTATGCCCTGTAGCATTGATGACAAGTATAAATATGTAAGATGACACACAAAATCAGAGAATACAGAATTGGAATGAACTTGATCTGGTCCAAGATTTCTTAACCAGGGTCCTCTGAATGTTTTTTTAATTTGGATAACTGTATTTTAATATAATTTTTTTCCTTTACAATCTCATGTATTTTATTTTATTCATTTAAAAACATTATTCTCAGAAGGAGATGATAGATTTAACCAAAATGCCAAAAGGGTCCACGACACAAAAAAGTTTAGAACCTCTACTCTAGTTAAACATCCTACCCAAAGGATGAATACTTTCTACAGTGTCCTAACAAATGTCGTCTAGCTTCCATATGGCACCTCTGCCATTGGGAGACTAAATACTCCCTCAAGAAGGCCATTCTATTTGCAAATAGGTTTAAATGTCAGTAAAACACTTTTTTTTTAACATAGATATTTGTCACATTCTAAATGTAGTTTATGGGTTCTAATTCTGCTCTCTGGGGAAAAGCAATCTAATACCTCTTCCAGATGATAACCCTTCAAAAATTTAAAAAAAAATCTATCATGCTTCTGGGATAAGAACTCATTATTTGACAAAAACTGCTGGGAAAACTGGAAAAGAATATGGCAGAAACTAGGCATAGATCAAAATGTCGTACCATATACCAAAATAAAGTCAAAATGGGTTCATGATTTAGATATAAAGGCTGATACTGTAAACAAACTGGGAAAGCAAGGAATAGTTTACCTATCAGATTTATGGAGAACAGAAGAATTCATGACCAAACAGCAGATAGAAACAAAATGCAAAATGATTAACTTTGATTACATTAAACTGAAAAGTTTTTGCACAAACAAAGCAAATGTAACCAAGATTAGAAGGAAAGAAGAAAACTGGGAAAGAATTTTTACAACCAGTGTCTCTGATAAGGGCCTCATTTCTAAAATACATAGAGAATTAAGTCAAATTTATAAGAATACAAGTCATTCCCCAATTGATAAATGGTCAAAGGATATGAACAGGCAGTTTTCAGATGAAGAAATTGAAGCCATCTATAGTGATATGAAAAAATGCTCTAAATCACTATTGATTAGAGAAATGCAAATCAAAGCAACTCTGAGGTACCACATCACACCTATCAGATTGGCCAACATGACAAAACAGGAAAACTATAAATGTTGGAGAAGATGTGGGAAAATTGGAACACTAATGCATTGTTGGTGGAGTTGTGAAATGATCCAACCATTTTGGAGAGCAATTTGGAACTATGCCCAAAGGGCTATAAAAATGTGCATACCCTTTGACCCAGCAATACCACTTCTAGGGCTGTATCCTAAAGAGATCATATAAATGGGAAAAGGACCCACACGTACAAAAATATTTATAGCAGCTCTTTGTGGTGGCAAAAAATTGGAAATTGAGAGGATGCTCATCAATTGGGGAATGGCTGAACAAGTTGTAGTATATGAATGTAATGAAATACTATTATGCTATAAGAAATGATGAGCAGGCAGACCTCAGAAAAACCTGGAAAGACTTGTATGGTCTGATGCTGAGTGAAGTGAGCAGAACCAGAAGAATGTTGTACACAGTAACAGCCACATTGTGAGATGACTGGCGTTGATAGACTTAGTTCTTCTCAGCAATGCAAGGATCTAAGACATCTCCAAAGGCCTCATGATGGAAAATGCTATCCACATCCAAAGAAAGAACCATGGAGTTTGAATGCAGATCAAACCATACTATTTGCTATTTTTTTCTTCTGTTGTGTTTTGTTTCCTCTTTCTGGTGGTTCCTCCTATTGGTTCTAATTCTTCCTTACAACATTCATTAATGTGAAAATATGTTTAGTAGGAATGTATATGTATAGCCTATATCAGATTGCAAACCATCTTGGGGAGGGAGGTAGGGAGCGAGGGGGAGAAAAATTTAAAACTCAAAAGCTTATGGAAGTTATTGTTGATAAATCAAAATACATTAATTAAAAAAATCTATCATGCTAACACTATTGTAATGTTAACTCAAAAGCAGTACTTACATCATCAACTAAGACTTCTAATTCATATTCATGAATTCCTCCTCCTCCATAGACAGAAAAGCCAACCACAACTATACCAGGTTTGTCTACAGAAAAACAGATTGCATCAGGAGACCCATTTCCAGTATTCCAACTTCTTCCTTGACTTGTTTTAGTGAATCGGTTAGCACTGGATTTGACAGAATGAAGAGAGTTAATTCCATCAACCTGTTAAAATGTAAAAGAAACCATTATTAATTTCATAGTACCAAGCAGCAATATTACTTTATCAATCCCTGTAAATTTTATTTGAAAGTTTCTAGACAGTAGCCTAATATACAAATATATAGTACCTGATGTTAACTGGTTCCTCAACAGAAAATGCTGGGAGAAATAAGTCAACAAGAAAGTTTTATGAAAGGGGGAAGAATTAATTGAGGGGTTTCACAACTTTGTACTTAGATTTGGTTATAAAATATTACCAGAATTTATGGAACCTATACATCATATCCAGAAGAACTACAAGAACAATTCAGATTTTAGCATTCCAAGTGTAACCAGTAGAAAATGTTTTTCTACTAAATTCTCATAATTTTCTCATCATTTTTTGAAAAACAGCATGTTCTCAGAGTTTCATTCAAATTCATATACTTGAATGACTTTCTGATGTGTGCGTGTGTGTTGGGGAAGGTGGGAAGATCTGTCATTTCACTACTGTCGGAAACTCCCTCTACCCTTGCAGATCAACAACTATTCAGAAAGACCTTACAGTACCCAAATATATTCCCTTAAGGAGCAAACAGTTTCAATCAAAACAGAAAAAAAAGCAAGATATGGTGATAGCTTTTTTATATTTACTTCAAATAATTAGAAAACACTGATTGCTATAAAAATGCCAGCTATATTTTGTGAACTATAACAAAAGAATTGAAATTGTGGTAAGGAATACCAGTCATACAAACAATATCAGTTTGCTAAATAGGTATCCAAGGCATATGCCTCTGACTTAGCCAAATATGTAATTTGGTGTAGGGGTCAAGGAAAATTGTTCCGGTTTACGGCATATTAAACTAGAAGGCCCTACTTCTGACCCAGGTTGGCCTTAGAGATTCAAGGAAACTGGATAGAAGAATTTGTGTCAGGACTAACTAAAACACGCCGTCCAAGAATGCTATGAGTGTCTTGGGACCCCCAGGGTAGGTCTACAGCTACTCTTTTTAAGTTCTGAAGATTACCCTGGTTTAGAAATGTAAACTCTTTAAGCACTATTTGACAATATGTTACATATATCCTTGGAACCCACTCAGAGACTACTTAACATTTAGTAATATTCAAAAACAATTATTTGAATTTGAAATATAGCAGGTGAGGGAACCTGGGATCCTCCTGATCCATAGCCACCCATACTTAGAAAACATTTCAGAAAAGAATGTTTTCTCAATGTAAGGCCGTGGAATTCATGTGGAGCCATAGAATTACAGAGCAGTACACTGAGCCAGAATGTTTCTCTAAACAAATAAGGAATCTGGATTGAAGTGGTAAGGAGAAGAGAATAAGCACTACAGTTTATCTGTAGGGGGCAGGAGGAGAAGAACCTCAAAAAAAGACATTAGAGACATATACTAAGACAAGAAAAAGTCAAAATAACAAAAAATTATATAAAGTTTTAAAATGCAGCAAGCTGCCTGCCACAAGAAGTCCCCAACAAGAAATTTGGTAACTAAGGGCCCAGAATACTTGGTAGCTTTTAAATACTATATTTTTCATAACACATTGTACTCAATACCTTCAAAGTTAAGAGGCATATCAGTTTTGTGAATATTTGAAGAGAGTTAACATCCTTCCAAGTCTTCTCTTCAAATAATGGTATCAAGAATTTAATAAATCCTTATTGAATGACTGATTGACTTTTCATCGTAGAGAAAAGGAAACTGAGCAATAGAAAGGTAAAGTGACTTGGCCACACACACACAGCCACCAGAGGGCAAAGCCAGGATTGGATAGATCCCTGGTATTTTATCCTCTAATTTACTGATCTTTCTACTCTATCACACTTTTTCTTCACTAAAAACACTTGTGATTGTAAAATAATCCAGGATTTTGAGCATTGTGAGCCTTTATTTTCCAGCTAAAAATTACTTTGTACTGCTGTCTTTAAAAAAAAAAAAAGATTTAAAGCATGTCAGAAAGGGCTGGATTTGCTAGGAGACCATGTTCAAAATACTTATAAAGGGAGAATAAAAGAAAACTTTTGCCAGCTTTCTTTAATTTGTATGCTTAGTTTTATTTGAAATTAATTTTAAGGGGCAGCTAGGTGGCGCAGTAGACAGAGCACCAGCCCTGAAGTCAGGAGGACCCGAGTTCAAATGCGACCTCAGACCAAACACTTGACACGTACTATCTGTGTGACCTTGGGCAAGTCACTTAACCCCAATTGCCTTACCAAAAAAACAAAACAAAACAAAACAAAAAACCAAAAGAAATTAATTTTAAATAAAAATCTTATGGTTTATTTAGAAGAATACATATTATAAAACTGTAAATAACACAATCATTACCTCAGATCCAAGGGCTGATGCTGTAAGTTCACTCACAATACTAGCAAGTAATCCGCAAGTATTAGAGACTAGATGGGAGGAGAAGAGCTCATTTTCTCGTCTTAGGCTATTTCTGACTGGTAACACAACAATAACTAACATCTTCTCCAGAACTTCACGAAAGCTTGTCATTCCAGAGATATTCTCCTCACTCTATGATATAAGGAAAGATAAAACAGAATATATAGAAAATGCTGCCTTAGTTTCATCAATATGGAAATACATTCAAAATCATTTTTTTAAAGACTGTTTTTAAAATCCATACTTGAATAGAAATTACATTAAGTCTTAAGAAAATTTTCATTGTCTAAACTCATTTTTTCATTTGATCATTTTTATGGTCTTTTCATTTCTGTAATAAAAGCAGCTTACTTTTAAAACTTACACTAAACCTGCCCCATGACAACTATGTAAGATAAGTGGTGCAAGTATTACTCCAATTTTACAAGTGGGGTAATTGTTTTATTTGACATTTTTCACATGTTTGACATTTAATGAAGAAAGATAAAGTGGCTTCCCAAGGGCACAAATCTAATTAAGCATCAGAATCAGGACTCCAACCCAGGTCTTCTGATTTCAAGAGCTTTCTGTATTTTTTATTTTAACAAGGAGTAGGTATCTATTCTATTTCATCTACTAGAAAAAGAAGATTTGAAACTATGAAAGGAGCTGTACATAATTTCACACTAATATGCAGAGTCAGTCTTAGCCTTTTATCTTGAAGTTCTCAGCAATGGAGCCTCCCTTCCTCCCCAGACACCACTGGCGTATTTCACTGTGTAATATAATTTAACATTGTTCTTATATTTTAAAAATAAACAATCATTTTATCCTTTTTTGGTATCTGAGATGCCAAGAACGCAAAAACAACCAAAAAAGTAATTTAAATTTAAATTATGGCTTGTATATATTAATTAAAGGACAAATATAAAGGAAAAACTGATTCATTTACAATGATTCATTTGAGGGTATAGCTAAGGCATATTTAATCCTAAAAAAGTTATAACAGTAACCTCATTAAGCATACTGATATATTTCAAACACAGCATACACTGTGGTCAGAATGGAGTAAAATAAATCAGTGATTTTTTTGAGTCTCAAATAAACTGGGGAACAAAATTCTATCTTGAATGAAATATTTATTCAAAATCTTCATAATGATAACTTTGTGTAAATCATACATATCACATCTTCTACATTTTGAAACTAAAAAAATCACTAACAATACAAAGATTCTGTAATGTCTTTTTTCTATGAGAAGTCATGAAATAAAAACTGAAGATATTCAGAAAAGTAAACTTAAATACATATTTTCCTTTTTGGAATGTTTAAGTAAATTTTAAAAAGCAGTGAATTTCAAATATTAGTATTCTCTTTTAAAAATATTTTAAGTCTCACATTTCTCCAAGGTAATGCCTTACCACAATAAAAGTGATATTTAATGATTCTGGAGAAACTGTAACAAAATTAAATTTGTTCTACAGATGTACAGCTGGGAATTCTCCTTAAAGCAGGTTAATCTTGTGAAAATTAGCAAAGAAGAAAATTAACATTTGGCAGCAGATTAGAATTAGGTTAGAATAAAAAGCAACAAAAAGTAAAAGACTTCATTTCTTAATTTAATAAGTAAAAGACAGTCAAAATTTCATTTTCCTGGGAAAAATAATAATCAATTCTGACCTGACTGAGTTTTTCCATGTGTGCTACCAACAGAGGAAATCGGTGAGCCAGGGCAGAGTCGTTTTCAGTGCTGACTTGTTTAACAATGGATCGAAGTAATACTTCTCCATCATAGGCAATGGGAAAGATAGAGGTCAACTTGACAGATGTGTGACATAAAGCTGACATAACAGCTGCAAGCAGTCGGCTACTTGATGTCTTGAAATTCGCTTCTTGGATATCCTTTGACAAAAGACCCAGGCCCCACACCAAAATAGATTAATGTAAGTTCCAAGAATTAAATAAATACAGATCAATGACAATGTTTTTGGAATTAGACTGAATTGCACTGAAATTCAGATGGCCACTTTTGCTATGAAATTCTACAAAAACAAATGTTACTATTTAAAAACAAAGATTTTTGTAAAGATCAGTTACTTATTTTATGGAAATTAAAAAATAATGAACAAGGAAAGTTTAGGGAATCCTTCCAGCTTCAATCATCATACACATATATAGCCTAAAGTTGTAACTGCCTGGCATTTTTCAGCACCATCTGAAAAAAGATCATTTCAATACTAGTGGCAACTTCCTGTCCTTTACATGTGTGCCAAACTGTGAACAAAAATTAAAATTTTCCTCCTGATTTTGGTTTACCTAACTACATACTAAATAGGGTAAACCAGAAATCCCTTGCACTTATAACTTCATAATACTATCCAATTACCCCATGTTAGTTATTCAGAAAAATGGGCAACAAACTATAAAACTAGAATGAAATAAAAGATCCCACTATGCAAAAACAAACATAGGAGAGAAAAAAATCTTAGAGGCAATCCTTGATATGTGTTAGTTAACTTTGTCCTAAACTGACTGAATTCTATACTTTAAATTCTATACTTTAAATCAGAGTTCACAAACTTCTTTGGTATAATGCCTCCTTTAAAAGAAAAATTACTCAGTGCCCCTCTGGATATCTACTTCTAACCCTTTAACAGTTGTTGTTTTTTTTTTAAATTTGCGTCACCCAAGGCTATTACTGACCTCCTGGATTGTTCCAGTGCTCCCTGGGGATAGTATCATCCACTTTGGGAACCTATTTTAAATCCACTTTTATTACTAATCTCATGGCTCTTCACCTCTCTCCAAGGTACTAATATGCTGCATTTAAAAAATGGACAATTCTGTTATACTAAGCAAGGCAAGGTAGTAAGGAATGATTGTAGATAGTGAGCTGTTTAGTATTGAGCTGTGGAGTACAGGAGATGCCATAAATTTGTAGAGAACTCAATATTTACCATCCTAGAATTGAGAGACTTACTAGCCCTGAGAATGAGGTCTCTGGCTAATATGCCATATTGGTACAGAGAATCCCACACTTGAGTAATAAAGAGGAATATTTAATAAATTTCTAAATTTTATTATTCCAAATTGCAGTTCTCCTCCAGGAGAGTTTATCTTTTGCTTCTATACATTTTCACAGGCTGTTACCTATGCCTGGAATGTCTGACTTCTTCACTTTTGATTCCTAAACCTCTCCCTACAAGGCTTATTTTAAGAACATCCTTTGTTTACAGGCCTCTCCTGATTCCTGTAGTTGTTTGTATCTTTTCTTGCAAAATAACCAGGTATTTATTTCATGAACAGCATGATGGAACCTGTATATGAAACTTTTAAATTCCCCTAGTAGAACATAAGCTCCTTTAGGGGAGGGATTATTTGCTTCTGCATTTGTATTCTAGCACCTCATATACATTGTCTGGCACAGAGCAGTCACTTAATAAAACTGTGTGGTGTGATTGGTATCAATCCACATAAAAAATATCAAACATCTATGTGAATCTGAAATTTTGTCAGGGGCCATAATCCAGACCAACTTTGTGTTTTAGCTCTCTTTTAAAATACAATCTAAAGCAGGAGAATTTCTACCAGTGTATTGTGGTACTTAACATACCTGATCCAAACAATTGAGGAGATCACAAAGGCAAGCCCACTGCAGGGCAGGGGTTGGGTAGAAAGAATGAAAGCAGGCTGTGAAGGTATTATGACACTCCTGAAGGACGGCCTCCAGAAGACTCAACGGCTGACTAAGATACCCTTGGGGATCATTATCCAACTTGACCATGCAGTGATCAACTCCTTCAGATAAAATTTTTCGTAGTAAAGTTCTGGTTTTCCCAATACATTCTGCTAATTTACTTGTTTCTTCTACAACTGCTTTAGCAGTAGCTATAAGGGAACAAAATGAAGTGTAAACACATAACAATAGTGGACTAAAAAAAACTCTCTTAAAATGCATAGCATAATCATAAATATTTATACATAAATAATGAAACAAGTTATACTTTGGCCAAAATTCCTTTGCTTATGTTTACCACACATGAAATATTAGTCACTCAAATTAGTTTTAATATTTAAGTCAAAATACTCAAAATACTTTTAGTTACTATAATAGTTTTCCTAAATTGATACAGTACTAGGGTATTAAAAATTTGAAATATATTGTTTTGATATGTTTTAGTAGTTACACATAAATGACCTGATTTTAAAATTATAACTTAGTTATCCAAAATGAATACATTTGGCCAATAAAACAACATTTACTTAGAGTAGTTCTTTAGAACCTGACTTGTCTTTTTTTTTTGGGTGAGGCAATTGGGGTTAAGTGACTTGCCCAGAGTCACACAACTAGTGAGTGTTATATGTCTGATACTGCATTTAAACTCAGGTCCTCCTGCCTCCAGGGCTAGTGCTCTATGCACTGCGCCACCTAGCTGCCCCTTGTCTTTTTCTTTTAAAAAATGACAAGTCAACATTACCAACTATTTATTCACACAGGCCTGGGCCTATGTTAATGAATCAGCATATAATAGTGGAGAAGAATTTTATAAGCTGAAAACAACAGTTTCAAATGAAGAAAACTTTTAACAATTATTAATAATGTACTTAAAGTATACATATTTTTCCCTGATAAAATTCATATCTACATCATACCTGACATAGGGTAAATCTCACAGGTATAGACACGTAACAGCCTTAGACAACAAGTGCCCACAAAACGCAATCTCTCTAAATCAAGAAGTGTAGCAGTATACTGGAATCCTTTTAATCCCCGAAGTTCTTCTACTCCTAAAACTAAAGTGGTCCAACTCCAGTGAAGGATGCTCAACAATGACTCAAAGCATTCCTAGTCCAGAATAGGAGAAATTAGAGTGTTATTAGTTCAATGATATAATAGATTGAAATTCATAAATATTCAGGCAAAAGATTGATAATCAGCCTAAAGATCTTACCTGATAATACATTTAAAAAACCAAAAGTTTCAAAGTGCTTTCATTTATCAAGCTAAAAACTGTAGGATTATACAAAAAAACTGAGCAAAAAGTTCAGTTATTTCATGATACTAAGAAAAGATCAAATCTCTAGAGGCAACATGGCACAGGAATAGAAAGCTAGGCTTGAGACCAAGAAAGTCTTGGTTTAACCACCCTTTCTGACATAAGCTGATTGTGTGACTCTCAATAAGTAAACCTTTCACTGCTCTAGGCAAATATCTAAGTTGCAAAGAAGATGTTGACTTGCACTGGTAAAGAGTTTCCTAAACCTAGGGAACTCCCTATGTCAAAGAAATCACAGGTCCAGTACCTATACCTGTTTTATTTCTACACAAATATAGATAACTGTTTAGTAATTTTTATGTATTATATCACATAAAAATATCCCTTCCATATTGTGACTTTCCCCATCATGGTTTCAATATATCATGGGTCAGCACAAGAAATTAATAGGAATTTTTGGGGAGTTTTGCGGAAGCTGCAGACAATATGCGAAAGCCAGCAGATGACATAGAAAAAGTTTAGAAACTCAGAAATGTCTAAAACATATGTGTAGTATTGTATAATATCAACATATTTTGTCTTTCAATACCATAATAATTCAGACTTTTTCTCTGGTACAAAGGGAGGGTCAAAAAATTTTATGCAGATTTTTCCAGATAGTGGAGGTGCCATGTCCCTAACCCCACAATGTGGAAGGGATAACTATACATCAACCACTAATATACTGGTATGCTTATTTGGGTAAAAAACAAAACAAAACAACAACAAACCCTAAACTCTATATTCCCTAAATGAAGGACCAAAAAAGTGAGATAAATGTTTTCAAACTTCTAGGAAAAAAAAACACCCTTTTTAAATGGTATGGAATATCTTCTTTTAGCTTCAATTGGACTATAGGTTGCCTGATAATTGATATTCAACAAAAGGGTGTAGGATGTTATCAAAAGAATTCAAAGCTTTGTTGGTGAGAGGATTTCCCAAGAATTGAAAATTTATTGTAATTTAACTGTAATAAAAAACTTAACTTTCAAAAATAATTTTTAAAAACTATCTTGTAATTTCATAAACTACGCAGGCATTAATATACCACTACTACTAGACAACAGTTATATGGTGCCAGGAATTGTGTCAAGTGCTTTACAATTATCTTATTTGATATTCACAATAATCCTGGAAGGTAGCCTGCTATTACAATTCCCATTTTACAGGTAAGAAAACTGAGACAGACAGAGGTTAAATGACTTGCCCAGGGGTCACACAGCTAGTCAGTGTCAAATCTGAACTCAGGTTTTCCTGACTTCAGGCCCAGCACTCTATCTACTGTGCTATCAGCCACCCCTAATAAGTGATCAATCTGAGGCAATATGAAGCATAGGCTGAGAGTGAAAAATTTCTGATAAAGATGTCACAATAAGGATGCTGGTTCTTGTGTCTCTGACACTCACTTGCCAAGGAACCACTTGTAAGCCACTCCAGGACTTGTTTCTTCCTCTGTAAAACTGGGTAATAACATTCTGAGCATTCTCACCTTGCAACATTGTTTTGGGGAATGCATGAGATGCTTAATAGGTGGTGTTTTCTTTCCCCCAAAATTTGAAGCAGTATATAAAGGTAACCTATTAGTAGCAGCAGTAAGCAAATCTTCATAGAAGAGGAGAAAATGGGGATGCGGTTGATTGCTATAATGAAGTAATATATACATATATATATGTATAGTCTATTCAGACCTTGAAATGCTATGGAAATGTAAGCCAGAAGCACTAGTAAGAGGAACAGACAACGAAATCACAAAGAACAGCAAGCATCACATGTTGCTATCTTTAATTTATAATTCAATTAGCACAAAAATTAGTGACTGGCAACATGATCAATAAGAAGCAATATTGACTTTGGCTATATACAGAAATGGCTAATAAAGATCACAGATCATAATGAATTGGATCCAGTTTTCTGTATAATTTATCTTTTTAATCTGAGAAGATAGATATTCTAGAGCAACTCTCACTCAAATGGAAATCTAGATGCTTAAAAAGTACCATTACATACCTTAAACATGAGTTTTGGAATTTTCATGGCCAACTTAGGCCTATAAATTTACTTTGAGGCTAAGAACCTGAAGAATATATACATACATGCATTTCCCCCCACCTTTCCTAATGACTTTTTAACCAATTTTTCATCTTTGATAAAGCATACCAATATCAATTATATCACATTTTAATGACAATGCACTAAAATTAAGTTAAATATAAGTTTATTAAGCTAAGTTGAGAATTCATTATTACATTTTGTGTGTATACATGGCAGAAGTATGAATATTTAAATAAAACTAAGGTATAAAATTAAGAAATGAATTTATTGGCTAGAATCTTTAAAAAGGATACTTTAGCTGGCTTACCGTAGAGACTGTTCTGGCAAAAGATCGCTTTAAAATGTGCACAGGTTCAGTGGTTTGCTGTTTACCTTTTGAAGCACTGCCATCACTGGTTGGCAGCCTAAAGAAAGGTAAATATACAAAACTGGTTTATAAAGGAAAATCCAATAAATGTGTACATATCTTTTTTTCTTCTAATACAATCAAGAAAAAAATTTTCTCCGTGTTTTAAATGAATTCCATTGTGGGTCACTTAAAAGATATTGTGCTATCTACTAATTAGAAAAAGACTAGAAAATTTTAACATTAAAGTTGAGACTACAAACAGAATTTGCTATATATTACAGAAATAAAATCCTAAAAAAGGAAGCAGAAATATGTGCATCCTTTGGTACTCCTGGAATGTTAAATTGAATGAATAAAACATTTATGAAGTGCTTACTACGCACAAAACTCTGGGGATACAAAGAAAAGTCACACAGTTCCTGTTCTCCAGGAGCTCACATTCTATTGGGGGAGACAACACATATGGAAAGTTTCAGTTATGAGTCAGATGGAAAGGTCCCTTGGTCCTTAGGGCACAGCAGCAAAGCAGATGGTGATGCCTCTTCTTGAATGTCATTCCCACTTATAAAAGACCTAAAGGAAAGGTTCTGTTATAATGAGTACACATTTTATAAAGGATTTATGGGAATTCATTGATAAAAACTAGACAGAATGTTAGAAGGCTGGGATAGGTTGTAATTTGAAGTACAGGAAGCAACGTACAAACTTATGACATCAGTTTGATGTATTGATACATACCATGTATAAAGGACCCTGTGTGTTTGCATGTATGTATACATATATATGAGGAATTTTAAATTTTTTGTTTCATAGCCCTGATTATTTCAAAGAGAAATAATTAAAACCAAAACTAAAAATCTAGAATATTAGTACAAAGACTTTGATTAAGGAATGATTCATTTTTCCCATAAGCATAATAGAGAAAATATTAAGTAAATGCCATAAAGTTGCCATGAAGAATTATTAAAATCTCTCTAAAGAATTTTCTAAGAACATACATAAATCTATATTGGGGAACTTGCCTAGATCTGTGATTTAGTAGAATGGTGTATTTCTGGGTGTGTAAATTCCTTCCCATAATGCAGATAAGCAATTCAAATATTACTTACAGTTTTAGAGGGTGGTCTGGCAGCGTTAAGAGGTGAAGTGATCACTAAGCTAATGGGTAGCAGAAGCAAGGCAGAAGTAAGACTTGAAAACCCAGATACTGCGGATTCTTAAGGGCAGACATCCATCCATTATTCCATGCTACTTCTCATACATAAATGTTTAAGTGTGCATGAATGCATATATGTATGTGTTCATACAAGTATACATGCATCTTATATTGTTTACCATTTTGTTGTTTTTTAATTTTAATTAAATATTACATTTTGTTGATAGTAAGGAAATGCTGGATCTATACAAAGTATTTATAAGGAATATAAACACAAGGAATATAAAACCTAGAGCAGGTCAATCAGGATCCAGACAAAGTTTTTTGTCCCTATTTCACTATAATGTTTTCTCTTGGATGAACATGTTTGGCTATTATAAACAAAATGCCAGGAAAATTAATAAAATATAGTTTTGGTAATGTAAAATTCTTAGAAGAAAAATTTCATTTAATAGGTAAAATAATTCAAGATGGTTATCAGTTTAAAATTAAGGCTCATGATGAGAATAAAGTAATAATAGCTAGAATTTATATGCTCTTTAAGATTTGCAAAGTACTGTTCATTTGCAACATTGTTAGAGCCTCATAACAACCCTAAGGCAGATCCTATTGTTAATATGTTCATTTTACAGATGAGGAAACTGAGGGTCAGAGAGGTTAAGTGACTTGCTCAGGGTCACACAGCTAGTATTTATCTGGGGCAGGATTTGAATTCAGGTCCTTCCTGACTCCAAGTTGAGAACTCTATCCATTGAACCAACTAGCTTTCTCTAATATAAAAAATGTCACTGAAAAAAACAGATTGAAATACACAGAAAGTCACCTGAGTTAAATGTTTTTTATATATACGTCTACATTTCTCTTGATATCATAATAACTTCCCTGAATGCTTTAAAAACAATCAATTACCCAAATAATTTTCACTTTTTCATACTCTGCACTTTGGAATATTCCTGGTCTATTTACAAGGGGGGGAAGGAAATCATTTTACACGAAAATATGTACAATACCTGTATAATAACTGAGGTATCTGTCCTGCATTAACATCTGTACCATTGTTTGATTTCTTTGAACTCTTAAATTGGAAAAGAACTCTGAAGAAAAAGAAAAATAACAAAAAATTAAAATATCTCATTTATCAAAAAAATTAATGAAATGTATCAGTCTTCTTATAAGGGAACTTAAAGTTGATGTTAAAGCTAACTTACTGTTCAAGGGTAACAAATCAGGAAAGAGGTCACATTGACTCTTTTAAAACTTGTCCTGAGACCTCACTTTCTTGATATCAACAATACTCTTAAAGCACATTTTCTGAGGAAATAATTAATGATACTTCAGACTTACCCATCATCTGTGGTAATAGAGGCCTGTCCATGAGATCCACAGTCACTGCTAGGTCCTGACACACGAGCCCATGCAACATACCACCAGCCAGCTTGCAGAAGAACTGGTTCATCGAACATCATGGCATATTTTTCTCTGTGAGAAATATTAGTCAGATAATGCCAAAATCTATAGATTGCTGATAAACCTAATAGAAATCCAGTTAAAATGAATGAAAAGCTGCAAATCAAATTGAAATTCACAGAATCACAGAACAGAGAAGGGAGAGATCTCAGAGCTGTTCAGTCCAAATCATAACTGAATAAGAACCTCTTAAAACATACATAAAAAGAAGTCATTCAACTTTGGCCTGAAGATTTTCAGTGAAGGGAGATTCTCTCTCTCTCTTGGCAGCCCATTCAATTCTGAAATAGTTCTAATTTCTAGAAAAAAGTTTTTCTTGCATGAAACCTAAATTTGCCTTTTCTAATTCCACTTGCTGTGCCAAATTGTGCTGTCTGGGGTCAGGTTGAATAAGTTTAATTCCTCCTCCTTATTTAGTCCCCAAAACACTGGAAGATAGTGATCATACACACCTACACCACTCCCCCCTCAAACACACTCACAAGTCTTCTCTTATAGAGACTCAATGTCCCCAATTCCTTCAGCCAATCTCATGATAAGTACAAGAAGCCCCCCTCCTCTTTGCTAAGAGTAAGCCCTCCACATGCATCTTTGACCTCATCTCGTCTCATCCTTCTCTAGAAAAATGCTGCTTATCACCCCCCCAACTAATCTTCATTCCTTTACTATCCAGTGGTTCTCTCCCTGCTGCCTACAAACATGTCTATGTGTCCCCAAAATCTTGTGATCCAATCATCGTTACTAGCTATCACCCTATACTTCAGCTCCCTTTCTCAGCTAAACTCTTTGAGAGAACCATGTACTTTAGGTGACTTCATTTCACTCATTCATTTTTAAACTTCATGTAATCTAGTTTTTAACTTCATTCAACTCAAACTGCTATCTCCAAAGTTACCAATGATCTCTAACTACCAAAACTAACAACTTTTTCTCAAAACTTTTCCTTCTTGACTTCTCTGAAACTTCTGACATATCACCCTCTTCTGGATATTCTCTCTTCTCCAGGATTTCCTAATTGCTACACTTTCCTGATAATCCTCCCACCTTCACACCACTCCTCAGGCTCTGGCTGGACCTTCATCCAGCCAGGACACTTCCACTAGCAGTGGATTTCTTTGGAGGGTCTGCCCGGGCTCCTCTTCTCCCAGCAGTTCTCAAACTTTTTGGTCTTAGGACCCCTTTACACTCTTAAAAATTATTGAGGACCAAAACAATATAAGATGCATGCATACGTACACACTTCTAGTGTGGAATAATGGATAGAGGCCTGATCTTAAGAGTCCATAATACATATCTATTGGCATTTACCATATTATAAATAAAAATTGCTAAAAATTTGAAATATTTACTTAATAATTCATTTAAAAATAACAATAAACAAATTCATTACATGTTAATATAAGTAACCCATTTTAATTAGTGAAGAGTGGCATTGTTTTATATTTTTATTTTTTTTGCAAATCTCTTCTAATGTCACTCTAAATGGAGGACAATTACATTCTCGTATCTGCTTCTGCATTCAGTCTAGAAACTTAGACGTCATCCTCAAGTCCTCACTCTCTCTAACTCCCCCTCCTCCCATTTCCAATCTGTTGCCAAGGCTTGTCAACTTTATCTTCATAATATCTCTCACTTCCTCTGATAGTGCCACCACTCTGGTGCAGGCCCTCATCATTCCACACCTTGATTACTGCTTGCAGGTAAGTCTGCCTGCCTCAAGTCTTACCCCACTTCCATTCCGTTCTTTCATTTAGTCACCAAAGTGATTTCCCTAAATCACAGGTGCGGCCATGTTACACTTCCATTCAATAAACTCTAGTGGCTCCTTATCACCTCTAGGATATCAAGCATAAAATCCTCTGTTTGGCAGTCAAAACCCTTCATAAGCACTCCTGCCAACCTTTCCAGTCTTCTTATATCTTTCCCTCCACATAATGTCTGATCCAGTGACACTAGCCTCCTTGCTGTTCCTTGAAGATACCCCATCTCCCCACTCTGAAGCATTTTCACTAGCTGACCCTCATGACTTCCTCATCTCCCTTTCCTAATTTTCTTGCCTTCCTTCAAATTCTAGCTAAAATCCCATCATCAGGGGCAGCTAGGTAGCTCACAGCCTTGGAGTCAGGAGGACCTGAGTTCAAATCGAACCTCAGACACTTACTCAGGCATTTACTAGCTGTGTGATCCTGGGCAAGTCACTTAATCCCATTGCCTAGCCCCCGCCTCCCCTAAAAAATCCCATCAACTTCCTTTCCTGATCCCCATTAATTCTAGTGCCTCTACTCCGTTGATTATTTCAAATTTATGTTGTATAGCCTGTTTGCACATAGTTGTTTACATGTTATCTCTCCCATTAGACTGTGAGTTACTTGAGAACAGGGTCTTTCTTTTTCTTTGTATCCTCAGCACTCAGCAGAGTGTCTGGCACATATGATGTGCTTAATAAATGTTTATTGTTCGAAAGCCATCTATTGTGATTTTTTTGGTTGTAATATCTGAAGAAAATCGAACCTCTAATTACATATAATTAGAAAAAAGTGGAGTTTTTTAATAGGTAAATATATCTTAGTATGACTATGAAAATAATTTTGACTTCTTGGATGTTCTGGTTTTTTTTTTTTTGTTTGTTTGTTTGAGGCAATTGGGGTTAAGTGACTTGCCCAGGGTCACACAGCTAGTACATGTCAAGTGTTTGGTCTGAGGCCGGATTTGAACTCAGGTCCTCCTGACTTCAGGGCTGGTGCTCTATTCACTGTGCCACCAAGCTGCCCTAGACCTCTCGGATCCTAAGAGTCCTCAGACCACACCTGTGGAAACTGCTGCTCTATATTATCTTGTTTGGTGATCTCCTCATCTCCATGCAGATGATTCCCAGACCTACATATCCAGGCCTAATTTCTCTTCTGACTTTCAGTCTCACATCACCAATGGCCATCTTGAAATCTGAAACTGTGTATAATGTCGGCATTTCAAACTCAAGATGGCCAAAATGGAAATCATTATCTTCACTCACAGACCTTACCCTCTTCCCAACTTTTCTGTTACTATGTCCACCCTCCCAGGCACCCACGCTTGCAACCTCTGTGTCATTCTCAGTGCCTCTAACATACTTTGTCCCTAACATCCAATCTATTGTCAAGTTTTATTCCCTTCTATTTACTCATACAGCCACCATACTGGTGGAGGCTCTCATTACCTCACACCTGGACTATTGAAACAGCCTTCTGGCTGTTTCTATTATCATGTAGCTCCTTACTTCAATTCAACTGCCACTCAAATGCTAAAGTGATCACTGTTCCTGGGAGGAGAACAGCAACATTATAAAGAGAATCAATGCAAAAGACTTAGGAACTCTGACCAATATAATGACCAACCACAATTCCCAAGGATTCATAATGAAACATACTATCATTCACCTCCAGAAAAGATACTCAGTGCAGACTATAACATATTTTATTTCTTTCTTTTTCTCACTTTTCTTCCTAGGAAAATGGACAATGGGGAAATTTGTTTCGTGTCAAAAAACCTTACAAAACACAAACACCAAAAACCAAAGGAAACCTAGCTCATCAAAAAGACATGAGAGTCCTTCCAACCAACCATCTCTCCTGGCTTACTTCACCTGAGACCCAATGTGAGCCGTGGATATACTTCTTACTCTCGATGGCTATTCTTCACTGTATTTCTACCATATTTCAATTTTCTTTGAAGCAAAGAAACCAGAGCACAACCAAAAACCAGAGTTCTTTTTTTACCTGTCTTTATCTTGCCACTAATATTGTTAGTAATATTAGACTTCTGCAGGATATCTTGCCTGAGTCCCAAGAACTAGGATAATGGATGAGCTTTCAGAAGCACAAGCGTGAATCAGGGAGACTTCATAGAAAAACTCTTGGTCATGAAACCCAGGGTGAAAAAACCAGGAATTCTGAAGTTCTGAACCACTCTGAAGGGTAGACACATACATCTTATTAAAACTAAATCTTCTAGTGTGGAATAAAATCTATTTGGGAACCAAATGATTCTGGGAGCTCCCTGACAAGTTCTAACAAGATTTGGTCCCATAGGGCTTGTTTTTATCCTAATCTGCAGTACCGGTATAGTCAAAAATAGTTTAAGGTATGGCCCAACATGGCTTCTTGAGTAGCTGTGCCTAACAGAGAAGAGGAAAAGAAACAAGCATTTATTGAGTGTCTACTATGTGTGAGGCACAGTGTCTTACAAATACTATCTCATTCATCCTCACAACAATCTTGTAAGGTAGGAACTATTATGATCTCCATTTTACAGTTGAGGAAACTGAGGCAGAAAAAGGGTAAGGGAACTGCTCAGCATCACACAACTGATGAGTGTCTCAGGCCAGGTCTGACCTTAGGTCTCCCTGGCTCCAGGCTCAGCATTCTATGCACTGTGCCACCTAGCGATGATTGTTCAGGCAGTTTGGCCACAGAACAGCTCTCTGATCCAATCTGCTTCTATGTGCTATCATTAATTTCTAATGAGGTAAAAAACCGTTCCATAGGAGATTGTCCTCCCATAGTAAACAAATAAATATCTCTTATATTTAATAAAAATAAATACGTATTTTATTTTGTATAACAAATATAATGTAAAGGAGGATTCATTTTCATTTACCTTTGATACCTGAGTTAAAACAGAATTTAATTGAATGATTGTTTAAAACCTCTATTTTCTTTCTGAAATATATGAATGAAATATACTAAAGATAATTTAAAATTTTCTGTTCAAAATGCTAAGCTTAAATATTTAGCACAAAATTAAAATGTTTATAAAGCTACTATAAAAATAGAGCTTATTAATCTCATTACATAATTTAAAAGTAGTTACAAAGACAAGAAAAATCATTTACCTAGCAGCACAGTCATATGCCAAGACATCAGTCTCTGCAAGAAGGTCACCATCGGTTTCATGATCTCCTCCGTCTGGACCCAATTCAAATAACTAAGGGAAGGAAGAAATGTTGATTTTTGCCTCAGCAGTCAATCATTTGTATTCTGATTTTTGTTATTTATTTGCTGAAAATTCTTAATAGGTTAAGCACTATGAAGGTAAAAATCAAGTAGAACCTGTTCTCCAGAAGTTTTCATTTAAAATGAACAAGGCAACATTAAAAATACCACATATTAAAAAAACTGGATTTTTATGATTTTTCAATTTTCATTTTTCTTATATGGAAGAAGACTTGAAAGCCCTTATACACGGGCAGGTTTTTATTGCTGAACAACAGTATTTGAAGGAGGTGAGGATCTTTTCCTAACCTATTCCATCTTGGAGTGTTTCCAAATGGGATAAAATCTAAGGAAATAATTGCATTGCAAAAACAAAATGGCATGACTACAAAGTAATAGACAATTAATTGTTCAAAACATAGTATGGAAGGAGATGGAAATGGGAGTGAGAAAAAAGCTTACAAAGAGGCATGGGGCAAAGAGAAGTGAACTAGAGGCTAGAAAAATATTTTCCTGAGCATATATGGTAAGGTGGCAAATAGGAAAAGAGGTCACAATAATAGTGACATGGGTAGTCTAGAAAAACAATTTTAGAATTAGCGTGAAGAGGCTGAACTTGACATAAGAGAGGATTAATTAGTGGAAAAACTTTTGAAATGGAAAATAATATGCAAAGTGACCCTATATCTATGAGTTGTAGGGTGGTAACCACAAGTAGGTTGTTTAGAAGAAATATTTTTAAGGATTTCCTCAAGTATAAAAGCAGTATAACACAGTCTAATGATGGTAGGGCTAGAAAACAATAGGGAACAGTTTACTGAGTTACAGTATAATAAAGAGAAATAAGTTCTCTCATGTAACTCTCTTGTCATGTAACTCAGGAGACTAGAGGATAAAGCTGGAAACAAGTAGCTATAATAACAGACTAAGAATGTCTTTATAGACAGTATGGTCAGGAATGCTGGTTTCACAAAAAACGTTTTTTCAGCAGCAACCAGGTCAAAATCTACATTTGTTCAACACAAATGAAAAGGATAATCCAATAGTTTACCTTTATTTTAGCAGTATATTCTCCTCTACCTCCAAAAAGACCAAGACCACCAAGTAAAATATCAGTGTCAGCACTGAAACGAATTGCTTCAACTGAATGAGCGGAGTAACCCCAGCCTCCTCCATGACCTAAAGAGCATAAATGATTTAAATGTTTACTAATAATATTTCATATTTACAGGGAAATTTCGTTTTTCATTAAACATAAGTGTACATACTTTCAAACCTGTTCACCACACTGTAATCTTCCTTGGAATAAACTTTCATTACCGCTTGAGTCTCTTCCTCTGTACTTGCTACACCCATTTTTAAATCTTGCATGGCTGCCAATGTATCAAGGCAACCTGAAACAAAATGAAGACAATAATATTTAAGCTCTGTAAAATGAAATTCTTAGCGAGACTGATGCTATATAACCTAAAACAAATCAAGCAAAGTAAAATATACTAGGTGTGGGCAAAACTGACCTGTTCAAGTTTCAATGGCTCAATAGGAGGGCTACTCAAAACAAGTCAAAATCTACCTCTGCTTAAGACAACACAGTTAGGGAACTCTCTTAAGGCTGACCTATAAGCTACAATTTGCATGTGTCTTTCTTCTTTACAGAGAAATTTATTGAAGGAGGTATTCTACTGCTCTTAAATGGTACCAAGTTCAGTGCTTTTTAACACAAAAGAACATAAACTATATTATCTCTATATGCTCAGAAAATAAAACAGAGTAGCTAAAGAAATTTAACTGAGTGCCAATTACAAAGTCCTACTCACCAAGGATGTGCAAAGCTGCATGAGACCTAGTTGTAAGAGCTCTTGATCCTGTAGGCAAAGCAAGTTCAGGGCTCAGTATACTACATCTTGATTGCATGTCTGGTGCAGAAGGAAGAAGCCTGGAGTCAGCAACTACAGCATTGTAGCACCACAATTCTCTAGCATTTGGTCGAAATCTGAAAAACAAAAACAATAATTAAAGCATTTTAGAAATTATTTAGCTTACAGAAAATATACAAAACATGTAACATATAAAATATGTAATTCATAAATTGAATATGTAACAGAGATGTTATGAGGATTACAGTTATTCAAAATGCTTTTCAAAACTAGATGTTAGCTATGATTATTAATAATAAGAACTTGGTGGAAGGCCACAAAGGGAGTCTGTGGAGGAAACTGTAATGCATTGGTTTAAAAAAATGTGCATTAGTTTATATGTTGGTTTGTTTTTAAATTGTTGAAAACAGTTTTTTTTAAAAGCTATTATATAGCAAAAAGAACACTGATTTTCCAGGACATATGAGTTCTAGCCTGGCTGTGTCTATAGCTGCGTGACCTTACTAAATTACTTCTCATCCTTGGATTTCAATTTCTTCATCTGTAAAAATGAAGAAATTAGACTAGAAAATCTTTAATGTCTATAGAAAAGCATTCTGTGTAACTATGATCCTCATAACAAAACTGTTTATATAGGGTCCTATCCATGTATCTCTTTACTAATGTGGCTACCTTAGATAATCACAGAATCTACCAAAGCACAAATTACCTCGACAACATCAATGACACCTCTTGTCCAGATTGCTGAAATACCACCAGTAATAGGGAACTCACTATGTACTAAGGTAGCCAGCCTATTCCATTTTTGGATAATGCTAATTTTTTGAAAATTCTTTCTTAAATAGCAATAATCTCTCCCTATAATTTCTACCTACTGATCTAATTTTTCCTCTGTGGCTAAACAAATATGAATCCTATTAAAACCTGGTTTGATTGTTTGATTAAAGACTATCTCCTCTCCTGAATCTTTTTTTTTTTTCTACAGACTCAGTGCCCCTCATTCCTGAAATTAGCAATTCTGAAAGTATGGTCCACAGAGACTATTTCTGAGAATCTGCAAGGTCAAAACTATTCTCATAATAAAACTAAAATGTTTTAATTTCTAATATGATAAATGCTGATAGATATAACCCATGTAAATAACTCATGTACCTTTTTAGGGTACAGAAATTCTAGGAATTTAAAGGGGGCATAAAAAGGGGGTATGTTTAGAAGACCAAAAAGTCTGACAACAGCTATCATGATTCTCATGACATAATTTTAAGTAACAAAGAACTGAAAACAAGTGGTCTACTTAGTTGAACATTACAGCAGGGATCTCGTCTTCTTTGTTCTAGAATTATACTCCTATCAATGTGGCCTAAAATTGCATTAACTCTGACACTATTGCCTTATATTGTGCCTCCAGATTCATAAAGCCCTGAAGTCTTTCTTGTTTTAACGTGATCTATTTCTAGTCATATCTCTCTCATTCTATACTTTCCAGGGGTGATTTTTTGCATGTCAGTGCTTGAAAAGAAAAAAAAAATGTACACCAATCTTTATTAAATTTCCCTTTGTTAAACATATTTCTACATTCTAGACTTTTGAGAACTTTTTTAAAGTTGATTCTACCCGCTAATATATTAGCCATCCCTTGCAGCTTTGTAGCATATGCAAATTTAGAGTACAAGCTACCCATGTCTTCATGCAAGTGACTGATAAAAATGTGTAAAAGAACAAGTTCATAGAGAATCTCACAGTATTACTCTCATTGTCTGACATCTATACCCTGAGTCAGGTGTTTCAACCATTCCAAAATCCACATTATTATTATTCTACCCTCATCTTCATTTTCTCCACAGGGTTTGTTTTTTTTGGGGGGGGGGGGGGGGGGGGGGGAAGACAGTCATGATTAAGTGACTTGCCCAAGGTCACATAGCTAGTAAGTGTCTGAGGCTAGATTTGAACCAAGGTCCTCCTGATGCCAGGGCCAATACTCTATCTACTGTTCCACCTAGCTGTCCCCTCTACAGGTCTTTCTAAGAGATTTTGCTTTTCCATAATTTTAATTAAGCTCCTGCATGGCAGTACTCAATTTCCAACATACAGTTCTCTAAGAGGTCACTGCAATATCTACTTGATGACAGAAGATCATGAGAGGTTTAAGTTATATAAAATTATGTACCTTGAACAATGAAAGGAATTATTGAGAGCCTAAAAATTATAAATGATATTACTTTTAAAAACAGAATTAAATGCCACAGTTAACTACCAAGTATCATAAAAGATGATTACAGTTAGTAGTTTAGTGAAAAAAAAAAACAAAATGTTCAAATTATTTTTTATCTTTTCCTAATAAGTCTTCATATTAAATTGATTGAAAATCACTAGCAAAAAACTAATTAACAATAATTTATTAAGTCAACCCTGTTCCAGGTGCTAGGGACGTACAGAGTAACCTAGTCTGCCCTGCAGGAATTTACATGTTACTGAGGGGAAGAAAACATGTGCACAGACAAGTAAATGCAGGATTTATACAAAAACATAATGAATTTGGGATAAGAGTACTAATTGCCTTCAGTAATCAGGAAAAGCCTCCTAAGTAGCTGGGCCTTAAACAGAACAAAGGGTTACAAGAAACAGAGGTGAGGAAGGAGAACATTTCAGGCCTGGGAGATGGACTGTGCATAGACATGGAAATGGTTAGTAGCATCTTGTGAATAGACAGTAAATAGGCCAGTTTAGAAGGAAGATAGAGTGAAAGGATAATAAAGTATAATTAGCCTTGAAGCCTGACTGTGAAAGGCCTTAAATGCAAATGAGAAGAATTTGCACTTTAAATTTGTAGCAACAGGGAAAAACTAATTGAGAAACAGAACGAAGATTTTTTAATAAAATGCATATTAAATATAGGGATTTATGAACATAGCAAGCAACTTACCTCCAAATAACATCATAAACAGGATCAAGACATACACCAAACCCTTGCAGATCCTCCTGCTCAGAATCATTAAATGTCTTACAACTTCCATCCACTTTATTTATCAGGAGACATTTAAATGGAGGAGGTTCCGATATAGAAGCAGGTATTAAGCCTTGAAAAAGGGGGAAAAAAATCATCTTAAACAGAGGATAAGTCTAAGACATGTGTTAGTGGAATCAAATGATAAATAGTACTACAAATCAAAACAAAAATAAAAAGCATCACCAAACCATGACTCCTTTCCAGCTATGTAACTACAAAGAACAGAAATGTGGCTGAATTCTTTGGCCTCCTTGTGTCACACAGAACTCTCATGGCTTTTTAACATTCTTCTCTGTTGGTCCTCTTGATTATTTCTCTATATTTTCACCCTTGTCAATCTCACTGACAAATATCTTCAAACATTGCCTCTGCAAATAACTCAGTTTACTCCAATCTTTCTCATGGCTCCAACATCTCATTTGGAACTCTGTGTTTAGTATCTCCCCTGAAGAGTCTGCCAACATCTTGAATTCAACATATTCAGAATAGTACTTATCACTCTTTCCCCAGCACCTGCCTGTCTTATTATTTCTCCACTTATCTTCATGACACTACAGTTTTTTTCCCCAGGCTTTTATACTCTTAAAACTCAGAATTATCTTTGAGTATTCTTATTTCTTGACCTACTGTGATTCCAAATTAAATCAATTTTGCTTTCTAAATATTTCTAACATTTATCCTTTTCCATTTACCTCTACTGCCACCACCTTGTTCAAGCTCTAGTTAGCTCCCACATGGATTGTGGTAAGTGCTAACTGGTTTTGCCTCTCTCCAATTTATCTTACATATTGTTGTAAAGGTATTTTCCTAATGTACATGTCTGCATCATTTCCCTATCCAAGTGGTCCCTATTGCCTATGTGATAAAATGCAAACTATTGATCTTGGCATTAAAACCCCTATTGGCTTAGGGTGTTATGACCACATGAACATAGATTTTTAATAGTAATAAAACCTGTTAATATTTCACTTACTTGTGACTCTAAAAAGGCCAATTAAGCAAATATTCATTCCTTCATATATATATAAACATTATGCGCAGAATCCATTCATTTCAATATATAATCTACTTACTACAAGGGAAATAGTTACCCAACTTTCAAATAATTTTTCTACAAAGCTCAAATAACCTTTTGTTTATGTTTTAAGTATGTGTAGGCTACCTTATAGAATACTGTAGTCTGGATTTCTTACCCTCTTATCTTTTCATTTAATCTACATCTTAGCAACCTCCTCTCATTACTTTCCATCTAAAGAACAAGCAGAGAGGTCAGAGACAATTTGCCTATAATCTATACGTGCCTCAATTTCTTCACCCTTACCCTTACCTTTCAAGTAGAATGTAAAATCTTCTACAGTGTTATATGGACCATATATACCAAGAGTAGACCTAAATTATTTTTACGGCTATTTATTTTACCTATTATGTGTCTGCTGGCAAAAATCTCTGATGTAGCAAGGACATGGGAGTTTATAAGTGCTTCATCAATGCGTAAGAAAGTTTGGTCCCCGCTTGCTCCAATCCAAGTAGCCTTGCGTCCATATTTTGATCCAATATTGGGCATGGAAGCAGGTTTTGCATTCCAGTAAGGCATATCCAAAATTGGTCTGCCAAGTTGTCCTTTCTAAACAGTATGGAAAACAATAACATTAAGTAGAATAAAACATAACAGCAGTACAGCCTATAATGTCAACAAGGGGGAAGATGTCAAAATAAAACATTTATGTGTTACAACATATAAATAAAACATATATGTGTGTGTATATGTATATATGTCATATATACATATATGAAACAAAATATAACATCCATGATGAAACAAGTTCTTGATCACTTATATGTGCTTTGAATTTCAAGTTTTCATGAAATTTCATATAAAGTTCAAACTTTACTTTTACCTAATCAAAATATCTCAAAACTAGACCCAAAGGAGAGCAAATCTCAGCAAGAAATTTTTTAAATATGCTGCTTCCAAAAATAAGCCACAAATATTTTTCAAAGTAAAAAGTTTAACAAATATACACCTTCAAAATAACTTGTATTCATTTATTTGCTCTTTTAGTAAATAATACTGACATTCCAAGGAGATCATTTCAACAAGATGTCATTAGAAGACTGAGAAGTTAGCTATGATTATGAAGAAAAGACCAGAAATTATATATTATATGAACCTATCAACACATTAAAAACCAGTAATATAATTCATATACTGAAAACAAAACTTGTGAACAACTATTAACAGTGAATATAGCACAAATAGATTATTTCATTTACATTTCTATATAAAAAGAATCAATATTTGTTTTAAGCAACTTTTGCTAAAATAAAAAAAGGAATGACAGCTGCAAGGTAATCCATAGTTATTTCTTCTCTTTTATTTTAATACTTGCAATTGACATCTTTTTTTTTTATTTCACCGTTGTTCCCCATCTCATCATCAGATTGAATTCTCCTCTGTGAAAAAGGACACTTAAAAACATCTGATACCGAGAAAATGCATATAATATTCTGTCCTACTGGCCTCCTCCCAACTCTTTGCTCTGAGGAAGGATGCATGTAACACAGGAAATTTTTAAAAATGTCACATCACCCTTACTTACATATTTATTCACATTCACAATTTAGTTATGCTTCTATTTTAGGGTTGAAAGAAAAGTACTTCACAAGTATGACATGGAATCAGGACAAGGGAAGGTTAAAGTTGAAAAAGTATTAAATAATATCTGTACACTTAGCCAGGAGCTAGAATAAGGTTAGAGAAGTAGGAAGTTACCAAGCATGTTCTTTCCCAACTTAAAATGTTGATTTCTCCCTATTCCTTGCCACTCCCTTACACAGAAGTAGTCACTGTAGTATACATGCAGAATATTGTAATCTCAGCAGACCTGCACAGCTACTGGATACAAAGAAAAGTAAGCAGAATAACCCGCCACAAGACTGGTCAAGCAATGTTATAAGGGATTAATTCCTTGTTGTGTATCCACTGCACCTGTCAAGCCTGAAGGACAAAAGAATAAAAGGATCAGAAGAATGGCTTGGTGATCCATCCATCCCCAGTTCTCTTCTGTTCCATGGGAAGGAATAACAGCCAGGTGTTCAGAGGAACAGTAAGAACATTCAAGATTTACTCAAATAATGAACAGATTCACATGATATATGACATTATTTTTTCTGTTTTTCAAATCAAATTTATTTTTAAAATTAATGTTTTTAAAAATTTTGAGTTCCAAATTCTCAACCCCCTCTCTGGCCCCTCCCCACCCAATGAAAAGGCAAGCATATATAACCCTATTTTTAAAGTGGCAAAAATCAGCATAAAAGTTGACCACTGAGTAAAATATTTATCACTTTTAAATGCAGTGAGTTTTTTGTGGACTTTTTACCAAGCTACATGTTTTTCTTAAGCTAGTATACTAATTTTCATTCTCTGAATACCAGTCAAATGATGGCAAAGATTCAGATTTTGATTCTACCTAACTCACAAAGTAGATTACAGTTACTGGATAACTAAGGGTTAATTGAAATAATCTCTCTTTCTCATTTGGTGATTGTCGCGATGATAAAACAGACGGTTCTGAATAGCCATTTCGGTCATGACCACAATACAGGCTCAGAAGGAGCAGTATCATTATACAATGTTTTCTTATACTCCTTCCCCCAAATTTTAACCCTCAACAGGCAAATTTAAAAATGTTTGCAAATGTCTCAAATTTTGGCAAAAAAAAAAAAAAAAAACAAACCACAAAAATAAAAACAACAAAAACAACCCACCTTTAAATATTCATAATATTCCAGTTTTTAATATAAATCAATGTGTCAACTTTTTTCTAAAAAAATTATTTTTACGGCTATAGAAGTATACATAAAATTGGTAAAATACATTTTATTTGAAAGGCAAAAGAGTTAACAGTTTGCCTAAAGGGCTATGAGCTACAATAAACATTTCTAACTGTAATAACCAATACTGATACACTGAGGTGGTAATATTTTCACTTAGAAAAAATATTAATGGATATACGTACACAAAACATGTTATTCTTGTACTGGACAAGGAAGACAGAAATCTAAATAATTTAAAGACACGATGAATTATTAAAATAAAGTCTGAAAACTCCTTACAGAGAAACTTCCGAATGTGAAGACTTGTCCATCCATTAGAAGTATTGCTGTATGGTTACTGCCTGCAGTGACTTGTGTACTAGGCCCTGGCAAAGCTTGTACTAGAGTAGGACATCCCCTAAATTTAAAAATAAAGCATAAAAAATTAGAGTTAATTTTTAGCAACCTACAATAAAAATCACTTTATTAAATTAAGAACACTAAATAAATTATGGAGTAAGGGTGAAAAGAAAACATGGCAAAGATACTACAAACATTTTCAATATTTATGATTCTAATGAAACAAAATGGAAATCAGATGAATTATTTTTTTTGGGGGGGGGAGGCAATCAGAGTTAAGTGATTTGCTCAGGGTCACACAGCTAGTAAGTGTCTAAGGTGCATATGAACTCAGGTCTTCCTGATTCCAGGGCTAGTGCTCTATCTACTGAGCCACCTAGCTGCCCTAAAGATGAAGTATTTTTAAATAGAGCTTAAATTAGATGATTAACCTTAAATTATCCAAAAAGGTCAGCGATATGTCCTTACTTTATAACTAGAAAATCCATTTACAGATTAATTAGTACTATGAAGAGACATAACAATTATTCAAGTTCTTCTATGATACTTTCTCTGTTAATCACATTGTAATTTTAAATTTCAAAATCTTTTCCAAAATATAAGATGGCATTACTCTACTGCTTTGTATTGTTTAAAAAATGAACATCACACAATGAGGAAGTCTTGCTTCCAAGATACTACACAGAGATCTTGTAAACAATTAAATTTTTTTAATATTTTTTCATATTTAAGTCAAAATATGAGCAAAATCCACAGCGATTTCTCAGCTCTTTAATCTAGTAAGCTAATTTACTTAAACGACATGTAAACTAAAGAAATATGAAAAGTTTTTAAAGATTCAAAAGGGTTTGATGATAATTTTTGCTTCTTATTCTAGCATTATCATGGTTACAAAAAACATTCATTAAGTGGCTAATTACTTCATGGCGCGCCCTATGCTAAAGATTGAACACAAAGGCTATATAACCTACTGAATGTATAATTCAATGTCATTTTAATTTTTTTAAACTTCTGTTTGGTATGTAACACTACTAAATTAGCACCTTTATAGTCACTATTTCCTCTCTTGACTTCTAAATTTTCCCATTCCTCTTCTAAATAATACTGTCTCCAAGTAACATATTTTACACACACACACACAATTCTACCCCATCTTATCCAATAGATTGCCCCTTCTATAATACCTATCTTTAATCTCTCACTGACTTCAAACATGTCCATGTTTTCCTCTTCTCTAAAACCCTCACTTGGTCTGTCCATTCCTGTGGATTATCATCCTAAGAGAAATGATTATTTCTCTCTTGTATTTAATAACTAATTATTGAATTAGGATCAAAGTTCTTCCCCTTTTCTACTTCCTCATTCAGAAATCTGCCCCTGTAGGTTATTCAGGAAGACTTTGAAGTGCAGGGCTGATAACGAGAAAGAACTCTGATCTGTTCAAAAGATAAAGCTAGGTGAATTGATGGATTCTGGCCTATTTTGTTTTACTCAGACAAGTCTGGGAAAAATGTGGATTCTCCCTTCTGTCAGACAGGTGATATGGATACAGATAATTCTCTTTGACCAAAACTGAGTAATCAAAATCATGTACCCCAGACTTTTATTTGAATAGGTCCACCTCTCATTATAATATTCTTTCTCTCATTAATTGTTAACCAATCAGAGCTGATTTCCATCCTCTGAAAATCCACTTTTCCAAGGGCATGTAAGTGTTGAGTGGGTTTCATGAAGGATCTTTGGTCTAAGAAAGACAGCCAAATGACCATCCTTTTATTAATAATATGCTAGAATTATTAATAAAATGATTAATTACCCAGAAACTATGTCTCTCAAACTTATTATACACCACAATCCTTTATCTCTTCCTTTTTGTTGCTAAACTCCTGAGAAGATCATCTACAGTAAGTGTCTCAACTTCCACTTCTCATTCTTTTTTTCAATTCTCTGCAGTCTAGCTTTCCATCTCATCATTTGAACTAAAACTAATCTTTCCAAAGTTACTAATCATCTCTTAATTGCCAAATCTAATGGCCTTCTCTCAATCATCGTTCTCAAACTCTCTGCAATCTTTGACACTGTTGTTCATTCTCTTCTCCCTGATACTCTCTTCTTTCTATTTTCATCTACTCCATTCTGATTCTCCTTCTAATTATCTGACCACTCCTTTTAAGTCCTTTGCTAGATCTTGATGCAAGTTATACTCACTGTCCTAAGGCTCTGTACTAGGCCTTCTTCTATACTCTTTCTCTTGGTGATCTCATCAGCTCTTATGGATGCAATGATTATCTCTTTGCTGATGATTCTCACGTTATTTGAAAAGTCCAAATCTCTCTGCTGACCTCCAGTTTCCCATCTCCAACTGCTTATTAGTCATCTCCAATTGGATGTCCCATAGATATTTTAAACTCAACATATCCAAAACTGAACTCATCTTTCCTCCCAAATCCTCTCCTCTTCCTAAATACCCTATTTCTGTTGAGGGCACCATCATGCAGTTGCCAAGTCCTGTTGTTTCCACAGGTAATAATTTGTCACCAGCTGCTTGGTTTTCTACTCTACCATCATCTTCATTATGTCCTGCCCAGGATAAACTCATTGTCAGGAAACTTATTATCATGATGATTGCTTCAGCTTTGCTACTTACGCCTCATCAGCACCCTCAATTGCTTTTGCTTCTCTAGCTGGAATGTGGAGCAAAAAAAACCTCCCCTTATAAAAGGGCTCAAAAGCCTAGCCACTTCTACATTTGCCACCAGCTGCTTTGCTCGACTTATAATTCATTATCACCTTCATCAGGCCCCTTGTCACTCTCTCTTTTCAGCTTCCTTTGGTACTGTCTTCCTCCATTAGACTGAAAACTCTTTGAGACCAGGGACTATCTTTTTCTTACTTGTATCCCCAGTGCTTAGCACAGTAACTGGCACCTTCTATACACTTAATAAATGTTTATCACATCATATAATTATCAACCCTTGGATATGTCCTATATTCCATGTTTTGGCTCATGCTGTTCAACATGCCTGGAATATGTTCTTGCCCATTTGGAGCTACCGATATTCACCATTCTCTGAAATCCAGCTCAAATTCTACCTTTTCCATATTATCTTTCTCTGATCCCAGCAGCTGGAAATTATCTTTTCTATACCTGATTTCATAGTATTTTGTGCTCACCTCATACACTTCCATAAGCTTTTTTTGTTGTTGTTGTTATTTTTGTTGGGCAACGGGGGTTAAGTGACTTACCCAAGGTCACACAGCTAGTAAGTATTATGTGTCTGAGGCCAGATTTTGAACTCAGGTCCTCCTGAATCCAGGGTTGGTGCTCTATCCACTGCGCCACCTACCTGCCCCCTCCTCTCATACACTTAACATATTCTAATCTGTTATGTGTGTGTTATATATAAAATTACTATTTATTAAGTTGTTTCTTGAGGGAACAATGACTTATTCATCCTTTTATCATCCTCAGAATCCAGCAGAGTGAGCTGTATATATTAGGTGCTTAATCAATGTTTAACAAATGAAGACTTGCCTGCAAGGGACTTAGAATCTAGTTTAATAAACAAGACATTTTAGAAAATTAATAAAGTAACTTAAAAATGTAAATTTGTCATCAAAGTGAACAAGACTCAAGCCCTTTCTCTAAATGATGTAAGGAAAGAATAGAGTAAGGTTTAAAAGAGATTTTTAAAGAGGAGAGGTATTAAACAGAAAAGAAGAAAGAGTAATGATAATAATGTAGAGTCTTAAAATAAGAAAATTTTCATAAAGTATTCATATTTAGGTCAAAAGTCTTAAAGCATTACTTTAGTTATTTAATTGGCACAATTCCTTAATGTAATTTTATGCTAATTTTTTTCTTTAATGCAACTCTCCTTGTACCATAATAACTTGGAATAGATTTAAAGTCTAGATGGCAAATCAAATTTTTAACTAAAGAGATTCAGTATTGTCAGAATATTTTTTGAGAGAGAATCTTAAAAAGTCTGAGATATTAGCTGGAAAACTATCCAGCAAACAACTATTGTTGCCTTCCCAAATATGTTAAACATTGAACTTACTAATTAAAATATCACTGAAAAAGAAAAATATGCAGACTATTCTGTCTTGAGAATATAGAAAACTATACAGAAACCATAATTTTCATTAAGATTTTTATAGATTACCTGGAATTAACATCTCCATGTCCCAGCTGGCCATGCTGCCCATATCCAAATGTATAAACATCACCATTTTCCATCAAAACCACTGTAACCAAAATATTGCTTTAGTTTTTCTTTAATGAATCAACAATCCCTTCCCTTATTGTTTTAAAGTTACATGATTTATTACTTGTATTTTCTACAAACTTAGAATAAATTGGGAATATTAAACTGGACATTATGACCATAATGTGTTTATTGTTTATTACATATAATTTTAGTTCTATTTCTGCAGGATTTTTCTCATGTAATAAAAAGTCTACATTTTTTTACATAACATATACACATATACTTTATACAATATATACTTTACATACCTATTTTACATAATATCTATTACTTTGTAAACACAGTGAATGTCACTTGTTCTAGAGGTCATCTTCTTTTAATTAAAGTACTATCTCCATATCAACTTCATAAAACTGAGTTATTAAATAGGTTTTTTTTAAAAGCAATAATATTGGACAAATCAGCCATCTCCCCAAAATGTTGAAATAGAAGAGCTCTGAGTGAACAGAACTCAGCTTAACACTTATAATACATCGAACTTCAATGTATATCAGGTCCTTGTTAAACAGCTGAAAGAGTTCAACCATAAAAAAAAAAACTTAATAAATTTTGTTCAATATTTTCCTACATTTTAAGAAATGTAGTTTTGTTTATTATGCTTTTCTACTTAACCTAATTTAATATCTGTAATATCAATTAGGATATGTGGCATTATATGATTTTGTAATCATATAAGTATACAATATGGGGCTGAAAAAGAGACCTTAGAGATCATTTAATTCAAATGTCTCAGTATAAAGATGAAGAAACTAAGGCTTAGAATAGTAATTGCAAATTAACAGCAAGAGTTATGACTAAAATCCAGGTATACAAATTCTTTGTTTGGTGTTTTTCCTTTGAACCACACCAGATAAGATGAATCCTACTATAAAAATGCTTCCTTACATTTTATTAGTACTTTACAGTTTCATTTTATCCTCATGCTATTTTGAAGGTTTTTCTTTCCCCACGGGTTAACTAAAGCAGTGGATGGGTTGAGAATAAAATGAAATGAAGGCTGCCTCTTTTTTTCAATTGTTTTCATATAAGTGAAACACCATATCTCTTGTACACCATAGTTTTTGATCCTGGACCTTAGGGTAGAAGATCATTCAAAGTCAAATACCAAAGAACCTAGAAGGCCCGGGGTGAGCAGGAAGCAAAGCATAAAGGGAGCAACAATACAAGTACAAAGAAAAGAAGAAAAAGGAAAGGTAGACTGCTACAGTAGAAACATCACTGAACTATGTGTCAAGACAGCTTATCTCAAATAATGGATTTCCCAACAACTAGATAAATAACCTCAAGCAAATTAATTACTTTGTACCTTAGTTTCCTCAATGCAAAAATGAAAGATCTGGACTAAACATGTAATATCTCTTCCAGACTTAAATATATGGTTCTATATCAACAAATAAGGGAAATAAGGCTCAGAGAACATACAGAAATCAGCTGAATGTTACATAGTTACCAGATGAGCAGCAGTAGGACCAGAAGATAGTTCTTCTGAACCCAGGTTCAGTCTATTTCACTGTCCATGCTGCCTTTTGTTGATGCAACATGTTGCCAACATCTCGGCTTTAGACATAGAACGAAAACTCACCATATGTGTTAAAACTAATTTACCACAATTTCTAAATATTTTAACAATGTAGCTACCAGAAAGGTTGCATTTACCTGAATGATGAAATCCACAGCTGACTTGTACTGCCCGGAGCTCACAATCAAAACGGACAGAGCCTGGAGGATATGTTGTGATTTTGCTTGCATCCTTCTCTCCTCTTTCTCCACTTCCATCTGTAATTGTTGCAATGTTTAACTAAGACACTACTCACATTCAAAAACAAATTTTGAAATGGTAACTAGGGAAAAGTAGAAGACAAATGTTATAAAAAAGAACAGAACAGCAAGAAGAATCTGCAGTTGTTAGAAGTAATAGCTCAAGAATCTACCTGCAACAAAGCAATTTTAGAAAGGTGTATGTTACACTTGTTTGTAAATCACTAAATCATTAAGAATACAGAATTCTGAATCAGTTAAAGTTAAGATCTACTAATGTAGACAGTTATGCAATTTAGAAAAGTCATTAATTTAATAAAATAGTCAAATATAAACTATAGTAAATTTGATATAGAAATAACATAATTTGTGTTAAAATTATACATCAAGTCATTGAATAGTTGCATTTTAAAATAGTTCAACTATGTAGTATCACCTAATACAACTAAAATTCTCAATGAAAAGCAATCAGATTTCTTAGAGAGAATTTTACTTTTTTTTTGGCCAAAATAGATTTTTAAACCAATTGCTTAATATTTTATTTTCAAAGAATTGAATACTTTCATAAAGTATATATATATATACACATATATATATATATATCCCCCACTCATCTCTTCCCCAACATAGTCATCACTCTACCCAATCAAGTCCTTTTCCTTGCCTTTTTTCTCTTCCCATTACATCAAAACTAGCCATCCACATTCTCTGCATTCTTTCTTCCAATATTGTTCTGCTCCTCTCTGTGCCTTATCTTTTTCACTCCTAACTTTACCTTCCCCTCTCCTCTTTCAGGATTTTATCCTCTTCTTCCTCTGACTTCTGTTTACCACATATCAAGTTCTCTTTTTAGGTTTTCCAATTCCTGATCTTTGTTATTATTCCTATATTCAAACTTTAGGATCAAAAATGATCCCATGATATGGAGAATCTTAGAGCACTTTTGCAGAAATTAATAATAATAATAATAATGATAGAATCAAGAAGTCAGCTTATATATTCTCTCAATAATCTAAAATATTTCCACTAGTCAATCTTAGAAAAAAAAAATTTTGACTGTCACTATATACATTACATAATTAATATTCAATGCACTTATAAAGCTGAAAAGAACTTCAAGTAGTCAAATGGTCAACCCTGTTATTTTTTTGGGGGGCAGATTAATATCTGCCCTTACTAATATTAATATTAGTAAGTAAGTTACCTGTCACATACAAAAAAACCATTCAATTTTAACCAATCTCCTTTCCAACTTGTTTTTCACTTATCTGGATATCCATTGTCCCCCACCTATAGTGTAAAAGGGGGAAAAGTCAAAACCTTTTATGCCAACTTTTCCTCTTTTCTTTCTCTAATAATTAGAAATAATCATGGCAAGAAACATTGAGTCTAAATAATTTCTCTCCCCCTTTTATAGCTAGATGAATCATCATAATAATTTACTTCAAGCTACATCTTATAATACTCCGTTTCTTTAAATAAGAGTACTAGGACAGTAAAACCTCACTAATTCGGAATGGAAGGGGCCTACTTAACTTAGGGAAAAATTTAAATCTTTGAACAATTTAAAATAATTGAAGTAATATTTTCAAGTACAGTACATGTTATAAGCTAATTGATACAAATAAGTAAAATTAGGTTAACAAAACTACAACTCAAAATTGGCCTATGTTATATAATAATGTATCATAAACATAAAAGTCCTTTAACATACAAGAATTAACTGCTGGACCCAGAAGTTGGAGGCACGTTGAAGGAATCCTTAATTTCTTGAGCCCTTGGTTTGAAAAGCTACTGATTTTAGACTGGATTCCCTTTACAAGTATGACCCTGAAAATTCACAGAGGAAGAAATTATTTTGAATTTTTTATTAAAAAATATCACATATATTGTCTGAATTATCATCAATTCTGAATTAGTGAGAGGTTTTACTATAATATTAGAAGACTATTCTAAATAGTCTAACGCATGCTAAATGTTTTAGATCAAATTGTCAAACTGTATCTGCATGAGCCAACAGATTTTTAAAAATTGTCAAGAATTCTTTTTTTTTACTTTACCCAGAATTAACAAAAAATTGTTAATCCAAATAATCTTCACTTTTGTACACTGAATGGAAGAGGCAAATAGAAAAAGTAGTTTGGGTAAAAATGGAAAAAAGTCCAAAAGAGAACTGTGTTGGGGGATAAAAGTGAAGAAATTTTACAGATGTATTATCTATTAAACTATAAAATTATTTAAATACAAAAAAGAAGTTTATCTGTATTTGGAGACACAAATTGCTTTCATATAATTTTACCTGTGTTAACATTACAAATCTTTATTTAAATCTAGTAAGAAAAGTTTGATTTCCTGAATTAGCTTTCTTTCCTTTATTTGGAAATTAAATCTAACATAATAACTCAATATGAAAATTTGAACTTCAAAAAAGGCCAACTATGAAATTTTGGAAAAAAGCAATGGTTAAAAGCTACATTTGATGATGACTAGAGGAGTTAGAATTTATTACATAAGGCACAAAACTATATAGTTTATAATGTTTTTTCAAGTATACTAAAATAGCCTTTTATACTTTGCTATATGTAACCTGTCAACAGTATTAAAATTTTAAAAAGATTTCATTATCTTCAAATGCACTTTAAATATCTATCTAAGCATAACATTTATGGTATTACAAAAATTTGTATTTACAATTCCTACTATTTAAAAATTTACAATAAAGCAATTATACAAGTAAAGTACAAAAAAGCAAAAAGGGTATGAAGTATCAAAACAGTTCAGTGTATAAGTGTGAATAAAAAAGTCAGGAATCAAAAACTACAATTTATGAAAATGGGATTGATTTCTTTAATTGACTACAGTAAAAGGGTTAATAAACAGTTATGAGTATTTTTTTTTAAATATGAAGAGAAAAAAAGCATAAAATAAAAGGCTGGATAGTTTTCAAACTGACTAAGCAAAACTCTTGAATACTCTAAGATTTAACAACTTAGTTATGTATGTACCATCATAATCTCCATTTACAAAAGAACACAGTTATCTCTTCCAATACCAAACAAAAATCCCCTTTTCCCTCCCAAGACTGCCTTGAGTATTCCACTCAGTATCTCATAAGACAGCTTATTTCATTTTTAGACAGCTCTGTTTGTGAGAAGTTCTTCCTCATGTTTAACCAAAAGCAGTTTCCCTTAAGTTTAATAATACAATCCTGTGAGACAGGAAGTACAAATAATACCATCACCAACATTAAAGATGTGAAGTCTAAGGCTCAGACATCCTAAGTAATTACCAAGGGACACAAGGCTAGCAACGTCAGATTCAAGATTCAAACTCATGTCTCCTGATTAAAATAAAATCTCGGAGTCTGTTTCCTCCCAATTATCATTTAGTTTGATTTTTGCCCCGAGTTATTTAAATATTCTGAAACAGATATAGCTTCTTACCTGATTTTCTCTTTTCTAAGGTAAATGTCACCAATTCCTTTAGCCAATTCTTAGATAACGTGATTTTTAAGACTATACTTTGTCTTATAAAAACTGCGATATATTCTATTAATGTGTTGCCTAAAAGGTGGTGGCTGGTACACTACATTCGAGATGAGAGCTGACCAGTGCAGAGGATGGATATTTTTTCTCTTATCCATGACTATATTTCTATTAATTAGGCCTAAAAGAGTAATTAGCTTTTTCGCCAGTCATACAAGTTGATTCATATTTGACTTGCCACAAGCACAAATTGAGTCTTTTCTGCACATATTTTTGTTAAGCTATATTTCAGCCTATAATTGTGCAGCTATTTTGTTAAACCAACATTTAAGAATTTATATTTATTCCTATTATATTGTCTGTCAGTTTTGGCATATTATTTCAAATAATTTAGGTCCTGATTGTTTCATGAAACATTATGCATCAATACTAGTTTTGTGCTATTTGAATATTTAATAATTATGTTTTCTATGACTTTAGTCACATCACTGATAAAAATGGTAAATAGAACAAAACTAAGGACAGAGTTCTGTGGCATGTATATTAGAGTGTCTGAGAAAGATAATGGTCCTTTAACCAACCCCATTTGTATATAGTTCTCCAACTAACTAAAAATCCACCTTATTATATTGTTACATGTAGTCTGTATTTTTGTACCTTATCTACATAGATATCACAGAATCTGGATTTGAAAGAGAACTCAAGTGGCCATATTCTCCAGCTTAAGTCTGGAAAAAATATCCCTAGTATAATATATTTGACAAGCAGTTATCAGCCTTTGCTTGAAGACCTCCAGTGAAAAGGAAACTATCATATCTTGATACAAACCATTCTACTTTTGAAAAACTCTAATTGTTAGAAAGTATTCCCTGACATTAATCTTAAATTTGCCTCTTTGCACTTCCATCCACTGCTCCTGGTTTTGCCCTCAGAAATACAGAGAACAAGTCAAATTCATCTTGTTTGTGGCAGGCCTTCAAGTATTACAAGGGAGGTTTCATGCCCTGCCCAGGTCTTCTCTTCTTCAGTATAAAGATCCCCAGTTTCTTCAAATTATCCTTCTGTGACATGGATTCAAGGCCCTTTATCATTCTGGTTGTTTTACTTTGGATGCTCTCTGGCTTATTAATATCCAGCTTAAATGGTGGTACCAGAAATGAACACAATAATCTATATGTGGTTTGACGAGGGCAGAGAGACTAGCATTTCCTCATTCCTAGAAACTAATCCTTTCTTAATATAGCCCAAGACTAGCCTTTTGGTCGCCACATCATACTGATGATTCTGATTGAGCCTATGGTCTCTTACAGCCCCAGTTAAAAAACAAAACAAAACTTAATGCTCTTGGTTTTCCAAGGCCAAGGATGCAAAGTACTCATGAGATTTGTTAAATGCATGTTGAAATCCAAATATTCTCTCTCCCTCTATACATACACACATATATGTATAAATGTGCGTGCACAGATGTGTGTGTGTGTGTGTGTGTATATATGTGTGTATAAATGTAATCTTGAAACTACTATCTTTCCCTTT